AAAGCCCTGGATAAACCTCCGATAGTAATTGGCAAAGCCAATGAAGCTCTGCACCTCCTTAACCGTGGTTGGAGTCTGCCAATTTACGCACGGCTGAAATGCGGTCTCCTTCCATCTCCACACCTGAGGTGGTGATGTGGTATCCGAGGAAGGAGACGGATTGTTGGCAGAACAGACATTTTTCTGCCTTGGTATACAGGTCATGCTCCAACAGTCGCCCAAGAACTCTGCGAACCAGGGACTCATGCTCGGCGCGTAGTGGAATACACCAGGATGTCATCGATGTAGACCACCACACCACGACCAAGCATGTCCCGAAACACCTTGTTCACAAAGGACTGGAAGACGGATGGAGCATTCATCAAACCGTAAGGCATCACCAGGTATTCATAATGCCGTGTGGTGGTGCTAAATGCTGTCTTCAATTCATCCCCTTCCCGGAACAGGTTATACGCATTCCTGAGATCTAATTTCGTGAAGAAGTGTGCCCCATGCATTGATTTGATCACAGAGGAAATGTATTTATTATTTATTTTATTAACCTTTATTAAACTAGCGAAGTCGATTAAGAACAATTCTTATTTACAATGACGGCCTACCCCGGCCAAACCCGGACGACGTTGGGCCAATTGTGCGCCGCCCTATGGGACTCCCAATCACTGCCGGATTGTGATACTGCTTGGAATCGAACCAGGGTCTGTAGTGATGCCTCTAGCACTGAGATGCAGTCGCTTAGACCGCTGCGCCACTCGGGAGCCCTGAGGGATAGAGGATAACTATAGCGAATTGTAATTTTATTAAGTGCAAGGTAATCAATGCAAGGGCGCAGACCCCTGTCTTTCTTCACGAAAAAGAAACTTGAGGAGGCGGGTGAAGCAGAGGGACGTATGAACCCCTGATGCAGGTACTCTGAGACGTATGTCTCCATAGCCTCCGTTTCAGCATGCGACAGGGGATATAAATGACCCTGGGCGGCACAGCGTCTAACCGGAGGTTTATCGCGCAATCCCCCAAGCGATGGGGTGGTAATTTGGTCGCCTGCGTTTTGGCAAAGGCGTGCGCCAAATCGAGGTATTCCGGGGGAATGAGCATGTCTGGACTTTCCACCGTGGTCGCACCAACGGAAACAGCTAGTCACCTACCCTGACACTCTCGCGACCACCCCGTGAGAGCCCTCTGCGGCCATGAAAAGGTGGGGACGTGTAGTGCTAGCTAGGGAAGGCCCAACACAACAGGGAAATCAAGGGACTCAATAATGTGAAACGTGATTCGCTCATTATGGGTCTGCTGCGTAATCATAGTGACTGGTGCGGTAATCTCCCTAACAAAACCTGACCCTAATGGTCGATTGTCAAGTGCTTTGACAGGCAATGGAATAGACAGGGGAACCAGTGTAATACGTAGACTAAGAGCTAAAGACCTGTCCATAAAGTTCCCAGCTGCGCCTGAATCTACCAGCGCCTTACACTGGGGAACTACCGTGTAATCAGGGAAGTTGACGTGGATGGTTAAATGCGCAGCAGAGGGCTCTGAACGAGTGTGGGTTTTTGCTACCTTGGGTGACGCTAGAGTGCCCTGCCTGCCGCTTCCAGAACCAGAAGAACTCTGACGACATCAAGATTGACACTGGATCTGTCGTCCTCCGTTCTCCCGGAACGCTGCACCACCCAGCTCCATCGGAACGTGAGCCGGGGTGAGGGGTGGTGAAACGGTCAGACCCCTTCAAGGACATCCTCTCGAAGCCAGCAGGTTGTCCAACCGTATGGCCATGTACACCAGTTGGTCGAAGGTCAGAGTGGTGTCCCGGCAGGCTAGCTCCCTTCGGACATCCTCATGCAGGCTGCATCAGAAATGGTTGATGAGGGACCGCTCGTTCCACCCGGACCCAGCCGCTAAGGTTCTAAACTCTAGGGCAAAGTCTTGCGCGGTCCTCGTCCCCTGCCTCAGATGGAAGAGATGCTCGCCCGCCTCTCTTCCTTCGGGGGGATGATCAAAGACTGCACGGAAGAGGCGAGCGAACTCTCCGTAGCTGTCCAACGCGTCTCCTCCTTCACCCCCCTGACTTCAAGATTTACAGACCGTTATCCCTTCTTTCTTTTCTTTCCAAAACATTTGAGCGTGCTGCCTCTGACCAACTCACTCGCTATCTCTCTCAGAACGATCTTCTTGACCCTTATCAGTCAGGCTTCATTTTGGGTCACTCAACCGAGACTAGTCGATTCTGTGACACAGATGCTCTCCACACTGCCAAAGCTGACTCTCTCTCTTCTGTTGTCATCCTCCTAGATCTATCTGCTGCCTTCGACACCGTGAACCATCAGATCTTCCTCTCCACCCTCTCAGCGCTGGGCGTCTCAGGCTCTGCACACTCTTAGATTGCATCCTACCTGCTAGGCCGCTCCTACCAGGTGACGTGGTGAGGATCTATGTCTGCACCATGTACTCTTACTAGTGGTGTCCCCCAGGGCTCAGTTCTTGGCCTCTCCTCTTTTCTCTTTACACCAAGTCACTCAGCTGCGTCATATCCTCACATGGTCTCTCCTATCATTGCTATGCGGATGACACTCAACTACTTTTCTCTTTCCCTCCATCTCTGCGTGCCTGGCAGATATCTCAGCTTGGATGTTGGCCGACCACCTCAAGCTCAACCTTGACAAAACAGAGCTGCTCTTCTTCCCGGGGAAGGCCTGCCCGCTCCAAGACATCACCATCATGGTTGCCAACTCCACGGTGTCCCCCTCCCAGAGTGCAAAGAACCTTGGTGTGACCCTGGACAACACCATGTCGTTCTCTGCAAACATCAAAGCAGTAACTCACTCCTGCAGGTTCATGCTCTACAACATCCGTAGAGTACGACCCTACCTCACACAGGAGGTGACCCAGGTCCTAATGCAGGCACTTGTCATCTCCTGTCTGTACTACTTCAACTCGCTGTTGGCTGGGCTCCCCGCTTGTGCCATCAAATCCCTGCAATTTATCTAGAACTTCAACCTTCCCAAGTTCTCCCATGTCAACCCGCTCCTCCGCACACACCACTGGCTTCCAGTCGAAGCTCGCATCCACTACAAGACCATGGTACTTACCTACGGAGCAGCAAGAGGAACAGACCCTCCCTACCTTCAGTCTCTGCACCCCCCCCCCCCCCCCCCCCCACCCCCCTTACTAGCACTGAGTTTGCTGATAGCTACTTTATTGAGGCAATATGTACTTACTATGACTGAGATACGTGGTTGTTCCACCTGGATCAGAGCGTCTACTAAATTACTAAAATGTAAATGTAAATGTAAGTGACAGGGCAACAGGATAGATAATAGACTGAGCTGTAGAGCAGCATATGTGGTGAGTGTGTGTGTGTGTGTGTGTTGCATCAGTATGCATGTGTATGCATGCGTGTGGGTGTGTGTGGGCGTATGTAGTGTGTGCGTGTATGTGTGTGTGTTGGGGTGTCAGTTTAAGTATGTGTGAGTGTGTGGGTAGAGTCCGGTGTGTGTGCATAGTCAGTGCAAGAGATTTAATAAAAAAAGGGTCAATGCAGGTAGTCTGGGTAGCCATTTGATTAGCTATTTAGCAGTCTTGTTTAGCAGTTTTATTATGCCTTATAGGTAGAAGCTGTTCAAGTCTTCACTGATAAACAGTTATGACGGTTATATTATTTTCATGACAGTCTTCATCCATAACCGTTGGTTACACGGTTATATGGTAATTGTGCCAGCCCTACACACAACAAAAATATAACACCTACTTGACTATAGTGTAATATGCATGCTGTCTGGGTGTAAAGTCCTGTAGACTGTGAATGCACAGCAGCAGTTGAGCTTATGCCCTGTGAGTAATGTGCTCTATGGATAGCATGGCCCCCAGACAGCACACTTCCTGCCTGGCTCAATGACCCAGTCATCCATGGCCAAACAGGACAATAAACATCTCAAGCCATAAGGCCACGTACGGCCAGTCATGAATGAGAATGCTATTGAGCAAATAAAAAGATGTTCAAAGCGTCCTCATCTGCCACTATTAAACTGGTCTGTGACTGTGAATCAAACACATACCCCCTTCCGTGACGTCAGTTGGTCAAACATGGCTGACTGGCTTTCACCACTGTCCAGACCCAGACCGTCGCCTGTGAGCTGTACCTCTCCACACCCCCCTCCCTCTCCCCTCCTCAGCCCCCTCTGTGTGACAGAGCAGGGGATAATTTTAGCTCACACACGGAAATAACATTTCAGCATGGATGAACCTCAAGGCACAAATTATGTTCACAATGGTAGTCACTGCTTGAGTCATATTCTAATACTGGAGTTCAGTGTGGTTATGAAATCTAATGGCACCGTTATGAAACCTTATGATTATCATATAATGATATCATGATATAAAGGAGCTGCTGTCATACACTGAGTGTACAAAATATTATGAACATGACATAGACTGACCAGGTGAATCCAGGTGAAAACTGTCATCCCTCACTTATTTAAATCCACTTCAATCAGTGTAGATGAAGGGGAGGAGACAGGTTAAAGAAGGATTTTTAAGCTTTGAGACAATTGAGACATGGATTGTGTATGTGTGCCATTCAGAGGGTGAATGGGTGAGACAAAATATTTAAGTGTCTTTGAACAGGGTATGGTAGTAGGTGCCAGGCGCACCGGTTTGTGTCAAGAACTGCAACGCTGCTGTTTTTTTCACGCTCAACAGTTTCCCGTGTGTATCAAGAATGGTCCACCACCCAAAGGCCAACTTGACACAACTGTGGGAGGCATTAGAATCAACATGGGCCAGCATCCCTGTAGAATGCTTTCGACACCTTGTAGAGTCCATGCCCTGATGAATTAAGGCTGTTCTGAGAGCAAAAGGGGGTGCAACTCAATATTAGGAAGGTGTTCCTAATATTTTGTATACTGAGTGTATAGTCCCTTGTTTTGATGCTGAAAAATCTACTTTTGCAAAATGGAGTACTTTCAAAGTGTCCTGTGGTGAAGATAACCCTTCTTCCCTGTTCCAGAGACCTGGACTGTCTGGGGGGAAAGAACCGTGCATCAGTAGCCCTGCCCATCGAGGAGGTCCTCCAGACCCTCAATGACCTCATCACCTACTTCCAGGTGCCTGACGCTGAGCTGGAGCACGAGGAGAAACAGATAATGCTGCGCTCTCTCAAGAACCGACAGAACCTCTTCAAACAGGAAGTGAGTTCATCCACACATGAAGTGTCGGGTCGCAATCCTGCCTGACGGTTGCTTGGCAGCAGAGGACAATAAAAGTCAAAAGTCAGGGGTTTCAATTGTGATTAAGGCAATTTTAGTAAGTGGTCATTGCAGGAGCCGGGCTTAAACGCAGTGTTGCCAAGACACACTGTTTTTAAAGGCTAAATCAATGGATTCTTGGTACAGTATTTCAATGCCATATTGTATTTCAGAGCATTGCTTTTCAACTGTCAGCAGTTTTGTTCTGGGTTTTTCTGTGACAACAATGCAGTGGAGCCTTTTGATAAGCCTCTCTGCCCAAAATTGTTCTCATCAATTATTAAACGTCAGTTGCCTAACCTTGTGCCTGTGATGTTAAATACACAACGTCAACTACTCTCCCTAACTCAAACAAAAGCTGTTGCTGTGGATTTAATTTTCCCCAGTGGTTCACTTTGTCTTCAAGCAATAAGTTGATAACATGAATTAATGTAAAATAGCTGTGTGCAGTGTTTACATAATTGGTATTACCATACACAACACTGTTTCCGGCATACACAGATCCTGCCCTTGGAATGTTTCAATAACCCATCTATATCCCAGCCTACACACTTCTCTATAATTGTATTAACATCCCAAAATGACTCTTTTCCATGCCACTCTCCCATACATTACAGTTGTAAGGTCAATTTTTCATTGTTGACAGCTGATAGGCTTTTCATGGAGTTATAAATCACCTGCAATTTCCCTTCCTCACAGCTGGGCCTGCTGCTTAGCATACCTGATCGCTATTACTGTCCTAGATTAATCATCAAGGCATAGGAGAGACTAGGAGCAGGTTAAATGAGGACACATGATGATGATGTCAGAGTAATGATGGATGTGTCTTTGTTTCAGGGCATGCTGACGCTGGTATCCTGCTGCATTGACCGTCTCAACGTGTACAACAGTGCAGCCCACTTCGGGGAGTGTGCCGGGGCAGATGCTGGGGCTTCCTGGAAGGACATCCTTAACCTGCTCTATGAGCTGCTGGGTGAGAGAGACAATAGAAGAGTCCTCCAAGGAGTCTTATAAACAAGTCATCACACCAATACAGTAACAATCACATCAAGAGTCACAGTAAAGAAAATGGGTAAACACAACAGTAGACAAAGACAGGACAACCTGTCTGCCCCTTGTTTGCTTGTTACACACACGCGCACACAAACACACACACGCACACACACTTCACAGTAATCAATCACAGGGACCTGAGTCATTGTAGCCTGCAATGAAAGCCCTGGCCATCTCTGTGTCCCAGTACTGCTCTTACTGCTGCCGTGGAATTATTTGTCTCAGCTGAGCTGGCATTTACAGAGCCGTTTATGGTCCTCTAGGCACCCTAGGGTGGTGTTTCCCCACCTTACACTCCTGTCTGTGAGGATGCCTCAGTTAGGGCTGGCACAATTACTGTATAACCGTGTAACCAACAGGTATGGATGAAGACTGTCATGAAAATAAAATAACAGTCATAACCGTAAAAAATAATATACAGTTGAAGTCGGAAGTTTACATACACCTTAGCCAAATACATTTAAACTCAGTTTTTCACAATTTCTGACATTTAATCCAAGTAAAAATTCCCTCTCTTTGGTCAGTTAGGATCACCACTTTATTTTAAGAATGTGAAATGTCAGAATAATAATAGAGAGAATGATTTATTTCAGCTTTTATTTATTTCATCACATTCCCAGTGGATCAAAAGTTTACATACACTCAATTAGTATTTGGTAGCGTTGCCTTTAAATTGCTTAACTTGGGTCAAATGTTTCGGGTAGCCTTCCACAAGCTGAATTTTGGCCCATTCCTCCTGACAGAGCTGATGTAACTGAGTCAGGTTTGTAGGCCTCCTTGCTCGCACACGTGTTTTCAGTTCTGCCCACACATTATCTATAGGATTGAGGTCAGGGCTTTGTGATGGCCACTCCAATACCTTTACTTTGTTGTCCTTAAGCCATTTTGCCACAACTTTGGAGTCAACTTTGGAGTCACTTGGGGTCATTGTCCATTTGGAAGACCCATTTGCGACCAAGCTTTAACTTCCTGACTGATGTCTTGAGATGTTGCTTCAATATATCCACATAATTTTCCTTCCTCATGATGCCATCTATTTTGTGAAGTGCACCAGTCCCTCCTGCAGCAAAGCACCCCCACAGCATGATGCTGCCACCCCTGTGCTTCACGGTTGGGATGGTGTTCTTCGGCTTGCAAGCATCCCCCCTTTTCCTCCAAACATAACGATGGTCTTTATGGGCAAACAGTTCTATTTTTGTTTCATCAGACCAGAGGACATTTCTCCACAAAGTACGATCTTTGTCTCCATGTTGCAAACCGTAGGCTGGCTTTTTTATGTCGGTTTTGGAGCAGTGGCTTCTTCCTTGCTGAGCAGCCTTTCAGGTTATGTTGATATAGGACTTGTTTTACTGTGGATATACATTCTTTTGTACCTGTTTCCTCCAGCATCTTCACAAGGTCTTTTGCTGTTGTTCTTTGATTGATTTGCACTTTTCACACCAAAGTACATTCATCTCTAGGAGACAGAACGCGTCTCCTTCCTGAGCGGTATAATAATAATAATAATATGCCATTTAGCAGACGCTTTTATCCAAAGCGACTTACAGTCATGCATGCATACATTTTTTTTGTTGTGTATGGGTGGTCCCGGGGATCGAACCCACTACCTTGGCGTTACAAGCGCCGTGCTCTACCAGCTGAGCTACAGAGGACCACAATGTATGTATGACGGCTGAGTGGTCCCATGGTGTTTATACTTGCGTACTATTGTTTGTACAGATGAACATGGTACCTTCACGCATTTGGAAATTGCTCCCAAGGATGAACCAGACTTGTGGAGGTCTACGATGTTTTTTCTGAGGTCTTGGCTGATTTCTTTTGATTTTCCCATGATGTCAAGCAAAGAGACACTGAGTTTGAAGGTAGGCCTTGAAATACATCCACAGGTACACCTCCAATTGACTCAAATGATGTCAATTAGCCTATCAGAAGCTTCTAAAGCCATGACATAATTTTCTGGAATTTTCAAGCTGTTGAAAGGCACAGTCAACTTAGTGTATGTAAACCTCTGACCCACTGGAATTGTGATACAGTGAATTATAAGTGAAATAATCTGTCTGTAAACAATTGTTGGAACAATTACTTGTGTCATGCCCAAAGTAGATGTCCTAACCGACTTGCCAAAACTATAGTTTGTTAACAAGAAATATGTGGAGTGGTTGAAAAAACGATTTTTAATGACTCCAACCTAAGTGTATGTAAACTTCCGACTTCAACTGTATATATACATTATATTGTTATATACAGTACCAGTCAAAAGTTTGGACACCTACTCATTCAAGGGTTTTTCTTTATTTTTACTATTTTCTACATTGTAGAATAATAGTGAAGATATCAAAACTATGAAATAACACATATAGAATTATGTAGTAACCAAAAAAGTGTTAAACAAATCAAAACATATTTTATATTTGAGATTCTTCAAATAGCCACCCTTTGCCTTGATGACAGCTTTGCACACTCTTGGCATTCTCTCCAGCATCACGTGGAATGCTTTTCCAACAGTCTTGAAGGAGTTACCACATATGCTAAGCACTTGTTGGCTGCTCTTCCTTCACACTGCCGTCCGACTCATCTCAATTGGGTTGAGATTGTGGAGGCCAGTTCATCTGATGCAGCACTCCATCACTCTCCTTCTTGGTAAAATAGTCCTTACACAGCCTGGAGGTGTGTTGGGTCATTGTCCTGTTGAAAAATAAATTATAGTCCCACTAAGCCAAAACCAGATGGGTTGTCGTATCGCTGCAGAATGCTGTGGTAGCCATGCTCGTTAAGTGTGCTTTGAATTCTAAATAAATCATAGACAGTGTCACCAGCAAAGCACCCCCACACCATAACACCTCCTCCTCCACGCTTTACGGTGGGGACTACACATGCAGAGATAATCCGTTCACCCACACCTCATCTCACAAAGACACGGCGGATGGAACCAAACATTTCCAATTTGGACTCCAGACCAAAGGACACATTTCCACCGGTCTAATGTCCATTGCTCGTTTTTCTTGGCCCAAGCAGGTCTCTTATTATTATTGGTGTCCTTTAGTAGTGGTTTATTTGCAGCAATTCGACCATGACGGCCTGATTCACACAGTTCCCTCTGAACAGTTGATGTTGAGATGTGTCTGTGACTTGAACTCTGTGAAGCATTTATTTGGGCTGCATTTTCTGAGGCTGGTAACTCTAATGAACTTATCCTCTGCAGCAGAAGTAACTGTGGGTCTTCCATTCCTGTGGCGGTCCTCATGAGAGCCAGTTTCATCATAGCGCTTGATGGCTTTTGCGACTGCACTTGAAGAAACTTTCAAAGTTCTTGAAATGTTCCGTATTGACTGACCTTCATGTCTTAAAGTAATGATGGACTGTCGTTTCTCTTTGGTTATTTGAGCTGTTCTTGCCATAATAGGGACGTGATAGGGACGTGGTCTTTTACCAAATAGGGCTGTCTTCTGTATACCCCCCCACCCTACCTTGTCACAACACAACTGATTGGCTCAAATGCATTAAGAAGGAAAGAAATTCCACAAATGAACTTTTAAGAAGGCACACCTGTTAATTGAAATGCATTCCAGGTGACTACCTCATGAAGCTCGTTAAGAGAATGCCAAGAGTGTGCAAAGCTGTCATCAACGCAAAGGGTGGCTATTTGAAGAATCTCAAATATAAAATATATTTTGATTTGTTTAACACTTTTTTGGTTGCTACATGATTCCATATGTGTTATTTCATAGTTTTGATGTCTTCACCATTATTCTACAATGTAGAAAATAGTAAAAATAAAGAAAACCATTGAATGAGTAGGTGTCCAAACTTTTGACTGGTAGTGAATATATCGTTTTTTTGTGTGGAATGAACAGCTGACTGAAAAAGGGACGGCCGGGCATTTGTGCGGGTGAGTCAGTTTCTGAGGTGATGAAACTTTGTTGCTCCTTGCTGAAACAAGCAAGGTGTACTAGAAAATGAGTCTTCAGTTGCTCTCCCTGCAGCAGCAGCACACATAGAAATAGAAATTAATAGAACGGTCTTGGAACCTCTAATCCTGGCAATTTGACTGGTAAACTCTTGGGTACACTCACAATGGCTGCTTGCAATTGTGATGCAATAATTTCCATGGTAATGTAGAATGTTCATTCCAATGATGTTAAAGGGGAATGATGTGGCTTATACAATGGAATGTATTTTTTCTAATGTCAGTTGAGTTGAATGTCAGTGGAGTTGAATCACAGCACATATTGACACATCCTGCTTTTACTTCCTGCTTTGCTCCTTGCAATGGCCGCCAGTCCACCCATTTTGCCAGTGGTCCCAACTCCGGTCCTCGAGTACCCCCAACAGTACATCTTTTTATTGTAACCCCGGACAAGCACACCTGTAATGTTCCCTTCACAATGACAGTGGTGAAGAAGGCGTGTGTATTGCTATTGTATTGGCTAGATATTGGGCTCCCGAGTGGTGCCGTGGTCTAAGGCACTGCATCTCAGTGCTTGAGGCGTCACTACAGACCCCCTGGTTCGATTCCAGGCTGTATCACAACCGGCCGTGAGTGGGAGTCCCATAGGGCGGCGCACAATTGGCCCAGCGTCGTCCGGGTTTGGCCGGTGTAGGCCGTCATTGTAAAGAATAATTTGTTCTTAACTGACTTGCCTAGTTAAATGAAGGTTAAAAAATAAATGAATATGGCTGCATTGTTGGAGCTAGAAACATAAGCATAAGATAACATCTTAACGTTGGTTTACCGTCACCTAAAATTCCATCACAGCCCTAGCCTCAGTACACATGCACTCTAGCAACACACACATACACACACACAAACACATATGCATTCATGCTACACACATCACAGTTGCTGCACAATTTAAACACTTGCTCCCCAAAACAGGTGTAAATATTGGACTATAACTTGTGCCTTCCTGTGTTATACTTATGCTACAATGTTTATTCTATTCTACTGTGGCTCCCGAGTGGAGATCCTGGTTCGAATCCAGGCTCTGTCGTAGCCGGCCGCGACCGGGAGACCCATGGGGCGGCGCGCAATTGGCCCAGCGTCGTCCAGGGTAGGGGAGGGAATGGCCGGCAGGGATGTAGCTCAGTTGATAGAGCATGGCGTACGCCAGGGTTGTGGGTTCGATTCCCTCAGGGGGTATGAAAAAAAATAAAAAAAGTATAATAATAATGTGACTAACTGTAAGTCGCTCTGGATAAGAGCGTCTGCTAAATGACTTAAATGTAAAATGAGACATTTACTTTGTTTGTATTCTCATCTTTTCTTATTTCTTATTGTTGTTTCATTGTCGAGAAGGAACCTGCAAGTAAGCATTTCGTTGGACGGTGTATACCATGTGTATCCTGTACATACAACTAACTTAAACACACACACACACACACACACACACACACACACACACATACACACACATACACACACATACAAACATGGGCTTGGGCTGGGGCTGGAGCTCGTTGCTGGGGCTGGGAGTGGATAAAGATAGCATGCAGATTTCACATCTGTGTGAAGTGCTTCCAGGGCTTCTACCCAACATCTCCCCCAGCACATGTCTACAGCACACTCCCAGCCAAGCTGGACTGCCCATGCTCACCAGATGGCTTCAATACCACTTTTACCCATATCCTTGAGTTAGGCCTCTTAATTGTTAGAATACGGTCTTTCAGAGTGGGAAAAACCAGTCCAACCTTACATGTCAGTTGTACATTATAGTCATTCCCTCTTGGTAGTAGGAGCACGTCTCCCTCTCAGAAACTTCCCAGTTCTAGTGTCCGTATCATTGTCTGAGCCCTTCACAGCGTGTTTACATGGTGCTTTCTCCTCATGGGGAGCATTAATGTGCAGACCACGTCCCCCCTCTCATATTCCCTCCTCCACACACCTGCACCAGCTAAATGGATTTGCGAGCTAGGCCTCCTCTCCTCTGTCTATGCCAGGCGACCCTGTCATTTCTTGCTGGGACAACTCTCCTTTCCTCTTCCCCTGATGTCACGCCCTTCCTCTGCTGCTTAATTAATATGCGTAAAGGCTTCGAAGAAGGACACTACTCTTTCCTTGGCATGGAGTGTGGTTTAAGGTGTGTTTTGTGTGACGTTGTTGTTGTGTAAGATGTAAGGTTTGGCAGTGTTGTTGGCTGTAGACCAAAGACAAGCAATTTGATTATATGTTACCTGTCTTCTTCCCTTGACTGACATGGGTGTCATTGTTTGTTGCGGATGATGTGCAGTGTTTTTCTATAGGAGCTATGTTTTTGCTGTACTGTAGGTCAAAGATAAGCAATTTGCATTATCCTCTTCAAACTTGCCAACTGGATATGTAACGTGTCTGTAATATGTCTCCTCCTCTTGACCTGTGACCTTGTCCATGTGTCCTGTAGCTGCGCTGATCCGAGGCAACAGGAACAACTGCACCCAGTTTTCCAACAACCTGGACTGGCTGGTCAGCAAGCTGGAGAGACTGGAGTCCTCCTCAGGTACCATGATAACGCCATGACACGTGTTTAAATGATAACATGATACCACCATGACACGTTTAAATTATAACATGATACCACCATGACACGTTTAAATGATAACATGATACCACCATGACACGTTTAAATGATAACATGATACCACCATGACACGTGTTTAAATGATAACATGATACCACCATGACACGTTTAAATGATAACATGATACCACCATGACACGTGTTTAAATGATAACATGATACCACCATGACACGTTTAAATGATAACATGATACCACCTGGACTCGTGTTTAAATGATAACATGATAACAACATGACACATGTTTATGAGGACAACAATTGAAATAAGCCTGCGGCCTTTATTGTGCTTTTATCCTTGCACATTTTTGTATCTACGTAATGTCTCTGGCTGGAGCAGCCTACTTCTTTTAATTATCCAATCGATTCAGTCAATCAATCAATCAATCAATAAAGCTAAAGCTCTGTGTGACCTTGTCCTACCACTCCTTGACCTGCATGCTGACTGCACATGGTTTAAAAGGTGATGTGTAGTTGGATTACACTGTTGTAAACCCCAGACCTGGTGTTTAGAGTCCTGGATGGGTTTAGTAATGCCTGGCCATGTATTATCATACCCTCTTCTTGTGCTCAGGAGCATGTGTTTGAGAAACAACCTTTTGTGTCTTGTTCCCTTGTCCTCTGTGGCTGTTAATTGGTGATTTGCCATGGCAGGCATACTGGAGGTTCTCCACTGCATTCTAATTGAGAGCCCGGAGGCTCTAAATATCATCCAGAGAGGACATATCAAGTCCATCATCTCCCTGCTCTACAAACATGGACGCAACCACAAGGTGAGCTGGAACCGGAGGAGGACCTGTATCAAATATATCAGCATGATCAAATGAATATACTGTAACTACATAGTTTTTGTTTTGATTCTATTTATCCATCACAAGAGCTTGACCACAGTTTCTTATAGCACAGTAATTCACAGATGAGCCTGCATTTTATTAGTACACCCAGTGCTGACAGGGCTGCAGAGTTGTTGTTCAAATCAAATCAAATTGTATTTGTCGCATGTGCCTAATTTCACCTTAAAGTGAAATGCTTACAAGCCCTTAACCAACAATGCAGTTTTAAGAAAAATAAGTGTTAAGTAAAAAATAGGTAAGTTAAAAAAATTAAAACATAATTAAAGAGCAACAGTAAAATAACAGTAGCGAGGCTATATACAGGGAGTACCGGTACAGAGTCAATGTGCGGGGGCACAGGTTAGTTGAGGTGGCTGGGTCTTTCAGCATGACAATGATCCCAAACACACCGCCCGGGCAACGAAGGAGTGGCTTCGTAAGAAGCATTTCAAGGTCCTGGAGTGGCCTAGCCAGTCTCCAGATCTCAACCCCATAGAAAATCTTTGGAGGGAGTTGAAAGTCTGTGTTGCCCAGCGACAGCCCCAAAACATCACTGCTCTAGAGGAGATCTGCATGGAGGAATGGGCCAAAATACCAGCAACAGTGTGTGAAAACCTTGTGAAGACTTACAGAAAATGTTTGACCTGTGTCATTGCAAACAAAGGGTATATAACAAAGTATTGAGAAACTTTTGATGTTGACCAAATACTTATTTTCCACCATAATTTGCTAATAAATTCATAGAAAATCCTACAATGTGATTTTCTGGAAAAAATATTCTCATTTTGTCTGTCATAGTTGACGTTTACCTATGATGAAAATTACAGGCCTCTCTCATCTTTTTAAGTGGGAGAACATGCACAATTGGTGGCTGACTAAATACTTTTTTCCCCCACTGTATATGTACATGTAGGTCAAGTTAAAGTGACTATGCATAGATAATAAACAGAGAGTAGCAGCAGCGTAAAAGAGGGGGTGGGTGGGGGGGTGGGGACAATGCAAATAGTCCGGGTAGCCATTTGATTAGCTGTTCAGGAGTCTTATGGCTTGGGGGTAGAAGCTGTTAAGAAGACTTTTTGGACCTAGACTTGGCGCTCCGGTACCGCTTGCCGTGCGGTAGCAGAGAGAACAGTCTATGACTGGAGTCTTTGACAATTTTTAGGGCCTTCCTCTGACACCACCTGGTATTCATATTTTTTTTTTCACCTTTATTTAACCAGGTAAGCCAGTTGAGAACAAGTTCTCATTTACAACTGCGACCTGGTATAGATGTCCTGGATGGCAGGATGCTTGGCGCCAGTGATGTACTGGGCAGTACGCACTACCCTCTGTAGTGCCTTGCGGTCGGAGGCCGAGAAGTTGCCATACCAGGCAGTGATGCAACCAGTCAGAATGCTCTCGATGGTGCAGCTGTAGAACCTTTTGAGGATCTGAGGACCCATGCCAAATCTTTTCAGTCTCCTGAGGGGGAATAGGCTTTGTCGTACCCTCTTCACGACTGTCTTGGTGTGTTTGGACCATGATCATTTGTTGGTGATGTGGACACCAAGGAACTTGAAGCTCTCAACCTGCTCCACTACAGCCCCGTCGATGAGAATGGGGCCGTGCTCGGTCCTACTTTTCCTGTTGGGGCTGGGCATTTGACGGTAATGTGTATAGGCATTGTGTAGCAATATGTTTACATTTAAATTAGATCTCCAGCGGGGCTGCCATCTCCTTTGTCATAAATCACAGTGGTTGTATCATTTAGCTGTAGCCCCTCATAAAGCCACTGATAATAAAGCACAGGTCTTGGCCTGGCGCCCTTGGCTGCCGTTCCTTGCCCATTTAATTCCTCTGCTTTATAAAGCCAGGATGGGCCCACATGCATCAAAATGACATTACTGGATGTGGTTTCTCCTGATTAGCATCTCTCAATAATTATGACTGGCTGCATTAAAGAGTGGCTGAATTTTTTTCTGCTGCTCATTAATAAAAAAAGAGATTTGAGTCTTGGGGTGTGGTTCGATGTGGGTGTGTTATGTTTGCTTTATCGTACCCTGGAAGTTACTGTTGTTTGTCCCTATTGAGGCACGGTAGCAACAACATAGCCACTGTCACGATCGTCGTTAGATGAAGCGGACCAAGGCGCAGCGTGATATGCGTACATTCTTTTATTTGCAGTACACAACACGGACCAAAACAACAAAACAAACGATACGTGAAGTCCTGGGTTGAACACAAACCTTCCGGAACAAGATCCCACACTAAACAGTGCCAAACAGGCTGCCTAAGTATGGACCCCAATCAGAGACAACGAGAATCAGCTGCCTCTGATTGGGAACCACCCTGGCCAACATAGATCTACACGATCTAGATCATGAACATAGAAAATACAACATAGACACTACACACCCTAGCTCAACATTTAAGAGTCCCCAGAGCCAGGGCGTGACAGTACCCCCCCCCCCCCCCCCCAAAGGCGCGGACTGCGACCGCGCCAACCAAACACAAGAGGGTAGGGGCCAGGTGGGCATTCCGCCTCGGAGGCGGATCCGGCTCCGGGCGTGACCACCACTCTCTCTCTACCCCCCCGTAGCGCCCCTGGTCTGGTCTGGCCCCGCTGGCCGGAGCTGGACTGGACATCAGTGGAGCGGATTGCTCTGGCTCCGGAGTGGAGCAGCTGACCGGTGCCGGACCAGGCCCCGGTGGAACAGGCATGGACCGTGCCGGACTGACGACGCGCACCACTGGCTTGGTGCGGGGAGCAGGAACGGGCCGGACCGGGCTGACGACGCGCACCACTGGCTTGGTGCGGGGAGCAGGGACAGACCGGACCGGGCTGGTGACGCGCACCACTGGCTTGGTGCGGGGAGCAGGAACAGGCCGGACCGGGCTGGCGACGCGCACCACTGGCTTGGTGCGGGGAGCAGGAACAGGCCGGACCGGGCTGGCGACGCGCACCACTGGCTTGGTGCGGGGAGCAGGAACAGGCCGGACCGGGCTGGCGACGCACACCACTGGCTTGGTGCGGGGAGCAGGAACAGGTCGGACCGGGCTGGCGACGCGCACCACAGGCTTGTTGCGAGGGACAGGAACAGGCCGGACCGGGCTGACGACGCGCACCACTGGCTTGGTGCGGGGAGCAGGAACAGGCCGGACCGGGCTGGCGCCGCGCACCACTGGTTTGGTGCGAGGGACAGGAACAGGCCGGACCGGGCTGACGACGCGCACCACTGGCTTGGTGCGGGGAGCAGGGACAGGCCGGACCGGGCTGGCGACGCGCACCACTGGTTTGGTGCGAGGGACAGGAACAGGCCGGACCGGGCTGACGACGCGCACCACTGGCTTGGTGCGGGGAGCAGGAACAGGCCGTACCGGGCTGGCGACGCGCACCACTGGCTTGGTGCGGGGAGCAGGAACGGGCCGGACCGGGCTGACGATGCGCACCACTGGCTTGGTGCGGGGAGCAGGAACAGGCCGGACCGGGCTGGCGACGCACACCACTGGCTTGGTGCGGGGAGCAGGAACAGGCCGGACCGGGCTGGCGACGCGCACCACAGGCTTGGTGCGAGGGACAGGAACAGGCCGGGCTGGACTGTGGAGACGGACTGGAGGTCTGGAACGGAGAGCTGACACAACCCGTCCTGGCTGAATGCCTATTTCCACACACTCCGTGTGAGGCATCAGCACAGGACGTACAGGGCTGTGCACTCGTACTGACACTACAGCACGTGGCACTGGCGCAGGATATCCGGGACCGAGGAGGGGCACTGGAGGCCACGAGCGTTGAGCCGGCACACTCCGTCCTGGCTGCATGCCCACCTTAGCACGACACGTGCGTGGTGCTAGCACAGGACGTACAGGACTGTGCCGGAACACTCGCGGCACAGTACGTAGCTCTGCATAACTCGGAACCTGCCCAGTCTCACGCTGCCTAGCCTGAGTACGGGGAGTTGGCTCTGCTCTACCTCTAGGCTCCGCCAACCACCCTTCCAGCCCCCCAAACCTGGTGGCCTCCTCTCCTAAATCGCTGATGCGCCCTGTAGCTGCCTCCAGCAGCCCCGTCGTCCATGCCGTGTGCCCCCCCCAAAACATTTCTTGGGGTTGCCTCTCGCGTGTCCGTCGTCGGCACGGTTGGTGCCGTTTCTCCTCGCTTGCCAGGGCCTGTACCTTTGCCCAGGGCCCTCTGCCCGCGAATATGTCCTCCCAAGACCACCATTCGCCCACCTGGGACATCGCCAACTCCTCCTGCTTGGCACGCTGCTTGGTCCTTTTATGGTGGGATCTTCTGTCACGATCGTCGTTAGATGAAGCGGACCAAGGCGCAGCGTGATATGCGTACATTCTTTTATTTGCAGTACACAACACGAACCAAAACAACAAAACAAACGATACGTGAAGTCCTGGGTTGAACACAAACCTTCCGGAACAAGATCCCACACTAAACAGTGCCAAACAGGCTGCCTAAGTATGGACCCCAATCAGAGACAACGAGAATCAGCTGCCTCTGATTGGGAACCACCCTGGCCAACATAGATCTACACGATCTAGATCATGAACATAGAAAATACAACATAGACACTACACACCCTGGCTCAACATTTAAGAGTCCCCAGAGCCAGGGCGTGACAGCCACTACCACTTCCTGTGTGATGAGGTGATGTTGAAGGAGTCAGGCGCAGGAGGGTAAATCACAGAATAACAGGCTTTATTCCACAAATACAGATTTACGCAGTAATGCGTCAAAATCACTTCAGTGCGCAAAACAGGTGCACTGGAAAATACAAAGCACACAGGGAAATATCCCGGCGACACAAAATACATGGAGCTTCACCGAGCTTCACTATCCTCCACAATAAACAATCACACACAAAGACAAGGGGGCAGAGGGAACACTTATACAGGTACTGATGAGGGGATATGAACCAGGTGTGTGTAATAAACAAGACAAAACAAATGGAATGATGAGATGATGAGCGGCAGTGGCTAGAAGGCCAGTGACGACGAACACCGAAGCCTGCCCGAACAAGGAGAGGTGGCAGCTTCGGAGGAAGTCGTGACATCCTGAAAATAGTCCGAATTAATGGAAATCAAGAAATCTGTAATTAATTGTTTTATGCCGAGGAGGTCTTAGTCACACAATTTTACATCTAGCTAAGGTGTTTGGTGCAGTATTTCTCAAATGTGCATGATAAACTAGTCTGTTACCAGAGTGTGTCTGTCTGGCAGTGTTTCATAGGGTTTCATAGTGAATCATGTTACAAAACAGGCCGCGGCGGGACACAAGATGCTCGTGAATGGATTTAGAATTTTGGAATATTGACAAGTGGCATTTGGGATGCAAGTGTGCATCGTCTCAATTCTCATTTTGCCCAAAACATTGGCATACTTGAGTGATCACTATCAAGATCACCGCAGCTCTTTCTCTGTGCATGACAATTCTCCCTAGGGGTTACAATCCCGTGTTACTGGGCAAGTGGGCATGATTGTAATTCAAACCCAACCCTCAAGGAAGTTGTGACGACCTCAGTTACACAAATCTTGCAAAACTCAGTTTTGGAATGTACTGACTTTATGACCATAATTATCCTACTTACGCTTTTTTGTCAATTTTGACACTACAATATATGGTTCTGACTAATACCATGCCACATAGACCGCTATCTACCAGAGAAGTTGTTTTTTAATAGCTAAAGGAAAACGTTTTCCCTTTAATAGTAACATGGAAAAGGACTACGGATGATTTGGTCCTGTTCTCTCTCTCTGTCTCACTTTCTCTCTGTCTTTGTCTCTCTCTCTGTCTGTCTCTGTCTCTGTGTCTCTCTCTCTCTCTCTCCTCAACCTGCAGATTTTGGATGTGCTCTGTTCCCTCTGTGTGTGTAACGGGGTGGCAGTACGAGCCAATCAGAACCTCATCTGCGATCACCTGCTCCCCAAAAGAGATCTGCTTCTCCAGACCCGATTGGTCAATGACGTCCAAAGGTAAAAAGCCATCCAATCCCAGCCCGGAAATATTAGATTAAGACGGTACTGGTTGTAAAGTATGAGGGATGTATAGTGTTGGATATCCTTCTCATTGCTGTGTTTGTTTGATTGGATTGTGCAAGGCAAAGGTGCATATAACAACATCGATCACAATTACCAGTATGTGATTAAGCCCTAATCTGTGTCTCTGATCTTTGGCAGCATGAGGCCCAACATCTACCTGGGAGTGAGTGAGGGCTCAGCCCAGTATAAGAAGTGGTACTATGAGCTGATGATTGATCAGGTGGATCACTTCTTGACCAGCGACCCCTCTCACCTGCGCGTGGGCTGGGCCACCAACAAGGGTTACGCCCCTTACCCAGGTGGAGGGGAGGGTTGGGGGGGCAATGGGGTGGGGGACGACCTCTACTCTTACGGCTTTGACGGACTTAATCTCTGGTCAGGTCAGTTTGTTTTCATCTGAATCTCAAGCACATTAAGTCACCTGCTTTATAAATGATGAGAAGTCACCCAGAGTTTGGGCCAGATTGTGTCTAGACAGTGTGTGTGTCCTGCACGGCAAATCTCTCTGCCCACTATGTGTGCGTGTGCATGTGTGTGTGCGTGCTTTCGTGTGCGAAAGTGAGTGTGTGTCTTGCAGGTCATATTTCTGTGCTGAGACTGTGGTTTATTGCAGGTCGTATCTCCCGGGCGGTGGCTTCTATTAACCAACACATCCTGACCTCTGAGGATGTGGTGAGCTGTTGTTTGGACCTGGGAGCTCCCAGCATCTCCTTCAGGATCAATGGACAGCCCGTACAGGGCATGTTCGAGAACTTCAACATCGATGGACTCTTCTTCCCTGTTGTCAGCTTTTCCGCTGGGGTCAAGTATGTGTTTGTCTTACACACACACCTGTGTCATTTATTTGAATGAACACGTATACACACATACGGGGCACTCTCCTCAAATTGCTTCCTATTCTCCCTCTAGACTGCACAAAAATCTATCTAATCCATCCCTCCATCATTTCCTCTATATATTAATCCTTAGGGGCTCGGATGCAGGTAGAGGCCTACATCTTACTCACGTATGTTGCCATGGCAACTTCAGATTATGTGATTGACATGTCTGCAAAATGACATTTCAGGCTCTAGCAAGCCTTCCAGGATTTCATGATCGACCCAGTTTTTTGCAGCAAAATGGCATTTTACTATTCTGGACCTCTGTCCGAGACATGACGCTTGACAGCTCAAAACATTTCAGTTCACATCAAATTCCACCAAGGCCTGCAAGCTACACTGTATCTCAATTACCACAATAACATTTGCAGAAGCATTATACAAAATTAACAGGAACTCATATTTAAAGAAATTATTATAGTTATTCTGCATATGTCTGTATGTAAGATGTCACAGGAGAGATGCAGGCCACATCATAGACTGTAAATAACAAACCCTGTGGGGCTTGAACATTTCCTGTCCTCTGTGCAGTGAGCCATGCTACGCAACGGCATACACTTGTTAATAATTGATTGGTGAACTGCACTCAATGAGACTTGGAGTGAATGCGTCATCATCGCTACTACTTCAGCTGCTATTTCGGTTATGGCCCAGGAGGGCTTCTGAGTGGTGGGCTGAAATGTTGCATCATTCTCAGAGTGGGGTTAGTCATAGTCACTCTCTGCTCTGCCGGGCTCAGCTGGAGCTTGGTTAGAGCTGGGCTGGGGATGGTGCTCGGTTAGAGTTGGGCTGGGGCATGGTTAAAGCTGGGTTGGGGCTGGGACTTGATTAAAGCTAGGTTGGGGCTGGGTCTGGGGTTCGGTTAGAGCTGGTCTGGGGCTGGGGTTCAGTTAGAGCTGGGCTGGGCCTCAGTTAGAGCTGGGCAGGGGCGGCTAGAGCTGGTCTGGGCCTCAGTTAGAGCTGGGTTGGGGTTCGGTTAGGGCTGGGTTGGGCCTCGGTTAGAGCTGGGCTTGTGCTGGGGTTCGGTTAGGGCTGGGCTGGGGCTCAGTTAGAGCTGGTCTGGGGCTGGGGCTTGGTTAGAGCTTGGTTGGGGCTCGGTTAGAGCTGGTCTGGGGCTGGGGCTTGGTTATTTATTTTATTTTTTTATTTCACCTTTATTTAACCAGGTAAACCAGTTGAGAACAAGTTCTCATTTACAACTGCGACCTGGCCAAGATAAAGCAAAGCAGTGCGATAAAAACAACAACACAGAGTTACATATGGGGTAAAACAAAACAAAGTAAAAAATACAACAGAAATACATATATATACAGTGTGTGCAAATGTAGCAAGTTATGGAGGTAAGGCAATAAATAGGCTATAGTGCAAAATAATTACAATTAGTATTAACACTGGAATGATAGATGTGCAAGAGATGATGTGCAAATAGAGATACTGGGGTACAAATGAGCAAAATAAATAACAATATAGGGATGAGGTAGTTGGGCGGCTAATTTCAGATGGGCTGTGTACAGGTGCAGTGATCGGTAAGGTGCTCTGACAACTGATGCTTAAAGTTAGTGAGGGAGATAAGTGTCTCCAGCTTCAGAGATTTTTGCAATTTGTTCCAGTCATTGGCAGCAGAGAACTGGAAGGAATTGCGGCCAAAGGAGGTGTTGGCTTTGGGGATGACCAGTGAGATATACCTGCTGGAGCGCAAACTACGGGTGGGTGTTGCTATGGTGACCAATGAGCTAAGATAAGGCGGGGATTTGCCTAGCAGTGATTTATAGATGGCCTGGAGCCAGTGGGTTTGGCGACGAATATGTAGTGAGGACCAGCCAACAAGAGCGTACAGGTCACAGTGGTGGGTATTATATGGGGCTTTGGAGACAAAACGGATGGCACTGTGATAGACTACATCCAATTTGCTGAGTAGAGTGTTGGAGGCTATTTTGTAAATGACATCGCCGAAGTCAAGGATCGGTAGGATAGTCAGTTTTACGAGGGCATGTTTGGCAGCATGAGTGAAGGAGGCTTTGTTGCGAAATAGGAAACCGATTCTAGATTTAACTTTGGATTGGAGATTCTTAATGTGAGTCTGGAAGGAGAGTTTACAGTCTAACCAGACACCTAGATATTTGTAGTTGTCCACATACTCTAGGTCAGACCCGTCGAGAGTAGTGATTCTAGTCGGGTGGGCGGGTGCAAGCAGCGTTCGGTTGAAGAGCATGCATTTAGTTTTACTAGTGTTTAAGAGCAGTTGGAGGCTACTGAAGGATTGTTGTATGGCATTGAAGCTCGTTTGGAGGTTTGTTAACACAGTGTCCAATGAAGGGCCAGATGTATACAAAATGGTGTCGTCTGCGTAGAGGTGGATCTGAGAGTCACCAGCAGCAAGAGCGACGTCATTGATATACACAGAGAAAAGAGTCGGCCCAAGAATTGAACCCTGTGGCACCCCCATAGAGACTGCCATAGGTCCAGACAACAGGCCCTCCGATTTGACACATTGAACTCTATCTGAGAAGTAGTTGGTGAACCAGGCGAGGCAGTCATTTGAGAAACCAAGGCTATTTAGTCTGCCAATAAGAATGCGGTGGTTGACAGAGTCGAAAGCCTTGGCCAGGTCAATGAAAACGGTTGCACAGTACTGTCTATTATCGATCGCGGTTATAATATCGTTTAGGACCTTGAGCGTGGCTGAAGTGCACCCATGACCAGCTCGGAAACCGGATTGCATAGCGGAGAAGGTACGGTGGGATTCGAAATGGTCGGTGATCTGTTTTGATTGACCTTTGAAAGGCAGGGCAGGATGGATATGGGTCTGTAACAGTTTGGTTAGAGCTGGTCTAGGGCTTGGTTAGAGCTGGTCTGGGGGTTGGTTAGAAGTGGTCTGGGGGTTGGTTAGAGCTGGGCTGGGGGTTGGTTAGAGCTGGCCTGGGGCTCGGTTAGAGCTGGTCTGGGGTTCGGTTAGAGCGGGTCTGGGGCTTGGCTAGAGCTGGTGTGGGGCTAGGGTTTGGCCTCAGTGGCCCTCAGTGGTTCAATGTTCTGCTCTAATCCCCTCCACTAACCCCTCCTCCACTATCAACCTATCAACCCCCCTCATCACTCTCAAGCTGTCATCCACATACTGAACACACTGATTGACTAAGTCTCTCTCTCTCTCTCTCTCTCTCTCTCTAGGGTGCGTTTCTTGTTGGGTGGTCGTCATGGTGACTTCAAGTTCCTGCCTCCGTCAGGCTACGCTCCGTGTTACGAGGCCCTGCTCCCTAAGGAGAAGATGAAGGTGGAGCCAGTGAAGGAGTACAAGAGGGACATGGAGGGGGTCCGAGACCTGCTGGGGACCACACCGTTCATGTCCCAGGCCTCCTTCATACCCACCCCTGTGGAGACCAGCCAGGTAACAGGGTTATGGCTTTCAGCTCAGAACGTCTCACATGAACTGCAACACGGCTTATCTTAAACACAGTAACAGTGGTTATACTGCATGTTTAAAAGGAGGTTGTACAGTGGTACCTACAGTGTAAGTGTTTCCAAATATCCACAATGTATGATTGATGACATAGGCCTGCTGTACTGTCTACAAACAGATGCTGTTTATCTACGACACAGATTCTTTGTGTTCTCTGTCTCTCAGATCGTCATGCCGCCATACCTGGAGAAGGTCCGGGACAGACTGGCTGAGAATATCCACGAGCTGTGGGGCATGAACAAGATAGAACTGGGCTGGTCTTATGGGAAGGTAGGAGACCTCTTTAACACTGATGGAGAGAATAGATTCACAGAGCACTGGCAGTGGCAAACTCTTTTGGGCAGTCCATGTCATTGACATACATAGGAAAGACAAGATACATTACCGCTAAATGGGTCATCACTCAGCTGATCATTTCAACCAATATAAACATAAATCAACTTTTATCAGGGAAATAAATCTCAGCTTGCAAATGTTTGTTTGTGTTAAACAATTATCAATATAATTGACCTATGTGAAATGCATTAACCCTAACCTAATCTTATAGATTCTACCAACATTAAAGCACCAAAACAAGCCTGTACACCATTATGCTTTCTCTTTTATAATTTGCGGTTCAAACCCAACAGAGGGTAAGTGAAGATTACTCCCATTTTTCTCCTTTTGTGCTCCTCATGCCATTCATTCTACAGACTCCATTTTAGTTTGTTTGTAGGCGAAATACTCATTTTCTGTGTCCTAAATCAGTCATGAATTACAATGCAATTGTTTTACTCAAGGGCACAGCAGGACATTTTGGACATTTTGTTGCAGCAATAAAACAGGAAATAGATCTCAGTGACATGTTTGGACCATTGATAATAAGATAAGATAATTAGGTGTGTGCTAACATTTGTCATATTCCACTCCCCCTGAGACAACCTCAGAGAGTGGGGTCAAAGCCAGGGATCAGCCATTATAACAGCGACCCTGGAGCAATTAGGGTTAAGTGCCTTGCTCAAGGGCACATCGACACATTTTTCACCTAGTCGGCTCAGAGATTTTAACCAATGACCTTTCGGTTATTGGCCCAACACTCCTAACCGCTAGGCTACATGCTGCCCAACATTGTAATTCAGTTCAGGGAACTTTAGTGGACACTTTACTGATTGGATAGACCTTATGAGGGGTATTTTTCTCTCTCACTGATAGTTGAATTACAGGTTATTCAACTGGATGCAAATTCATTAAGTCCTACTGATACTAAGACTGAATGACTGTTTCTTGGTTTCATGTTAGTACATGATTGCCAAAGTGACTTGTTGTGCCCCACTGCCCTTAAAGGTGCAGACGATCAATACCAGAAACAATATGCAACACAGCTCTTATGTCTATATTACAAAGTGATGGATGTGTGTAGAGTAGACCCCCACACACTACCCTACTGAATGATTCTCTCATTCCTGCAGTCCCTCCTTCCACCCTATCCCCCTTTTAAACACCACTGTGATGGTGTGATTTGTCCACCCACAGGATAGCCAGCCAATCCATCAGTTCCAACATCTTAATAGAGCCTTTGATTTATGGTGAGCTCTATTACGCCAGGGTCAAACTCTCATATTCATTTAAACATAATTCTGCACCCCTGACATAGCAGTTCGGCTTTTATATCTGGTTTTAACGAGACCTCGTTAGCTTAGGCCGGGTGACATTGTCCTGGCAGTGCATGGAACTAGCTACACCAGGGAGACAGTGTGCTGAAGCCAGGCTGAACAGAACACATATCTGGACTGCACTGTTATTGTATTCCACTCTCCAGAGAGCACAGCTTCACTGCTGATTTTAAAGAGGTCTGAGTTTTAGTGGCTGTGGTTGCTATGGGGTACAGAGGTAGGGTATTTATATTAGCTGCCTGACACACTTCATGATCGGAGGCTAGTATTGTTATAGAATAGTTGTAATAGTTTTATCAGCATGGACCATTGACGGTATAAACATAGTCTCAAACAAGCTGTGTGACTCCATTCATACCAAGGCTAGTAAGAATAACAGCATGGACGTCTTTGTCCTCTGACAAAGCCCTATTTGAATGGACTGTAATAGGCTGTCTGGACTGTAATAGGCTGTCTGGACTGTAATTGGCTGTCTGGACTGTAATAGGCTGTCTGGACTGTAATAGGCTGTCTGGACTGTAATTGGCTGTCTGGACTGTAATAGGCTGTCTGGACTGTAATTGGCTGTCTGGACTGTAATAGGCTGTCTGGACTGTAATAGGCTGTCTGGACTGTAATTGGCTGTCTGGACTGTAATAGGCTGTCTGGACTGTAATAGGCTGTCTGGACTGTAATAGGCTGTCTGGACTGTAATAGGTTGTCTGGACTGTAATAGGCTGTCTGGACTGTAATAGGCTGTAGGAAACTCTGTTAGGTAAAATAATTCCTGCAGGAGAGTTCTTGTACTATTCACAAAAGAGCTGCCTGGGGTTAATTTAGCACACGAATAGCCATATATCTGTATAACAAAACCACTTCATGTTTTCTTGGTCAACATGGATCTATTCCTGCCTGGGCTGGAGAGAGCAGCCAAAGGGATTGTTTGCGGTTAAACACAGCAGTCAAGAATGGAATTATATATCTCACTTGGTATTCAGGACTCACACCTCTCTATCTCCCAAGAAAACATGCTCCTCCTCTACATTCACAACATGTCCACTAGACTAGACCGCATTATCACTCCAGGACACCAGTAGTCCTTTGTAAGTAGACAACATCCCCACACTCTTAGAAAAAAGGGTTCCAAAAGGGTTCTTCGGTTGTCCCCATAGGAGAACCCTTTTTGGTTCCAGGTAGAACCCGGGTTCTACATGGAACCCAAAAGGGCTCTACCTGGAACTAAAAGTGGTCTTACTCTTGTGGGGACAGCTGAAGAACCCTTTTAGGTTCTAGATAGCACCTTTTTTTCTAAGAGTGTACTCCCCTGTGGATTCACAAAAACCTTGATTGTGATTTGAATTATACTCACCATGGTTTGTATAGTTGTGTTTTTTAATAAGGTATTAGCTTTTGGAATATTTATTTCCCCTTTCCTTAAGACATTTGTAATATGTCAAATATTTGTACATTAACAATTCTCATGTGTTTCCCAGATAAGGGAGGACAATAAGCGGCAGCACCCCTGCCTTGTGGATTTTTCCAAGCTGCCTGAAACGGAAAAGAATTATAACCTGCAGATGTCAACGGAGACCTTGAAGTATGTCCTGCATTATAAGTAACACTATATTAGTTTCACTAAGAAAGAGAGAGAAATAGAAAGACAAGGAGAGATCCCCACTGGACACACCACGTCATATTTGGTTGAGATGTTGATCAATGAGATTTCAACCTTTATTCAACCACACAAAAAGGACTGCCAGACGTTTGTTGAATTCCCAATGTGTTATCACTATGCTTTCAACCATCTAAACGCAATGGAAGAACAATGTCTGATTTTTGATTTAGTTGTCATCTAAATGTCACAGCGTCTTTCAAACATTTAAAAGCACAACAAAGTTTAAGTGTGAATACAATGTCAGATGTTTTTTATTTATACAACTTAATGTGTTTATCACTGTGCTTCATCTTAAAGCACAACCAAATGACCTGAATTGCAGTTGAGATTACATTAAAAGTACATTGTGCAAGTGATCAGATTCTGCACAGATCATTAAAGCAATTGTGAAGATCTCCACAGACCGGTGACCTTTGCATGCTACGTTGAACATGCACAATTAGTATGATTACATAAGAAGACATTTATAGTTACGGTAACCTCAAAATGTGGCCATGGATGTGTTACTCATTTTAAGGTTGAATAGTACTGTTACATTAGTTATTAATATAGCCTTAACTTTTCGCTATATACTGTATTACAAAAGTAATATTGAATTGTGTTTGGTTGACAATCCAACCAAATATCAACATTTAAAAGAGATGTATGTAATGCTTTGATACTTTCATCTGAGCCACTGGCTTAATCCTATTCTTTAACTTTTATTTTTGGTTTAGTTGGAGACGTAAATCCAACATATAATTTGTTAACTTGTCGACAAGTTAATAGGCTATTTACTGTATTGCAAAAGTGATATTGAATTGTGTTTGGCTGTCAACTCAACCAAATATTAACATTTGAAGGAGATGTATCTTTTGTGCCACTGACTTAGTCTGGCTTCAATTCTAGTTTGTCTACAAATGTATAATTAATATGTTGGATTCACGTCTTCATCTCATCCAAAAATCGAAGTAACAAAATAGGACTAAATCAAATCAAAGTTAATTAAATTGCATTTAAAGTTTGATTTGATTTAATCCTATTCTTTAACTTTGATTTTTGGTTGAAATGGAGACGTGAATCCAACATATTCATTATTAACATGAAGATTACATTTGAAATCAACCAAAGCTTGAAACCCTAGGCCTTTATGTATTGTCTATTTTTAGTTTAACGCTGGGTTGAATTTAAAACAATAGCTGTTGATGACTTTGCAAATGCTACAGTTGAAGTGGGAAGTTTACATACACCTTAGCCAAATATATTTAAACTCAGTTTTTCACAATTCCTGACATTTAATCCTAGTAGAAATTCCCTGTCTTAGGTCAGTTAGGTTCACCACTTTATTTTAAGAATGTGAAATGTCAGAATAATAGTAGAGAGAATGATTTATTTCAGCTTTTATTTCTTTCATCACATTCCCAGTGGGTCAGAAGTTTACATACACTCAATTAGTATTTGGTAGCATTGCCTTTAAATTGTTTAACTTGGGTCAAACGTTTTGGGTAGCCTTCCACAAGCTTCCCACAATAAGTTGGGTGAATTTTGGCCCATTCCTCCTGACTGAGCTAGTGTAACTGAGTCAGGTTTGTAGGCCTCCTTGCTCGGACATGCTTTTTCAGTTCTTCCCACAAATGTAGGATTGAGGTCAGGGATTTGTGATGGCCACTCCAATACCTTGACTTTTTCCACAACTTTGGAAGTATGCTTGGGGTCATTGTCCATTTGGAAGACCCATTTGCGACCAAGCTTTAACTTCCTGACTGATGTCTTGAGATGTTGCTTCAAAATATCCACATAATTTTCCTTCCTCATGATGCCATCTATTTTGTGAAGTGCACCAGTCCCTCCTGCAGCAAAGCACCCCCACAGCATGATGCTGCCACCCCCGTGCTTCACGGTTGGGATGGTGTTCTTCGGCTTGCAAGCACACCCCTTTTTCCTCCAAACATAACGATGGTCATTATGTGCAAACAGTTCTATTTTAGTTTTTTCAGACCAGAGGACATTTCTCCACAAAGTACGTTCTTTGTCCCCATGTGCAGTTGCAAACCGTAGTCGGGCTTTTTTATGGCGGTTTTGGAGCAGTGGCTTCTTCCTTGCTGAGTGGCCTTTCAGGTTATGTCGATATAGGACTCGTTTTTACTGTGGATATAGATAATTTTGTACCTGTTTCCTCCAGCATCTTCACAAGGTCCTTTGCTGTTGTTCTGGGATTGATTTGCACTTTTTGCACCAAAGTACGTTCATCTCTAGGAGACAGAACGCGTCTCCTTCCTGAGCGGTATAACGGCTGAGTGGTCCCCATGGTGTTTATACTTGCATACTATTGTTTGTACAGATGAACATGGTACCTTCACGCGTTTGGAAAATGCTCCCAAGGATGAACCAGACTTGTGGAGGTCTACAATTTTTTTTCTGATGTCTTTTGCTTTTCCCATGATGTCAAGCAAAGAGGCACTGAGTTTGAAGGTAGGCCTTGAAATACATCCACAGGTACACCTCCAATTGACTCAAATGATGTCAATTAGCCTACCAGAAGCTTCTAAAGCCATGACATCATTTTCTGGAATTTTCAAGCTGTTTAAAGGCACCGTCAACTTAGTGTATGTAAACCTCTGACCCACTGGAATTGTGATACAGTGAATAATAAGTGAAATAATCTGTCTGTAAACAATTGTTGGAAAAATTACTTCTGTCATGCACAAAGTAAATGTCCTAACCGACTTGCCAAAACTATAGTTTGTTAACAAGAAATGTGTGGAGTGGTTGAAAAACGAGTTTTAATGACTGCAACCTAAGTGTATGTAAACTTCCGACTTCAACTGTATATAGGCCTAAATAGTATCATTGATGATATATGACTTTAGAGTATAGTTACATTTAATTTGCTCTGTTAAAACCTACCCTGGGAATGACTTTGATAGCAACAGTGAATCTATTTAGTTATTAAGAGATCTCTCAATAGTCATTCTCACGATAGCACCTTGGTAGTAGTCAGTGACAAATATCAAAGCTAAACAGGGCTGGATTAAAACCCTGGATGGGAGACCAAAGGGTTATCTGTAGATATATCAACTCTCCAGTAGGAGGTGCTGCCCAGCCTATAGTCTTTTTCTGATAGTGGATATAACGTTGAAGAATCTGACGTTTTTTCAAAGGTACAAATTCAACATATTTTATACATGGTTTGTCTATGTTGAAAATTGTATACCATGATGACATACACTAATCCTGTGGTTGAAATTTCACCCTGATGACTTTTTTCAAATCCAATGTATTTTCCAAATAGATTACATGTCACAATACGTTGGCAAATGACATTGAAACAATGTTGATTCAACCAGTTTGTGCCCAGTGGCATATGACTGACAAAAGGTGTGGGTGAACCAGGGGTCAGTTAGGTAGTAGACTGAAGGCGCTCTCTTGCTGGACTCTCAGCACCCCCAGTGTTCCTGATATCACCCACCTGTCACTGTAGGACATCTGCTATTGATCCACTGACAGCCCACACTGAGAAAAACAAAATAACGTTTCAAGAGACAGAGAAGTGTGTGTGTGTGATTAGAGAGAGAGAGATAAAGTCTGGTTTGAGTAACGTTCATCCCAAGTGACGCTGACACAACAGAGACAGACAGCCTGGGCCCCTAAAGAGCAGCCCTGCTATTCTGCCATCACACCACATCTCTCATTTGTCCTCTTACAATGACAAAGCAATGAGATTTTACTGATACAAGTGTGAATAACTATTTCTTAACAAGTCCTTAAGGTGATTATATGGTTTCATAATGGACCAGGACATGCACAATTAAACAATTCAATGCTCTCTGTGTATGCTCATGCTGGTTCAGTTGCCACTCTGCTTGATGTAGAAGTAGTGCAGAAACCCACCAAACCTAATATCATAACATTATGCCTGCTGATTGTAGTATTTAGTTAGAGTGTGCAGGCAATGTGAGTCACCCTCTCAGAGAGCTCATCCCGTGTAGACAGGTCTTATCGCCAGGATGGAGATTGTTAATCTGTGTCTCTTCACAGGACCCTGCTGGCATTAGGCTGCCATGTTGTCCAGGTCAATGCCAACGCTGAAGAGGACCTGAAGAAGATCAAACTCCCAAAGAAGTAAGAGTCTACTAGACGTTTGAATACACAGATCAGCAAGAACCCAATACATGATTTACCAACTTTTAGAGATTCCTATGTTCTGCATAGGCGAGCACAAAGTATGAAAAATCATGACATATACTGTTTTGTCTAGTAGTTTACCATTCTAATGTCTTGTCTTGTTTTAAGCTACATGATGTCGAATGGTTACAAGCCCACGCCACTGGAGCTGTCTGACGTGAAACTGACCCCAGGCCAGGAACTTCTGGTGGAAAAACTGGCGGAAAACGCCCACAACGTGTGGGCCAAGGACAGGATCAAACAAGGATGGACCTATGGCATTCAGCAGGTTAAAGTACCACACAGGCATCTGCGTTAAAAGTCTTGTGAAAGCACTGCAGGTTTTGACCACAGCTCACATAACAGTTGAACTTGTTATCAGTATAAAATACACCTGTCCACAACCTCAAACAGTCACACTCCAAACTCCACAATGGCCAAGACCAAAGAGCTGTCAAAGGACACCAAAAACAAAATTGTAGACCTGCACCAGGCTGGGAAGACTGAATCTGCAATAGGTAAGCAGCTTGGTTTGAAGAAATCAACTGTGGGAGCAATTATTAGGAAATGGAAGACATACAAGACCACTGATAATCTCCCTCGATCTGGGGCTCCACGCAAGATCTCACCCCGTGGGGTCAAAATGATCACAAGAACGGTGAGCAAAAATCCCAGAACCACATGGGGGGACCTAGTGAATGACCTGCAGAGAGCTGGGACCAAAGTAACAAAGCCTACCATCAGTAACACACTACGCCGCCAGGGACTCAAATCCTGCAGTGCGAGACGTGTCCCCCTGCTTAAGCCAGTACATGTCCAGGCTCGTCTGAAGTGCATTTGGATGATCCAGAAGAGGACTGGGAGAATGTCATATGGTCAGATGAAACCAAAATATAACTTTTTGGTAAAAACTCAACTTGTCATGTTTGGAGGACAAAGAATGCTGAGTTGCATCCAAAGAACACCATACCTACTGTGAAGCATGGGGTTGGAAACATCATGCTTTGGGGCTGTTTTTCTGCAAAGGGACCAGGACGACTGATCCGTGTAAAGGAAAGAATGAATGGGGCCATGTATCGTGAGATTTTGAGTGAAACCCTCCTTCCATCAGCAAGGGCATTGAAGATGAAACGTGGCTGGGTCTTTCAGCATGACAATGATCCCAAACACACCGCCCGGGCAACGAAGGAGTGGCTTCGTAAGAAGCATTTCAAGGTCCTGGAGTGGCCTAGCCAGTCTCCAGATCTCAACCCCATAGAAAATCTTTGGAGGGAATTGAAAGTCTGTGTTGCCCAGCGACAGCCCCAAAACATCACTGCTCTAGAGGAGATCTGCATGGAGGAATTGGCCAAAATACAGTGTGTGAAACAGTAAACACACTAAAGGCTTTATAACATTGAACTAAATAATGACCCTTTCTCAATGTAAGAGCAGCAAGCCCAAAAGCAATACTACTAAATGTGACACTACCCCCACCACCTCCTGCAGAGTGACGAATGACACCTAAAGGATACACAGAATATAAGTATAGCGCCATAGTAATATTGTCAAACGCCCAATTAACTACTCAATGACCCTTATAGATTGGCAGCCCAGTCATAACAAACGCTGGCTTAGAGCTGGTCCAGCAGGATGATGACTGGTGTGCGTGTGTGTCTGTGTGTATGATTCTGACTGTGCCCATCTGTGCTCAATGCAGGATGTGAAGAGCAAGCGGAACCCTCGCCTGGTGCCATATGCTTTATTAGACGAGCGCACTAAGAAGTCCAACCGGGACAGCCTCCGTGAGGCCATCCGCATTCTGATTGGATACGGATACAATATCGAACCTCCAGATCAGGAGGGCGGTAAGTTATCAATACCACACAAAACCATGCTGATATACATAGAACATTACAAGACTTCCTGTGTTGATACTGTGGCCATCTTCCCACCCACCAGGCCATGTGGTGGACAGACTGAGCATCGACAAGATCCGTTTCTTCCGTGTGGAGAGGACGTACGCGGTGATGACGGGGAAGTGGTACTTTGAGTTTGACTTGGTGACGGGGGGAGACATGCGTGTTGGCTGGGCCAGACCTGGATGTAGGCCTGATGTAGAGCTGGGCACTGACGAGCTGGCCTTTGTCTTCGACGGATACAAGGTGAGCCCTCAACTCTCTATTCTACATGCTTATAATGGTATGTCCTTTATTTGTAAAGGGAAAACGACACTTACGTTTATGATAGTTGGGCTCCCGAGTGGCGCAGCTGTCTAAGGCACTGCATCTCAGTGCTTGAGGCGTCACTACAGACCCCCTGGTTCGATTCCAGGCTGTATCACAACCGGCCGTGATTGGGAGTCCAATAGGGCGGCGCACAATTGGCCCAGCGTCGTCCGGGTTTGGCCGGTGTAGGCCGTTATTGAAAATAATAATTTGTTCTTAACTGACTTGCCTCGTTAAATAAAGATAAAATAACATTTAAAAAAAATAGTTGATGATGGCATAGCTAGCCTGGAGAGTATGATTTGTGTATAGTGCATACATTTTCATACTGGCCCCCCGTGGGAATCGAACCCACAACCCTGGCGTTGCAAGCGCCATGCTCTACCAACTGAGCTACACAGGCCTAGTATTGGGATGTGGAGGCTGACTCTCCCTAAGGACAGGTCTGTGTGGATGAATAGTATTGGGCTGTGGACGCTGACTCTCCCTAAGGGCAGGTCTGTGTGGATGAATAGTATTGGGCTGTGGACGCTGACTCTCCCTAAGGACAGGTCTGTGTGGATGAATAGTATTGGGCTGTGGACGCTGACTCTCCCTAAGGGCAGGTCTGTGTGGATGAATAGTATTGGGCTGTGGACGCTGACTCTCCCTAAGGACAGGTCTGTGTGGATGAATAGTATTGGGCTGTGGACGCTGACTCTCCCTAAGGACAGGTCTGTGTGGATGAATAGTATTGGGCTGTGGACGCTGACTCTCCCTAAGTATATCATAATAAATCACATTTTGATTGAGTCAGATTGTAGAGACTGATTGTGTGTGTATATATTCAGGGTCATCGTCTGAACATGGGCAGCCGTTTCTTTGGGCGGTGTTGGCACGCGGGGGACGTGGTGGGCTGTATGATCAACATGGAGGACAAGTCTATGATCTTCACCCTCAACGGAGAGATCCTCATCACCAACAAGGGCTCTGAGCTCTGCTTCGCTGACTTCGAGACGGAGGACGGTGAGTGTGTGAGGCAGCCAGCATTGTGTGTGAGACTGAGGATGAAGAGTGTGTGTCAAGGACCTCTCTAAGCTCTGCCCCCTCTCTGATGTCTCTGTGCCGTCAAAGCACTGACAGACATGCTGCAAAATAAGTGAAAATAAGAGCCTCACCATTATGAATTGACCTTCATATAATGTCACACTTGTAAATGGCTTTTAGTAAAAGCTGGATTGATATCCCCTCCCCCTGCTGTGTGTGTGTTCTTAGAATGAGAAGGGGAATGATGACAGGTGTTCTTACTCTCCCTCACTCTCTCTCTCTCCTTCATTCTCTCTATCTCTCTCTCTCTCATTCTCTCTCTCTCTCATTCTCTCTCTCTCTCATTCTCTCTCTATCACGCTCTCTTACCTCATTCTCTCTCTCTCTCTCACTCTCTCATTCTCTCTCCCTGTCTCTCTCTCCCTCTCTGAAATTCTCTCTCTCTATCATTGATTCTCTCCCTCCCCTCCTCTCTCTCTCTATCACGCTCTACCTCATTCTCTCTCTCACACACTCTCTCTCTCTTTCTCTCACTCTCTCTGTTCCCCAGGTTTTATCCCAGTGTGTAGTCTGGGCCTGTCCCAGGTGGGTCGTATGAACCTGGGGTAAGGACGCCAGTACCTTTAAGTACTACACCATGTGTGGTCTCCAGGAGGGCTTTGAACCCTTCGCCGTCAACATGAACCGTGAGGTCACCATGTGGTTCAGCAAACGCCTCCCCACCTTTGTCAATGTGCCAAAGAACCACAACCACATAATGGTAAGACCGACAATTGGAAAGTCAAAGGGTCAATGACAAAATCAAAATGGTAATATACATGATATGTAGAGGTTCACGGAAGGTTTACCTTAAATAACCAATAAGGTATCTCACTGGAGAATGGCTAAATCAGTTGTCCAAATACATCTCTATCCCAGGTGACTAGAATAGATGGCACCATCGACAGCCCTCCCTGTCTGAAGGTGAGCCACAGGACGTTTGGGACCCAGAACAGTAATGGTGACATGGTGTACTGTCGTCTGAGCATGCCCGTGGAGTTCCACTCCTTCTTCAAGACCAGCCCTGTCATCGACATGAACGGAGTGCACGAAGAGCACGAGTCCCTCAAACTGAAACACAGGTCAGACCTCGTAACACGCATTCACTGTTGTACAACACAAACATCTCTATATGACACTGACAGTATTAAACTTTGTTTCTGTAAAAGCACTTTATCTTCTAACATTTAAAAATGTCCTTCAATGCTGATGTTTTCCTTGTAGACATCCATTGAAGTCTATGAGACACAGTCATGATGGAATAAGAGGAACAGATTACAGCAACATCACCATGGTATGAAATGGATCATAAACAGCTGATGATAGTTCTTGGTTTAATGACACTTCAGGTGCCATGTAGTCAAGCTAACTTGCCACCATGTTTTCTTGCAGTACTACTACTCTGTCAGGGTTTTCGCTGGTCAGGATCCATCCTGTGTGTGGGTGGGCTGGGTCACCCCTGACTACCATTACTATAGCAACCACTTCAACCTCAGTAAGAACCGGACGGTGACGGTTACCCTGGGAGACCAGCGTGGGCGGGTCCATGAGAGGTAATCATGCTGTTAAGGAAACCCTCATCCTCATGTCGGTATGAATAGTGATTAGCAACTAATCCGATACTATGTTATTTTTCCTCTTCCTCTCCCCTCTTCCTCACCCTTCCTCAGTGTGAGGAGGAGTAACTGCTACATGGTGTGGGGTGGGGACGTCACCAGCTCAGGCCACTCGTCCAGTCGCAGTAATGTGGACCTGGAGATAGGCTGTCTCATTGACCTGGCCACTGGCCTGGTGAACTTCACTGTCAATGGGAAGGAGCTGGCCACCTCCTACCAGGTACTGCATAGCCAACTACACAATGTCTCTCTTTAAGATGTCCACTGCACAGTCTACAATATCCTATCACACGTTATCTCTTCAGCCTACTTCCTTCCTGCTGCTATCAGCCCTACAGTCTCTGTCCTATCATTCAGTCTGCCTCTTATCAGACCTACACCATCTATTCTCTAAAAACTGATTTTCCTGTCCTGATCTCTTCATTACTCAGTGTGATAGTCACTCAGTCCCCCCTGCCTCGGGCTCAGCAGCAGGGTAGGGGCTGTCTGTCCTGCCTGCTCGCTCTCAGCTCAGTGTCTGGCTGTCTGTCCTGCCTGCCAGCTCTCAGCTCAGTGTCTGGCTGTCTGTCCTGCCTGCCAGCTCTGAGATCAGTGTCTGGCTGTCTGTGTATGTACTCTCAAACCAGACAACAAAACCTCCTCTTTAAAGGGCATGATCTTCTTAATTTCTCCTCTCGCAGAAACTCGGCAAGCTTTTAAACTGTTCTGAGCCATCCTGCCAGCCTCTTCCCTAGTCTCTCTCTGAGATGCACGCACGCACGCACACACACACACACACACACACACACACACACACACACACACACACACACACACACACACACACACACACACACACACATACACACATATACACACACACACACACACACACACACACACACACACACACACACACACACACACACACACACACACACACACACACACCGAGTCAGATAGCTCTGGAACATCATGCACTCTCAATGCTACTCTTTATAATCCCCCTCTATACTGTATCTGCAGTATGGCCTCAATATGCCTTTTCTGTCTGCAAACGTCTTATGTTAATACTGTGCTCTTTCTTGACCAGGTGGAACCCAACACAAAGCTGTTTCCTGCTGTGTTTGTGCGACCAACCAGCCCCAACCTCTTCCAGTTTGAGCTGTCCAAGATAAAGGTAGAGTAACTCGATTTCAATCCCTACTATCCACGTATGGCCCTGACCTGAAGTCCGTTTTAATTCTATCCACCGTTTCCACTGGTATATCATCCATTGTGTAAACTACAATGTGCTCTGTGTGACCTCTGACCTCCACAGAATGCCATGCCCCTTTCAGCTGCCATCTTTAAGAGTGAGCATAAGAACCCAGTGCCCCAGTGCCCTCCGAGGCTGGATGTCCAGACCATCAACTCAGTGCTGTGGAGCCGTATGCCAAACACCTTCCTAAAGGTGGAGACAGCCAGGGTCAGTGAGAGACACGGCTGGGTGGTGCAGTGTCTGGAGCCCCTGCAGATGCTGGCTGTACACATACCTGAGGAGAACAGGTAGACATTTACATATGCTTACACATACTATGCACACACATACACACATGCACCACACACCCTGGTTGAGGACATAAGCGCTCCTGTATACGTCCTCTATCTGTTTAAACAGTATACTGATCTCCCCACCAGGTGTGTTGACATCATGGAGCTGTCTGAGCAGGAGGACCTGAGGAAGTTCCACTACCACACCCTGAAGCTCTACTGTGCCCTGTGTGCCCTGGGAAACACCCGCGTGGCACACGCCCTCTGCAGCCACCTGGACCAATCCCAGCTGCTCTACACCATCGACAACCAGTACCTGTCGGGCATGCTGCGCGAGGGCTTCTACAACATCCTGATCAGCATTCACCTGGAGACGGCCAAGGAGGCCCGCCTCATGATGAACAACGAGTTTATTATCCCCATCACCGCCGAGACGCGCAGCATCTGCTTGTTCTCCGATGCCTCCAAGCACCACTCTCCTCCCGGGGTGGGCCTCAGCACCTCGCTGAAGCCCCGGCTCAACTTCTACCCCCCCTGCTTCATCAGCACCAAGAGGGAGCAGCACCTGTACAGCCCCCAGATCCCCCTGGATGCCCTGAAGGAGAAGGCCATCACCATGCTGACTGAGGCAGTGCAGGGCGGTGGGCAACACATCAGGGACCCTGTAGGGGGCAGCGTGGAGTACCAGTTTGTGCCCATCCTGAGGCTGATTGGCACACTGCTCACCATGGGCGTGCTGGGCAGTCAGGACGTTCATAAAATCCTGCTCCTCATCGACCCCAACGTGTTTGTGGAGCACAGCGAGGAGGCCGTCACCGTGGTGATGGAGGCCACAGAGAAGGAGGGGCTGACGGGCACCGAGAAGAAGGCGGTGGAGGCCGGGGAGGAGGAGGCGGCCAAAGAGGCCAAGCTGCCAATGAAAGGTCTGCTGGAGAAGAGGCTGCCTGAGCCAGTCAAACGACAGGTAACATGGCCACTGAGACTGAGACACTGCTTCATCTAGGCTTTCAATCACATGCTCTGCAAAAATCCACTGACATTTATAGTCCACTTTAAAATCACTCAACCATGTAATGTCTCTGTATCAATGCTTTCTATTCTAATAAGTTTCCTGAACATATGTGTCATTAGTGTCTGTGTCTAAATCCCAGCTGAAATGATACGTATGTGGAAACTGTGTTTGTCTCCTAGATGTGTGAGCTGCTGCACTACTTCTGTGACTGTGAGCTGAAGCATCGCATCGAGGCCATCGTGTCCTTCTCAGACAGCTTTGTCTCCAAGCTGCAGTACAACCAGAAGTTCAGATACAACGAGCTGATGCTGGCCCTCAACATGTCTGCTGCTGTCACCGCCAAGAAGACCAAGGAGTTCCGCTCCCCTCCCCAAGAACAGGTACACACTGAAATAGAAATAACCTAAGATGGCCTCGTAGTTAATGATGTAGGTTATGGTGAGTTTATCATCTCCCTCCTGTAGAGTTACAGTATGAGAAAGTCACAGACAAGCAGTTTTAGTCACAGACTCTCGGCCGTGGCCTTAAATCTGTGATTGAGTTAGACTTTTTGAAATGCTGCCCACTTCATGACAACTGGGATGACTGCAGACATCTGTGTGTGTTAACCTTGTTACATTGATATAGAGTTTGCACATTAACACAGAACAGGCTGCTGCTGAGACTACTGTTCTGAGCGAGCGAGCGAGCACACGCACACACACTGCACATTGTTCTCTTAAACCTCAATGGCACTCTGTCCACCTCTCCACTCTAAACTCTAGTGAGTAGTGTGGGAGTATTCAGTAATTTTTCCACATTCATGGTTAATATATTTATTCCTTTTCCTCAAATTCCCTTTGGTTTTGTATCAGTGGGTTCTTTCATTGCTCCCTAGTGGCGCAGCTGTATCACAATCCGGCTGTGATTGGGAGTCCCATAGGGCGGCGCACAATTGACTCAGCGTCGTCCGGGTTTGGCCGGGGTAGGCTGTCATTGTAAATAAGAATTTGTTCTTAACTGACTTGCCTAGTTAAATAAAATAAATAAATAAAAAATTGTGGAGAGTACCGCTCAGCTGGCCCGGAGTGACTGAGAGAGGCTTAGTGACCGTCTCTCTAACTGCTCAAGGCTGGGGGAATCCATCCCTGTCTGCTGTGTTATTGCCCCTGCCCGGGGACGGGGACACATCCAGGCTTTACGACCTCCCCCCCTGGCCCTGCCAGACAGGAGGAAGGGAAGGACACCTCATTTCTTAATCTACACAGCACTTCAGGGTCACAGCTCCCTGCTTACTTCATCACTTTTCACAAACTTTAATGTTGTTTTACCTGGATCCTTCAGTCTCTATTACTGCACACAAGCTTTGTCATATTTACTATTTTTCTGAACTATCTATGTATAAAGTGTGTAGGGCCCATTGCATACTACAGTCATGTGGCCTAAATGACAGTTTATGTGTGTGTTTCAGATTAACATGCTGTTGAACTTCAGTACGGGGGAGGACTGCCCGTGTCCAGAGGACATTCAGGAGGAGCTCTATGACTTCCACAATGAGCTGCGGCTGCACTGTGGTAAAGAACAACATCAGGAGGGTTTATGTCTCCAGTCTAGACCTGAAAATTATGACCTGCCATCTCACTAGGAATAAAAATGAATGGCAGCATTACAGGGCCTGAGTGGGAAATGATACCGTAGAGATGAGATGTGGAATTTATTGAAAACAAAACTATGTTATTACTCACAGCAAATTGGACACAATGCTTGTCCAAATAGGACTGGTGAAAACATCCCCAGCAAGAGTTATTATAATTGCATTTTTCACTTCAAAAACGATGTAATATAGTTAGTTCTCATCCTGTATCCTTGTAAATGTATGTTTATTGTCTGAGCTCCCAAGGTTAATTTGAATTACAGGAGGATATTGTATTAGAGCTTCCTGTGCGTTTCTTTGCAAAAAGGATGTCTTCTCTCTCGCTGCTGATGTGTTTTAGTTCATTGCCTCTCCAGATTGCTCTGACATCTTGATGTTTTGCTAAATCATTGAAAAGGGCTGTACCTAGGGGGTACTATACCGATGTAATGTCTTCTACAGTTATGCTGCACTTCTCTGACCTGAAGCAGCACCTTAGGATGGAGACTGCATGAACAGAGAAAGGAAAGACAGAGCAAAATAAACCCTATGATACAGCTGACAGATGTTGCCAGATTGACCCATAGGAAACAATATTTGTCCAGGAGTGGGATTTTATTCCTGTGCTGTGTGTTTATGTAGGAATCCCTATGGAGGAAGAGGAAGATGAGCAGGACACGTCTATTAAAGGTCGTCTCCTGGCCCTGGTCTACAAGATCAAAGGTCAACCTCTGAAGACTGAAGAGGAGCCCACGGAGCAGGAACAACAAGCCCCCTGTAACACTATACTATTAGTATTACTATTATTTCTATATGTCACAGCCAGCAATAACATGAACTGGCGACTCTGAAACCCACCTTGTCCCGCTAGTCCTGTAGTCCCTGAAGATAATACAGTCCCTCAGTAATAGCATGTTTCCTAAAAGACTCCTATAATAGGTTATCTCTCCAAAACAAGTCACTGTTTACTCGCTCAGTACGGGGGAGGACACAGGAGGACAGGGAAATTGAAAGCAGGGTAGCTGTTGAATAGTGATGCTGGCATACAGGCCCTGTTTCATTTGTCTGGCATGTAGTACAGACACCCAGTGGCAGTCATTTCCATTTCAATTTCAATTTTACTATGGTAATGCAGACCCGGTATAGGATTGGCTGCTCCGCCTGGTAGTGAGGGGCATCTTCACTCAGTCCTGCTCTTCTGCAGAGAGAGGGGGAAAACACTGCACTGATTGAACTCAGGCTTCTTTATCCCGATCACACACACACACACACACATGCAGAGCACTGTACCAATGTGAGTACAGTATGGAAATTGTCTGACATTCTTCATGTACAATGCAATGTCAGAGGCTACTAATGAATTAACTGATTGCCTCTAATCAAGACTCCATAAAAAAATTATACAACAATGTTTCACAATAGCAGAATCCTCAATATTATCAGGACAACTCTACATTTCTTGAAACATTATCCTCCCGAGTGGCGCAGTGGTCTAAGGCACTGCATTGCAGTGCTAGCTCTGCCACTAGAGATCCTGGTTTGAATCCAGGCTCTGTCGTAGCTGGCCGTGACTGGGAGACCCATGGGGCGGCGCACAATTGGCCCAGGGTAGGGGAGGGAATGGCCGGCAATGGTTGGTAGAGCATGGCGTTTGTTGTGGGTTTGATTCCCACGGGGGGCCAGTATGAAAAATTTAAAATAATGTATGCACTCACTAACTGTAAGTCGCTCTGGATAAGAGCGTCTGCTAAATGACCAAAAAAATGTTTTTGGTCAAACAGGAAGATGAAAAACATGTTTGCATTCTTCCTGAAAATGGGTACAGCTCACTGCCAATAATAAGAGTGCTTCTGGCATGGACAACTGCCCAAATTGCGGCGGGTAAATTTGGCCTGAAATATGCACCTATGAATGCAGATGGTTTAAGGCAATCTGTCCCCAGACAGTTAGACTGACCCCGATGTGGACCACATGAGACCCCACGATTGATCTCACAAGAGAGAGGAGATGAAAATAGACGTTGTGTATTTCCACTAAAAGACTTGTTAGGGTATTTTCTTGCTCGTGTTGGCTGTTTTCTTCAGACATGATTGATTATAACCATGCTGTGTAACAGCAGCCTGGGTACAGGGTTTCACTGCTACTGTAGGAATTAGGAGTCCTGCAGGAAGGAGTGAAGAAGAGAGAGTGAAAAAAGGAAAGGGTGCAATGCAGTGCTTTGATGCATCTAGTACAGTGTATAGACCACTCTGTGTTTCCTCTTGATAGAACTTCCACAATTCCCAGAGGTGTTGTTTTGGAGAAGTCCCACTAATCAACACCCCTACCCGAAACTCTACTTCCCCCAGCCCCCCTTAGCCCACAGAGAGTCCTGATTCAGCAGTGACACAAACTCTCCTCTGCAATCCCCATGTCCTCATGGCTGAGTGGTCCTATTACATTTGGTCAGCTGTTTTATGGGCCCTCCACGGCCTCCAGTTTCTCCACATGTTCCACTCCCCCAGGTTCGTCCCTCTGTCACCTCAGCTTTCCCATGGGACCTTGAGAATACAGCAGGGGCCCTAAAGTCCACCGTAACTCCCATAGGACGATGATCAGATCACAGAATAAAGGCAATAGCTCTGCCAAACTCCCTGACCTAGTATTTATTGGCCCAAAATGATTTGCTTCCTGTTGAGCGGGCTATGTGAAATGTAGTGTGAGGAGTTTAGCTCCACTGGGCCTGCCGTTTGTTCATCAGAGGAACTCTATTGTCATTCCTGGCAGCTGAGACATGCGCGTCTTTATGTATTGAGAGAAGGTCGTTATGCTCCTTGTAGCTGGAGAAGGACAAATGTTAGTCGTTTAGGAGAACGCCTGCCCTTCCTGCCTCTGGTGCTGGGATTGATTACCACTGACTGGGGCATTCTGTTGTTTTCCCGCTGCCCAACCCGACAGTGATGATTGACATCCCAGTGTTGTCTGTTTTACTAGCCAAGCCAATCAACCAGCAGAAACAGAGACTTTAAAACACAGCCACCTAATTGTCCCCCCCCCCCCCCCCTCCCCACTGCTCTAAATTTGTTACTGTTCTCACTCTGGCGAGGCTACCTAACCTTGGAAAACAGACAGACACACACACACACCACCGCTACACACTGCCACACACCACCGGTACACACTGCCACACACTACCGCTACACACTGCCACCACTACCGCTACACACTGCCACACACACCGCTACACACTGCCCACACACCACCGCTACACACTGCCACACACTACCGCTACACACTGCCACACACCCACCGCTACACACTGCCCACACACCACCGCTACACAACTGCCACACACTACCGCTACACACTGCCACACACTACCGCTACACACTGCCACACACTACCGCTACACACTGCCACACACCACCGCTACACACTGCCACACACTACCGCTACACACTGCCACACACTACCGCTACACACTGCCACACACTACCGCTACACACTGCCACACACCACCGCTACACACTGCCACACACCACCGCTACACACTGCCACACACTACCGCTACACACTGCCACACACCACCGCTACACACTGCCACACACTACCGCTACACACTGCCACACACCACCGCTACACACCACCACAGGCATATTGATCTGGTTTTATTGAAGCGTTGAGGCTTCCCTTCAAATGAGCTGTCCAAACTAATGACTCAGTTAACCGGGAGAGGCAGCAGAATATGGTACAGTACTATTCATACCTCTTACTCTCCCAGTGAGTCTCATTCTTACATAAGAGTGCTTCACTTCCGCTCCACCGAGAATGGGCAATCGCCTTTTCATGGATGAATTAGCAAAAGTGTTTTCTTTACAAATGACAAACGGAAAAGAATGACATTGACATTGCTCACACAATTTATCACCTTTCCTTTTGAGAAGAGACTTGTTGCTGTGTGTTATACACAGACAGTGTTCTAGAGAGAGAGAGAGATGCTTCTAATTCAAGGTCTTATTTGCATCACTGAGCCAGGCTCCTGAATTGAGTCTTTGAATGGTTTCCCTTTTATCACTCTTGCATGGTGACAATGGACGGAAGTGGGATCAGCTAGTCAAGTGCAGTCTCTTTAACAGCAGTGTGAGGGGGATTTATGAAGTGTGCAGGGCTGCTACTGAAGGGCCAGAAGAGCCCTGCTGTGTCTCTGAGGCAGACCTCTATAGGTGGAGGTCATTCTCTGTACACAAGGACACACAGGCCAGAAGGCACTGCAGAGCAGAGCTAACATCAACTAGGGCTGACACTGCAAGCAAGTCTCCGCTGGATAAAGAACATTTAAAAAGGCTCCCACTTAGAGTATTAGTACCATCTAACGTACTACCGTCTACTGGTGTTGTCCTTACCACTATTCTGTGCATTTTGCAACGTCTGGTCTCTTGGCCGTCCCACCCCTACGGGGGCTCAGCTCCCGCTCAGCCCAGTCAAAGCTCTTCTCTGTCCTGGCACCCCAATAGTGGAACAAGCTTCCCCTGAAGCTAGGACAGCAGAGTCCCTGCCCATCTTCCGAAAACAACTGAAACCCTACCTCTTCAAAGAGTATCTTAAATAAGACATCTCAGTCTTATACAGTATGTAACCTATATCCTAACAATGTAAAGTCTAGGAGTTAATGAGGTTCTGCTTATTCCCCCAGCCAACCTTAAAGAGCTGATTAGCCAGACAATGGTGAGCTGGGCTCAGGAGTGCCACATCCAGGACCCGGAGCTGGTCAGAGTGATGTTCAGCCTTCTGAGGAGACAGTACGACAGCATAGGAGAGCTGCTCCGGGCCATGAGGAAGAGCTACACTATCAGTGCTGCCTCTATACAGGACACCATCAACCTACTGGCCTCTCTGGGTCAGATCAGATCACTGCTGTCCGTACGCATGGGCAAGGAGGAGGAGAAACTCATGATCGATGGTCTGGGGTAGGCAGGGGCACATCACAGCTAAAGTCTGCATGAACATAGTCTGATAATTAGGTATTTTTAGTGGATGAAATATCGTTTACAAGCCTTTGGTAACTTCTAAGATCGATACAATAACAATGTTGCATGTTAAGGCATCACTCTGTTCTAAGCATTCTCTCACATGTTCTGAGTTGCTTGTGTTTTGTATTTCCGTCCAGTGACATCATGAACAACAAGATATTCTACCAGCACCCCAACCTGATGCGTGTGCTGGGCATGCATGAGACGGTGATGGAGGTGATGGTCAACGTGCTGGGAGGAGGCAAGTCCCAGGTACAGTACAGGACTGAGGATAGAGGAGACTGGTGTATCACAGCATCCATGACATACTGCAGAGGTGTTGATGAGATATTACATTAGCACTGTGACTACTGGGTAGGTGTCAGATGCAGCATACCAACTCCCAATTAAAGGGAATTATTTTAAAACATCGTTTTTAAAAATTTTAACTACCCTCTAGACCACGTGTCAAACTCATTCCACGGAGGGCCGAGTGTCTGCGGGTTTTCGCTCCTCCCTTGTACTTGATTGATGAATTAAGGTCACTAATTAGTAAGGAACTCCCCTCACCTGGTTGTCTAGGTCTCATAATAATTGCTGGAATGGAATGGTATCAAACAGATGGAAACCATGTGTTCGATTTATTCTGTACCAGCCATTACTATGAGCCCGTCCTCCCCAATGAAGGTGCCACCGCCCTCCTGCGAAGGAGTTTGACACCCCTGCTCTAGTCTAAGTTGGGAGGAGGGGTTCACTAAGCTAACGTATGGAATTGTTTTAAGATGGTCATACCAAGGGTCATTTAGCTATTTGATTTGGAATTTTAGGACCCCTTTAGGTATCCGCAAAAAATACAATATTTGATGAAACATTGAATTTGGCCTTACTGCTATTAGCCCATAGAAACGTATTGAATAACAGATTCATACGTGGAAAAACACTCTCAAAAAATTTTTTGTTTTGAAGTGTCTGTCCTATATCTGAGAGATATATGAAAGCCAGAAAAAGAAAATATATGGAATTAACCATATACATTTAACATGGAAATGCCCTATTCACTTCCATTCATTTTTTGGCCCAGGTACCGGGTTACCTTTCATCCCGGTACCATGACACTTGTGGGGGTTGTAGAGCGAAATGGAGAACACCATCCTGTTTGTGAGAAACTCATCTTTCCATAGAGGGGGGTCATATTACTGTGTAGCCCAAACCGTGAGAAGAATGATTTCGGAAGACGATTTTCGGGATGTCTCCTGGTCTGACAAACACAGCTGTAGCTCGGCCACCTTCCACTACAGATGTAGAAGGCCGCTCTGATATCTCTAGCTTAAACAGAGGGATTTTGATAGGGATTTTTTTTTATGCCTTGAGCGGAGCATGTGGGGAACTCAAGTGGAAAAATTATTTTAATTACATTTATTTTATTATGCCCAGCTCATTAAGCCCCTTGATGATGTGAGGCTTGAGGCAATTACCTCTTCTGCCTAATGGTAAGTCCGCCAGTGGCCATAGGTTATCTATCATACTATCTGGTAGTGCCTGTCTTGACTGCATCAAATTATTGTAAAGAAGCTAAAGTAGCAAGGCTAATTGAGGCTATTTTGCTGCGCTCCCCATCCAATGTCTACAACAGCCTACCTGTTGGTTGATCATTGTAGCCTACTCTTTCTCATTTAGCCAACTTAATTCTGTAATTTTAATTCAATTTTCCATTGACTAGAAATCTCCCACTTCACTTTCTACACATGGAGCCTCTGACTGTAGCACCGTTTTGATTGACCGACAATAACAACAAGATACACGTGTGAAACGTGTGAAGGCTACCGGTGTGTCTTTTTTATGGGGCACACTCATAAAACTGTTTTATAAAAATGTTGATTGTCATGGTTTATCTTTGTAGGCTATGTAGCAATGTCACATAGACAGTCGTATTTAATTTTAGACAAAGCCTTTTTTTTAAAGGCCTATTTATTTATTTTCTTCATGAATACTCTCCCAAGTAATCGAATATTAACGTCCATTCAGATATTCAAATAACCGTGCCCATCCCTAGTTGAGAGAAACTCTTCCCACAGTCAGAGCAGTGGTAAGGCTTCTCTCCTGTGTGTACTCTGAACTTTTAGCTCAGCTGATGTTGTGAAGCCCGTCCCACAGTCAGAGCAGTAGTAAGGCTTCTCTCCAGTATGTATCCGTTGGTGTCTTTTTAAGTGGCCTAATACGGAGAAACTCTACCCACAGTCGAAGCAGAAGTAAGGCTTCTCTCCTGTGTGTGCTCTCTGATTAACTTTAAGGTCATTTGATGTTATAAAGCATTTCTCTCCTGTGTGTATATATTGATGTATTTTTAAGTGGCCCAGTTGAGAGAAACTCTCCACAGTCAGAAGAGTGTGCACTCTGATGAAATGTCAGAGCCCTTGATGTAGTGAAGCTCTTCCCAGTCAGTGCAGGATTACAGATTCTCTCCTGTGTGTATTTTTTGGTATATTTTAAGCTTTGATAGAAATGGGAAAATTTCCTCACAATGTGGGCAGTGGTGAGACCTCTTGGCTCTGTGATCTTCCTTCAGTTGCTCTCTGGATGTAGAGAATGTCTCAACACAGTGTCCTTTGTGAACAACATCAAAATAACAAGTCAGTTGGTATGATATACATAGGACTTCATATCAGTAGGCTGTACGTTACAGAAGGGGAATAAAACTATTCTAAAAGTGGGTAACAGTCAATGGCAGAAGGGGAAGAAGGAGTTAAAATTATCGGTCATATCATCCTCTACTCACTATCACAAAGGTTAGCAAATACAGACTAATTTAATAGAATTTCAAAACACTGGCAGTGTGTCTATCTAACGTCTTTAGTCTACTCTCTGAGCACTCCAGAATAAAGCCTAGTGAATAAGATAAATGCTGACAATACTAGTGTCAAACCATGCAAGTTTCGGTAACCTGAAATGTCATCTACCATTTCATTAAAATAATTCATCATGAAACAGTTCTACAGCAACCTGTCATGCACAGTGGGAAGTTGGAATGAACAACAGAAGCTTTGTTGAAATTGGAATGTCAGTGCACTTCCTGATTTGACTGGAATTGCAATGGAAATGACCCCAACCCTGGCTACTACACAGACTCATTTCATGGAAATGTCACCATGTCATTGTTGGGTGAAAAGAAGAGCAAATGTTGATTACTTTTTCCAAATTCACGTCTCCATCTCAACCAAAAATCAAAGTTAAAGAATAGGACCTCATCTAATCAAACGTTAAATGCACTTTCAGTAAGGTTTGATTTTATTTAGTCCTATTCTTTAACTTGGAGAACTTGATGATTACATTTGAAATCAGCCAAAGCTTGAAACCCTAGGCCTTTAGGTATTGTCTATTTTTAGTTGAACCCTGGGGTTGAATTGAAACAAAAGCTATTGATGACTTTGCAAATGAAATATAAGCCTAAATAGTATAATTGATGATATACAGTATAACTTATAAAGTATTGTTACATTTAATTTGCTCTGTTAAACCTACACTTTGGAATGACTTTGATAGCAACGGTGAATAACATATTTAGTTATTAAGAGATCTCTCAATAATCATTCTCACAATAGCACATAGTAAGTAGACAGTAGCCAGGTTTCCGTCCAAGCTTTTTATGCGAGTAAAGTCAAATGTCAGATAAAAAATTTAATGACAGACCTGATGGAAGCAGAACATTTCAAACTTTCCAAATGTCGACACAACTGAATACACTAGACAAGGTGGGATCTTTTAGTGTCTGTAAAATTAATTAGGCCATGCGAGAAATGTCGGTGGAAACACTTTAATGCGCAAATATTGATAGAATAACCATCATATTGAAGTAAACTTGGAGTCAAGCGATGACATGTTGTGTGGTCCTCTCACTACGACTCGTTGGGAAAGCATGCAGTTTATTAATCTACAGATTAAATAAATTATGATGAACTTCACAGGGTGGTGAAAGTGCAAGGTACGCACAGCCTTTTATCCCCAACAAGTCAATTTGATGGAAATACATCTCTGGTGGGAAAATGCGCATATTGTTTTTATGCAGATTTTAGAATATTTGCATGAAAATCTGTCGCCAATTTAATGAAATTGAAAACCTAGCCAGTGACTAATATCAAAGCTAAGCAGGACTGGGCTTGTTTAAACCCTGGATGGGAGACCAAATGATCTAGCTGTAGATAGATCAACTCTCCAGTAGGAAATGATCTAGCTGTTTATAGATCAACTCTCCAGTAGGAAATGATCGAGCTGTTTATAGATCAACTCTCCAGTAGGAAATGATCGAGCTGTTTATAGATCAACTCTCCAGTAGGAAATGATCTAGCTGTATATAGATCAACTCTCCAGTAGGAAATGATCTAGCTGTATATAGATCAACTCTCCAGTAGGAAATGATCGAGCTGTTTATAGATCAACTCTCCAGTAGGAAATGATCGAGCTGTTTATAGATCAACTCTCCAGTAGGAAATGATCTAGCTGTTTATAGATCAACTCTCCAGTAGGAAATGATCTAGCTGTTTATAGATCAGCTCTCCAGTAGGAAATGATATAGCTGTAGATAGATCAACTCTCCAGTAGGAAATGATCTAGCTGTTTATAGATCAACTCTCCAGTAGGAAATGATCTAGCTGTTTATAGATCAACTCTCCAGTAGGAAATGATCTAGCTGTTTATAGATCAACTCTCCCGTAGGAAATGATCAGCTGTGATAGATCAACTCCAGTAGGAAATGATCGAGCTGTTTATAGATCAACTCTCCAGTAGGAAATGATCTAGCTGTTTATAGATCAACTCTCCAGTAGGAAATGATCTAGCTGTTTATAGATCAACTCTCCAGTAGGAAATGATCTAGCTGTAGATAGATCAACTCTCCGTAGGAAATGATCGACTGTTATAGATCAACTCTCCAGTAGGAAATGATCGAGCTGTTTATAGATCAACTCTCCAGTAGGAAATGATCTAGCTGTTTATAGATCAACTCTCCAGTAGGAAATGATCTAGCTGTAGATAGATCAACTCTCCCGTAGGAAATGCTGCCCGCCTATTGTTATTTTTTTCTTATAGTGGATATAACATTGAAGAGCTGACATTGTTTCAAAGGTACAAATTCAACATATTGTGTTGAATGTTTGTCTATGTATAATTATTTTTACAATTATAACATAATCCTGTAGTTGAAATTCCACCCTGATGACTTTTTCCAATCCAATGTATTTTTCACATAGATACCACGTCACAGTACGTTGAAACAACGTTGATTCAACCAGTTTCTGCCCAGTGGGTAACTTATAGAAAGAAAGAACCTGCCCTTACCATGATAAACATATTTTCCATTCTTCTCCTCTTCTTCATCTTTAATGTTGGCATTCAGCTCCAGTGTTTGACTGCAGTCTTCCAGCTTCACTGAGGCCATCTCTGGATCCTGCGGTGCAAACTGCTTTCCACTGTCACAAACAGGCTTGGACTCTGTGTGGAAGGAGAGAGGCAGGCTGGGTTTGTCCTCACTGTACTCACTGTTAATCTGGCAACTCTGGATAGGATCCCATTCCTATATAGAAGTCTGAGTTCAACCTCCTGGTCGTCCCCTGTGCATGCCACACCCTTCCCATGGTACTGTATGTATGAATAGATTTTGAATAATGGCTGCCTAAAATGCTGTGGTGCTTACAAACACAATAGGAAAGGTGGTGGCAGATGTGGGCCATCACAGCTGAGTTTACAGCTTTTTCACTCTCAGCGTTCATATCAATGACTCACCCTCAAATGGACCATCAATACCAGAGTTCTACAAGACTATTTACATAATCAACCAGGCATTTCAATAGCCTGATCCTCAGTAAAGTTCTGGGCATATATTGAGCTCTAACAATGGGGCGTGGAAAGGGTCTGTTGAAATGAATGCTGTAGTGGTGTGAGAAAGGTTACACAAGCTTCCTCTCTGGTTCCATTGCCTAATAGTAAGTATTGGCACTGTTGTTTGGTCACCTCACCAGACCTCCAATATGGTTAAGTATCCTTTATCCTTATTGAACCATATCAAAATAACAGTGTGCAATCAAACCATATAACCTGGTTCAATCATTCATGACATTACCCTGACGAAGGCACTGTGATGCCGAAACATTGGTGGTTTACCCAATACATTACTGAGAGCTTGTATATAGACGATGTACCGCTCTGTATGTTTTATAAGCATATATTGAGCTCTAACAACGGGGCATGGAAAGGGTCTGTTGAAATGAATACTGTAGTGGTGTGAGAAAGGTAACACAAGCTTTCTGGTTCCATTCCCCAATAGTAAGGTGTCATTCTTGAATGTTGTGGTAGTAATGTCCTTGGACTTTAATAAAAAAAGCTTGAGAAAACATTGGTTGTAGGATTTAATGCATAAAAGTCAGGTTTTCCAGCACTCCAATGTGTATGTGCTGCAGAGCAATGTAAGAGAGACTATACTGCACGTGGCAGGGAGGCTGAGTGTGTGTTGGGAAGGCAGGGGAGTGCAGAAATAAAGACACCCCAGCAGGCTGACGGCTCTCTTCCATGATACTGGAGTATAGAGACCCGGGCTGGGGATGGAGGGAAGACATAGGGGGAGTCGGCATGGCATGGCAGACCTTTTTAGGCATTCATTAGTGAAGGGGATTTATAGTAACAAGCCCTGAGGAAGCCAAATAGTCAGTAGACTTAACACACTCCTCTGTCTGTCTGTCTTTGTTAAGCTTGTGTGAGAGCTAAGATTTACATCTACTTATAACATGTCAGCTGAGTCTTTGTTTTGTACTGAGAATTGTACAGGTTGTGCCTCATTAAGCCTATTCTCTGTGTTCTCCTCTCAGGAGATAGCGTTCCCCAAGATGGTGGCAAGCTGCTGTCGCTTCCTGTGTTACTTCTGCAGGATCAGTCGTCAGAACCAGAAGGCCATGTTTGACCACCTCAGCTACCTCCTGGAGAACAGCAGCGTGGGCCTGGGTAGGTACACCTGGGTCATATTTATTAGGGCACACTGTATTAAAACGTATTGCAACAGAAAACAAAAACGAGTTCAAGGCACTCCTTCCCTGTTTCAGTCAGTTTTCTTTCATTGGTGACCTTCTTTTCGAATATGACCTTGCTTAGCATTTTACACTTCTTGCTTTATGGAGCATCTCTGACAGGAAAATGACATGCTATAACCAGCGTGTCTTATTTCATATTGGGACGACTGGCTCATACTCTAGTTACACTGGGTGTGACAGCATCTCTGACGCTGTTCTCATTATTATGGACAATAATCTCATCGGGGCTTCAGGTTAGGTCCTTGAGCTGTGAGTCTGCATACATTAGACACACATCTGAGATTAAGAGGGTGTGTGTGTGTGTGTGTGTGTGTGTGTGTGTGTGTGTGTGTGTGTGTGTGTGTGTGTGTGTGTGTGTGTGTGTGTGTGTGGCCAGTCGGTCGTGTTGAGAATTCATCAGGTGAGAGGGTCATTGTACATTCTATCAAGAGAGGTGCCACAGTCACTCTGAACACCCTGCTGTGGCAGAGAGAGAGAGCGAGAGAAAGAGAGTGCATTCTCTTCTGGAATAACTCACACACCAAATGGTCCACAGGCAAAGGATAATCTAATCACAGTCTTGCACCTGTATTAGACAAAGCCTTTGAGCGTTAGCCTGAACCAATAATTTACACGTTTTTGAATATTTCTGTTTATGAAAACACAGAAAGTGCAGTGTCCTTTATATCAGTCATTTCTCCTCAGACAGTGTTCATAGGCTTGGATAAACTCAGTGAAACAATAGAAGGAATTGTTGCAAGTAGGAGCTGGAAACTTTGGTTTAGATCAGTATCACTCAACTGTTGACAGATTAACAATCTGCCAGTCCAATCAGAGCCTGGTTCTGGTTCATCATGAGTGTAAGGCTGCCCCCTGCTGTTGGCTTTATGTTACTCCCACTATCTCCCATTTCAATGGTTTATGATTTATGGTCCGACACATAACGAAAAATACATTACAGACAAAAATACTTAGCAATTTAAAACATTAACATAGACCTTACAGACTTATACATAAAAAATAAATTAAAGACACAAATGTACACAATTGATGAGTACCTCAACGCGCTGTTTCGGTGCATGTGACAAATAAAAATGTGATTGATTGATCAGACTTAGTGGAATGGACATTCATTCTCTATACACCATAATTGTTGTAAATACCTGTAAGAAAGTAGCTACTTTAATTGGATCCTATATATGTTTTCTGCCCATAGCATCCCCAGCCATGAGGGGCTCCACTCCTCTAGACGTGGCTGCCTCCTCTGTGATGGACAACAACGGCCTGGCCTTGGCCCTGGAGGAGCCCGACCTGGATAAGGTAGGTGATGCTGTCTCTATTGGATTTGTGTGTGTTGATTTGTGTGCATTAGAATTAGTGTTTTGTGTCTATGTGTATAAGATTATCCTCAGTCCATGTGTCTGTTATTAAGTTTGTACTGGTTGTGTCCTGATTGTGTCCTAGTTGTGTCTTTGTTGTGTCCTAGTTGTGTCTTGATTGTGTCCTGGTTGTGTGTTGCAGGTGGTGACGTACCTAGCAGGCTGTGGGCTCCAGAGTTGTCCCATGCTGCTGGACAAAGGTTACCCTGACATCGGTTGGAACCCCATCGAGGGCGAGCGCTACCTCTCCTTCCTGCGCTTCGCTGTCTTTGTCAATGGTAGGTAGGAAACTGTACTGTACTGACTGTCAGCAGCTACTGTACTGAACCTTAGTCTCTGTAGGGTAAAGTGGAGAATGGGGCTTGTGCTGTACTGTGCCTTCCACACCAGGTGTGGGCAGGGTTAGAGAGGGCCTGTCTGTCTGTATGCTGCAGAGCAGGCTAGACTGCCTGAGGAGGTTAGTATCTGGGAGCTACAACCTCAGCACCAGTAGAGCTCAGTGGAGGAACAGGCTCTCACTAAAGATATTGGAAACTGCTCCTGGCTGAACGAGCAGGGCAGCCATTAATTTGCTTCCTGACAGTGATGGACCAAAAAAAAGTAGCGATACATTGGCAAGCACTCACTAGATGAGGTTTATATCTGATGCTGTTCACCTCTGAGGTGTTTGGGAGCCCGAGGGAGTATTTTGTTTATGTCAGAGTTGTTGATATATGTGTGTGTTTTTCGTCCTATGCATTTTTCTGTGCATCTTGTGTCGATGTCAATGTCGATGTGCTAATGCAGTTTAGCACTGATATATTTGTTTTGTTAACCTGGTGTGTGTGTCTGTGTGTTTGTGTGTTCCAGGTGAGAGTGTGGAGGAGAACTCCAGTGTGGTGGTGAAGCTACTGATCAGACGTCCGGAGTGTTTTGGCCCGGCCCTGAGAGGAGAGGGGGGTAACGGGCTGCTAGCAGCCATGAAGGAGGCCATCAAGATCTCTGAGAACCCTGCTCTGGACCTACCCTCCTCTGGCCAGGGGGTCAGCTATGACGTGTAAGATACATACTGTACCTGCCATAGCTATAGAGCAAGAGCTAACAGCATACCCAGCTAGCACATAACGTTCTGAAAACCATATGTTTCCTAGAGCTTGGTGAGAGCGTGGTTGTCCTATGGTTATATTGCATACAACCTTCCCAGAACATTCTGGGAATGGTGCAGGATACCCAGCTAGCACATAACGTTTCTTAGATGGGAATTTCAGTACTTCAGCATAATGTTTTCTAAAGGTTTACTCATGGTTCTATTTAAAGTCATGTTCTCAGAACGTTCAGAAAACATTAAGAAACAACATTCTTCTGTGGGCATTTCAGTACTTCAGCATAAAGTTTTCTGCAGGTTTCCTCATGGTTCTATTTAAAGTAATGTTCTCAGAACATTAAGAAAGCTTTCCATAAAACCACAAAAAACAGTATCATTCAAAGAACATTCTAAGAATGTTATTTATTTAACATATACATTCTGTTCTCTATCCACTATCTTGTTAAGTGTGTTCAGGTGTGTTGGCCGCGTCCATTAATTGGCCACACCTGATCTTAATGAGTGCTTGTTTCATTTGAAATGGGGTCTGTTTGAATAGACTAAAATGAACAGCTTTGTATGAGTAAAAAATTCATGGCATGCTAACTCTGTCCTGGTGGCGCAGTGGACTAATTGCATGGATAGAGAACAGAGGATCATAGGTTTGAATCTCACTGACGCCATGCCACAAAAAAAAAAAATGTATTTGCATGATTAATGCCTAAGCAGATGAATTTACATGTGTCTTATCTGTGCTTGGCGTTCAAAACAGTTAACCTAAGCCAGCAGTGTTATGAAAAGTATTTAATAACCTAGAATTTCCAATCTCAGAATACTAAAACAACTTTCAGGGAACCATAGTAAAACGTTCTCAGAACCTCCCTGCAACCTAAAAATTTACGTTCCTAGAACAGGCAACATTTTCACTTCTGTTCTCAGAACGTTTAAAAAACGTTCCATATTACCGTTCAGGAAACGTATGGCTTCGTTCCCAGAACCAATGGGAAACCAAAAACGTACGTTCCCACAACTTCCAAGGAACCAAATGTGCTAGCTGGTTAGAGCTAATAGTACATAGCGAAGTAAACCCTGTAAGATCATCAGCAGTTAGTTAAGATAGCAAGACAAGACCCATAAGACCTTCTCACTCCCCCTCCTGTGTTTGTTGTGGGCAGGTCTGCTGAGGATGATGAGGAGGAAGAGGTGGTTCACATGGGAAATGCCATCATGTCCTTCTACTCTGCTCTCATCGACTTATTGGGACGCTGTGCCCCAGAGATGCACGTGAGTTTAGCTGATGGTCCCATCACAGATCATATGAACTCTAACCTACTCTGAGAGGCACAGTTCATTTGCATTCGAAACATCTGTTCGCTTTGACTCACCTGGATAAGTAAAGGTTGAATGAATGTATGTACTCCAACAATAGGACTAATGTCCTTGTCCTCCTCCCTCAGTTGATTAACAAGGGGAAAGGGGAGGCCCTGCGTATCCGTGCCATCCTGCGCTCCCTAGTGCCCACTGAAGACCTGGTGGGCATCATCAGCATAGCCCTCAAAATGCCCGTCATCCACAAAGGTAGAGGACTGCCCAGTTCCTACCCAGCTCTCATAACACACAACAGCACACAGCACACACAACAGCACACACAACAGAACAAAACAACAGCACACAACAGCACAAAACAACAGCACAAAACAACAGCACAAAACAACAGCACACAACACAATAACATCCCAAATCACTCAGCCATCATGGCCCATCTGCTGGCTTTCACACTTTACTCTACAAAATCTAAAAACAAATCAAATTGGTTGAGTTATACATAATAAAGTATGAAACCCAATAGTTTAAATGGTGGTGCTGAAGTGCTGTTGATCCCAGCTCACAGTTCATGTGTTTTTAATCAGCCATGTCTTTCTACCTCCCACGGCTTTGAGTTAGCCTGCTCTGCTATCCTCTCCTCATCTCCCTCTCATTTCTGTTGCTGGGTATTTTTCTCTATTGATTGCTCTATATAAGCATGGCAATGCTCCGAGCCGCCACACAACGAGAGCTGTCGGCTGGCCAACAACCTACTGGCCACACACTGGTTGAACCAACGTTGTTTCCACATCATTTCAATGAAATGACGTTGAACCAAGGTGGAATAGATGTTGAGTTGACGTCTGTGCCCAGTGGGAACTAAATCACTCAGCCGTGTCTCCCTCCCCAGAAACCCTCTCACAAGCTGCAGTGCTGCTAATGAATACATATGGCTTTCTTAAACAGAAGAGACTTGCTGTAATGTATAGGTAGCTCTCCAACTGTGTGAATACTGCAAGAAAAACATATATAAAACACATCGTCATATTTACACGGAGACACACCTCCTCCATATTCTTATTTAGTTTTCCTGCTTTGTGTATCTCATAATTTTTTAATATCCTCTTTTCTCTTTCTCCACCTCTCTATCTCCACCACAGACGGCACTGTGACAGAGCCTGATATGGCGGCCAGTTTCTGCCCGGACCACAAGGCCCCCATGGTGCTGTTCCTGGACCGGGTCTATGGTATCGAGGACCAAAGCTTCCTACTACACCTGCTGGAAGTGGGCTTCCTGCCAGACCTGCGAGCCTCTGCTTCTCTGGACACGGTAGGTGGTGGGCTCACCCTCAGCTGAGAGGTGGGAGATGTGGAAGACCACAAATTAGGCTAAGGCATCACGTTGTTTGTTTTGCCATCTAGTTCATTGTTTACCAGACAAGTGGGTTGAGGTATTCAAGGATGTGGGAGTTGAGTGGAGTGGATGCTGTGTATTTAAGGGCTTGTGTGTGAGAGGGAGTTAGTGTATTGAAAGCTGCTTTATAACAGGTGTATTGTACCCTCTGACCCCTCCCCTGTAGGAGGTACTCAGCACCACAGAGACGGCTCTGGCCATGAACAGGTACATCGGCTCTGCCATGCTTCCCCTGCTCACCCGCTGTGCCCCCCACTTCGCTGGCACAGAGCACTACGCCGCGCTCATCGACTCCACGCTACACACCATCTACAGGCTGTCCAAGGGCCGCTCGCTCACCAAGGCTCAGAGAGACGCTATCGAGGAGTGTCTGCTGGCTGTCTGCAGGTAAGGTGTTCCACTATGTAGAGTAGCACCCCTTTAGGAAACAATAAGCTCAATGTGTGGCCATAGAAACACTTAAGCTAAACAGATAGAGTATTATTCTGGGTGATGTCTCTCTGACCTGTTCCCTCCCTGGTCTGGCCCTCCTCTGTCTGCAGGTACCTGCGTCCCTCCATGCTGCAGCAGCTCCTGCGACGCCTCGTCTTTGACGTGCCCTTGCTGACGGAGTACTGCAAGATGCCTCTCAGGGTATGTCTCCTCTCTTTCCCTCTCCTTCTCTCTTTCTCTTTCTCTTCCCTCCTGCTGCTCTCCCTCTCTTTGCCCTCACCAGGCTATGGTTCAGGAGTACGAGGGCCTGCCTGAAGTTATTAGCTCTCTATCCTGTTTATCAAGCATACAGCCTGTCTCTCACTCTGCCTCTCACTCTGCATCTCTCTCCTATTAATGATGTTGTTCCCATTATTAAGCAGATGTTGGCAGTTGTGCTGTTTTTAATACAACAGCCGAGCATCGGAGAGCAGAGAGCAGCCTGGAAGAATTGAATTGAACCGTGTTGACTTCACTGCTCCTCTCTGTCAGTGTTTGCCCTCTAGAGAGACTGTAGTAATAATAGCAGCCTGCCTGTGGAAGACTGAACACAGTTGATTCTGCCTCCACACACATGGCTCTTGTCTGTTTTTATGCTGAGCTAGTGAGAATTAATTTTGCATGACGTATCATCAGCTTGAGATCCTACTTGAGATGTTTGGCTCGGTGCCAGGGAGCTGTCTTTCAGTACACCAGTTACTAACGCGTCTGTTTGCCTGTCTTACAGTGTAGCTCACAGCAGAGTGTACGTATATCCTCCCACTAAGTCTAATGGACTGACCCTTGGTCCTGTGTGTCCTCCACAGCTCCTGACCAACCACTATGAGCAGAGCTGGAAGTACTACTGTCTGCCGTCAGGCTGGGGCAGCTACGGCATGGCTTCAGATGAGGAGCTGCTCCTCACAAAGAAGATCTTCTGGGGTGTCTTGGATTCGCTCTCACAGAGGGTATGACAAGGTCACCTCTAACACAGCACCCAGACGCAGGAGAACGTCAGGGCTCCTAGTTGGCTGATAATGAGCCAATCAAACCAGGGCTGCACTGAGCTTTGATCAGGAAGTGCTAACCACGCGGATACATGTTCAGGCCAATATATCATAACCTTTAGTAATCTTGTACCACATTTTCGACATTGAGCATTAGTACCCTATTGAATTTTCTCTGTAAGAGTGTCTCATTGCCTTTCCTTTCCTTGTTTTGCATTTCAATTGTCTGAATCAAAGTAGATATGAATATGAACATTCAATTCATGATGGTTCAGCTTGTATGGTCCTCTAGTTTATGTAAATGCCTGGACATGAAAGTGAAGCTGGTGAGAGAGAGCCCAGGCTGAGAACATCATCGATCTCTGGATCTGCTCTCTGTAACTGGGACGACTCTGCATTAAGCATCACTCTTATCCTCTAGCCATTCCTGCAGTCTCTAGTCACTAGATTAGCCTTATTGAGACCTCAGTGGAGGTTTCTCTGATAGTTCAGTAATCACACACTGTCTCCCTGCAGAAGTACGATGCAGATCTCTTTAAGATGGCCATGCCCTGTCTGAGTGCCATATCTGGGGCCTTACCGCCTGACTACATAGACTCCACCATCAGCACCACCCTGGAGAAGCCTGTGTCTGTGGACGCTCAGGGCAACTTTGACCCCAAACCCATCAGCACAGCTAAGTGAGTGGCAATCAGAGACTAAAGTACGGGGTGACTGTCAGAGCAAATTAAGGACACTTTAAATTAAGTGATACCACTCTGACTTGTAATTGAATAGCTTGTTATAGGTGCCATGTAGAAACTATGCACACCATTTATTTGATGTAATGCGCAGTGCTTTTATATACTTTATCACTGTGCATTTACATATGCTTTACTCCAGCATGCATTATTTTGGATGCTCTAGATTTATACCTGCAGTAAGTAAGTTTGACTCTGTCTTTACAGCATATCTCTTCCAGAGAAACTGGAACATGTTGCCAACAAATATGCTGAGCATTCCCATGACAAATGGTCAGCAGAGAAGGTAGGCCAAAGATGAGCTCCTCTGCCAGGGAAATGTGTATTCGATGCTGCAAAATGACACCTGGAATCCATTCTTTATTACAGGGCATAAAGATTAAGAATAAAATGTTTTTGCACTGTATTTTATAAAGCCTTTTCAGTACTCTCTTGGAAGAAATACTAGGAGGCTGGTTTCAGGGTTGCTTACTCTCTATCCTATTTGCTTTTATTTTGGTTGAAGAACTAGCTGGTAAAATGTAATATCAGCTCTGTAGAAGGGTCATACTTGTCTGTGCACTTCAGGTGATGTTGGGATGGAAATACGGGGACTGTATAGATGAGAAGGCCAAGACTCACCCTCAGCTCAGGACCTACAAAGGCCTCACAGAGAAGGTATAGTTCATTGCAGCATTACACAACATAGGATTCGAATTTCAACTACAGTATGCACTAATGTGAGCACTAGTGACTTCCTAACTGATTGTATCTCTTGCTAACTCTTGGTGTGTGTATCCGTGTTTGTGTGCTGTGTGGACTCCTGTGGTCCTCAGGAGAAGGAGATCTACAGGTTGCCGGGAAGGGAGACTCTGAAGAGCATGCTGGCTATGGGCTGGAACATTGACAGGACCAAGGATGGAGAGACCATGTCCCTACGGGAAAGTGAGAAGATGCGCAAGATCTCCCAGTCCTCCTCTCAGGTACTCAGTTTGATAGCCCACTCCTCCTAGTGCTGTACAGTGACGGAAAAAACGTATTTGATCCCCTGCTGATTTTGTACGTTTGCCCACTGACAAAGACATGATCAGTCTATAATTTTAATGGTAGGTTTATTTGAACAGTGAGAGACAGAATAACAACAAAAAAATCCAGAAAAACGCATGTCAAAAATGTTATAAATTGATTTGCATTTTAATGAGGGAAATAAGTATTTGACCCCTCTGCAAAACATGACTTAGTACTTGGTGGCAAAACCCTTGTTGGCAATCACAGAGGACAGACGTTTCTTGTAGTTGGCCACCAGGTTTGCACACATCTCAGGAGGGATTTTGTCCCACTCCTCTTTGCAGATCTTCTCCAAGTCATTAAGGTTTCGAGCCTGACGTTTGGTAACTCGAACCTTCAGCTCCCTCCACAGATTTTCTATGGGATTAAGGTCTGGAGACTGGCTAGGCCACTCCAGGACCTTAATGTGCTTCTTCTTGAGCCACTCCTTTGTTGCCTTGGCCGTGTGTTTTGGGTCATTGTCATGCTGGAATACCCATCCACGACCCATTTTCAATGCCCTGGCTGAGGGAAGGAGGTTCTCACCCAAGATTTGACGGTACATGGCCCCGTCCATCGTCCCTTTGATGCGGTGAAGTTGTCCTGTCCCCTTAGCAGAAAAACACCCCCAAAGCATAATGTTTCCACCTCCATCTTTGACGGTGGGGGTGGTGTTCTTGGGGTCATAGGCAGCATTCCTCCATCTCCAAACACGGCCAGTTGAGTTGATGCCAAAGAGCTCGATTTTGGTCTCATCTGACCACAACACTTTCACCCATTTCTCCTCTGAATCATTCAGATGTTCATTGGCAAACTTCAGACGGCCCTGTATATGTGCTTTCTTGAGCAGGGGGACCTTGCGGGCGCTGCAGAATTTCAGTCCTTCATGGCGTAGTATGTTACCAATTGTTTTCTTGGTGATTATGGTCCCAGCTGCCTCGAAATCATTGACAAGATCCTCCCGTGTAGTTCTGGGCTGATTCCTCACCGTTCTCATGATCATTGCAACTCCACGAGGTGAGATCTTGCATGGAGTCCCAGGCCGAGGAAGATTGACAGTTATTTTGTGTTTCTTCCATTTGCGAATAATCGCACCAACTGTTGTCACCTTCTCACCAAGCTGCTTGGCGATGGTCTTGTAGCCCATTCCAGCCTTGTGTAAGTCTACAATCTTGTCCCTGACATCCTTGGAGAGCTCTTTGGTCTTGGCCATGGTGGAGAGTTTGGAATCTGATTGATTGATTGATTCTGTGGACAGGTGTCTTTTATACAGGTAACAAACTGAGATTAGGAGCACTCCCTTTAAGAGTGTGCTCCTAATCTCAGCTCGTTACCTGTATAAAAGACACCTGGGAGCCAGAAATCTTTCTGATTGAGAGGGGGTCAAATACTTATTTCCCTCATTAAAATGCAAAAAAAAAATTATAACATTTTTGACATGCGTATATCTGGATTCTTTTGTTGTTATTCTGTCTCTCACTGTTCAAATAAACCTACCATTAAAATTATAGACTGATCATTTCTTTGTCAGTGGGCAAATGTACAAAATCAGCAGGGGATCAAATATTTTTTTCCCTCACTGTATATACCAGGACTGCGGAGTCATATGTTCAATGTTTGTTTTGATTTCTAACTCGTTTTTCATGTTGTATTTTGGCAGGGTAACGGTTTCAACCCGATCCCAATAGACACCAGCGATGTGGTTCTGTCTAGAGAGTTACAGGTGAGTGAACCTCACAGCTGTTATTTTGTAGCTGTAAATAACTATTTTGTTTCTGACTAGGCTGTGAGTATGTTATTTAATTAACAGATGTCCTCTTTGCTCTTTGGATCAAGGGCATGGTGGAGGTTGTGGCTGAGAATTATCACAACATCTGGGCTAAGAAGAAAAAGAACGACCTTGGAATTAGAGGTGGTTCTATAATACTCCTCACTCCCTGTGAGATGGAGGAGCCAGAGGAATGTAGTCAGAGTAAATGTGTTTGTTCTCTTTGTTTCAGTGTTGTTGTTTGTGGTTCCAGGTGGGGCAACTCACCCTCTGCTGGTGCCCTATGATACCCTGACTGCCAAAGAGAAGGCCCGGGACAAAGAGAAGGCCCAGGACCTGTTCCGCTTCCTACAGATCAACGGCTATGCTATCACCAGGTCAGTGAGTGTGTGTGTAAGTGTGTGTGTCTGTGTGTTTGCATGTGTGGGTGTGGGTGTGAAGACTAAAGACACCTTCAGTCAAGACTGAAGACATTGATGTGCGTTGGTGTGACAGAATGACACTTCATCTGTCCCTTCCCTCTGTGTTGTAGAGGTCTGAAGGACATGGAGCAGGACTCTTCCTCCATGGAGAAGAGGTTTGCCTTCAAGTTCCTCAAGAAGCTCCTCAAGTATGTGAACTCAGCCCAGGAGTTCATCGCCCACCTTGGTAAGAGCCTGCTTAACATTCATATCCATGTCTTTGAATGCTCCTCTACCTTTTCTCTGTTATGGACAGTGCTGCCTCAGTCTTCTCTTTATTGACCTTTGACCTTGTCATTTCAGAGGCCATAGCTACCAGTGGTAAGACAGACAAGTCACCTCATGAACAAGAAATAAAGTTTTTCGCCAAAGTGAGAATATTGCAAATCTGTGTGAAACAAATGAACATTTAAATACAGATTGCACAAAGATTCTCACACATCTCCTAAATGTTTTTTTCCCCTTTGCCTTTAGGTCCTCCTCCCTCTGATAGACCAGTACTTCAAGAACCACTGTCTCTACTTCCTGTCTTCTCCCAGTAAGAACCTGAGCAGCAGCGGCTATGCATCTAATAAGGAGAAGGAGATGGTCACCAGGTCGGTACACTACCATCTCACTACCCTGCAGAGTTACACTTTCTCACTACCTGTGTATGCTACTTACTTATTACTCTTCTCTGAATACTCCCTTCATCTAGTCATCTTTTCCTCCTCTTACCCTTTAACCTCCCTGCTTTCTTTCTTTCTTTTTCTTTCTTTCTTTCTTTCTTTCTTTCTATCTTTCTTTCATTCTCTCTTTTCCAGCCTGTTCTGTAAACTGGCAGCTCTTGTCAGACACAGGATTTCCCTATTTGGTAAGGAGCTGATTCTCTGCTTTTTGTATTGCTTTTATGAATGACTTAGTGTGTGATATGTGTGCTAATCGCTGTACTGTGTTCTCCTGTAGGGAGTGACTCCACCACCATGGTGAGCTGTCTCCACATCCTGGCCCACACACTGGACACCAGGTGGGTGGAGCTCAGTCCTATAGTCCTATGTCACAATATACGTCCACAGAGTTTGAAATTAAATCAAAGGTTTGGAAGAGGTCTGTTACGTAGCAATTTTACAGTACATGTCATTGGAATAGAAGCCACCTCATGTCTAGCTTATACAACATTACATTACTTAGACACCATGTTTCTACTCACCAGTTTTTGTTATTCATGTCATCTTGGAATCATTGACATTAAGAGAAAAGACTCCCGCTGGCATTTATACAAGTACACTCAGCATGCATAGACAGCATGTACTGTAGCTAGCTCTGGGCTCCTAGTGTTCTTCAGAAACAATGTGTTGTTTGAGGCAACAGTTCTAAAAAATGAGGTTACAATAGCAATGCATTAAACATGATGTTGATACTGAGGATGTAGTTACTATACTGTACTTGCCCATAGGCTTTGTCTTTCACCTCCCACATCACAGCATCAAAAAGCATTACGAGTCACAATATACTTTACAAAATATTGACTCATCTAATCTGCTTAATGTAGGGGGGGGGTAATATGTCTGCACATACCTACACTGACAACCTTCCCTTGAATCTAAATATTTACATAATTTACTGTATAAATCATGCGCTATAAATATTCATGGTCAGATGGGAGCTCATATCTCAGTCACATGATAATACTAGAATCCCTTGGGAGCTCTCTGTAGTATAGCTGGCACTTCTCTATGAAAATGAAGCTGTCCTTTGGGAACTCTTCTATCATATGGAAATGATTGTTCTCAAATACGATAACTTTAATATCCTACATGGGGACATTGTGTGGTTATTGTGTTCAAAAACAGCAACAATGACAGACTACATTCTCCTCCATCACTATTAACCCCTTCCCTCCTCTCCTCCTACAGGACGGTGATGAAGTCTGGCTCAGAGCTGGTGAAGGCGGGGTTAAGGACGTTCTTTGAGAACGCAGCAGAGGACCTGGAGAAGACCCTTGAGAACCTGAAGCTGGGGAAGTTCACCCACTCCCGCTCACAGATGAAGGGCGTGTCCCAGAACATTAACTACACCACGGTGGCCCTGCTACCCATCCTCACTGCCCTGTTTGAACATATCACCCAGCACCACTTTGGAGTGGACCTGCTCTGTGAGTGACCACAGCCAGACCTACAGATGTAGGAGATAGGAGGAGTGGAGTGTGCTTTAAATCATGTCACTGATGCTGTGCATATCAATGTAAGCACGCTTTCTACTTTGTGTTTTCAGTGGATGATGTCCAAGTGTCCTGCTATCGTATCCTGACCAGCCTCTATGCGCTCGGGACTGGAAAAAACATCTATGTTGAAAGGTACTATTATTTACATATTGCTATGAGACTGATATCACAGATAGTATATGGCTGTGATTTGTGTGTCTGTCTCTTCCTCTCCCCTGCAGGCAGCTGCCGGCCCTGGGGGAGTGTCTGGCCACCCTGGCAGGTGCCATGCCTGTTGCCTTCCTGGAGCCACTGCTCAACAAACACAACCCCTGCTCTGTGTTCAACACCAAGACCGCCCGCGAACGCGCCAGTGAGTTACACACTATTATGATGCTGTATACCATAATACTGCATTAAATGGTTGTTTGCTTATAATTTGTGTTGTGTTTGTGGTGTGTTTGTGGTTGTGTTGTGTTTGTGTAGTCCTAGGCATGCCAGAGGCGGTGGAGGAGATGTGTCCGGAGATGCCTCGTCTAGACGTCCTGATGACGGACATCAACGACATGTCTGAGTCTGGGGCGCGCTACACAGAGATGCCCCACGTCATCGAGGTGGTGCTGCCCATGCTGTGTAACTACCTGTCCTACTGGTGGGAGAAGGGCCCAGAGAACCAGGCGTCTCCATACAGCGGGGGCAGTGTTGGGGGCAGTGTGTTCTCCACCACCGTCACCTCAGAACACCTCAGCCTCATCCTAGGAAACATCCTGAAGATCCTCAACAGCAACCTGGGCATCGACGAGGCCTCCTGGATGAAGAGGATCGCAGGTTAGTTGGGTTGCATTACTGTGCGGGAGTGTACAGTAGTCTGTCACAGTGGGTTGAAGCTTTAGGAAATATACTACTTTTGAGGGAAAAACTATTTCCATATTTGTATACAGTACTGATCAGATGAACCTTAGACTGACAAGATTGTCTTTTGCATTCCTAGCAAGAGTGCTTTTTTTTTCTTTTTTCTTTTTTCTAATAATAACGACTAACAATGTGTGTCTCACTATGACTTCTGTGTGTGCAGTGTACGCCCAGCCCATCATCAGTAAGGCCAGGGCTGTTCTGTTGAAGAGTCACTTCCTGCCTACGCTGGAGAAGCTGAAGAAGAAGACAGTGAAGGTGGTGATGGAGGAGGAGCTACTGAAGGCTGACAGTAAGGGAGACACCCAGGAGGCTGAGCTCCTCATCCTGGATGAGTTTGCCGTGCTCTGCAGAGACCTCTACGCCTTCTACCCGATGCTCATCCATTACGTAGACAACAACAGGTGAGCCCGCTGAACAGTGGAGTGAAATGGGAGGATGTGGTTGTGGTTCATCAGTACCGTAGGACCTATTGTAATACAAGACTACTCTGGTTTGGGGGCAAGGCTGTGGAGCAGAGGATATTATATTGATATAATGTTTGTTCATCTCTCATAACATATTATATATATACACTACCGTTCAAAAGTTTGGGGTCACTTAGACATTTCCTTGTTTTAGAAAGAAAAGACATTTTTTGGTCCATTAAAATAACATCAAATTGATCAGAAATACAGTGTAGACATTGTTAATGTTGTAAATGGCTATTGTAGCTGGAAACGGCTGATTTTTAATGGAATATCTACATAGGCGTACAGAGGCCCATTATCAGCAACCATCAGTCCTGTGTTCCAATGGCACGTTGTTTGCTAATCCAAGTTTATCATTTTAAAAGGCTAATTAATCATTAGAAAACCCTTTTGCAATTATGTTAGCACAGCTGAAAACTGTTGTGCTGATTAAAGAAGCAATAAAACTGGCCTTCTTGAGACTAGTTGAGTATCTGGAGCATCAGCAATTGTGGGTTCAATTACAGGCTCAAAATGGCCAGAAACAAATAACTTTCTTCTGAAACTCGTCAGTCTATTCTTGTTCTGAGAAATGAAGGCTATTCCATGCGAGAAATTGCCAAGAAACTGAAGATCTAGCCATATCTCAGACGGGACAATAAAAATAAAATTTTAAGATGGGCAGTCTGAGATATTGCTTTTTCTTTGCAACTCTGCCTAGAAGGTCAGCATCCCGAAGTCGCCTCTTCACTGTTGACGTTGAGACTGGTGTTTTTCGGGTACTATTTAATGAACCTGCCAGTTGAGGACCTGTGAGGCGCCTGTTTCTCAAACTAGACACTCATGTATTTGTCCTTTTGCTCAGTTGTGCACCGGGGCCTCTCACTCCTCTTTCTATTCTGGTTAGAGCCAGTTTGCACTGTTCTGTAAAGGGAGTAGTACACAGCGTTGAGATCTTCAGTTTCTTGGCAATTTCTCGCATGGAATAGCCTTCATTTCTCAGAACAAGAATAGACTGACGAGTTTCAGAAGAAAGTTATTTGTTCCTGGGAATCGTACAAGCTAACAGGCGGGCCACAAACACACAAATAACGCACACAAATAACGGTGCAGTGGTGTGCAGAATGACACAACTCGTCGATCCTTGTCACGGATGAGCTATTGCAGCAGACGACCACACCAAGTTCCACTCCTATCAGCTAAAAACAAGAAGAGGCTCCAGTGGGCGTGCGATCACCAACACTAGACAATTGAGGAGTGGAAAAACATCACCTGGTCCAACGAATCCCGGTTCCTGTTGCGTCATGATGATGGCAGAGTCAGGATTTGGCGTAGGCAGCATGAGTCCATGGACCCATCCTGCCTGGTTACAACGGTACATCCTGCCTGATGCCATCGCCTCAGCATGGACCAACATCCCTGTGGAACGTTTCCGACTTGTAGAATCCATGCCTGAAGAATTCAGGCTGTTCTGGAGGCAAAGGGGGATCTGACCTGGTACTAGATGGCTGTACCTAATAAACTGGCCGGTGAGTGTATATTATATATAATATATAATAATCTCTTCTCTCTCCTTTCTCCTGCAGGTCCAGGTGGCTGAAAGAACCAGACGCTGACTCCAATGAACTCTTCAGAATGGTGGCTGAGATCTTCATCCTCTGGTGCAAATCACATGTACGATTTCTCCTTATCAACAATGGACAAACTAACAATTACAATAGATAGGACATTTAGATTGAGAAATGAACCAAGCAGAAGGTGTCTACATCATGTACATTGGTATTGTTCTTTCCTCAGAACTTCAAAAGGGAAGAGCAGAACTTTGTGGTTCAGAATGAAATCAACAACCTGTCTTTCCTGACTGGTGATAGCAAGACGAAGATGTCAAAGGTAGGGCTTATTAATATGTGGCTGCTTTCAAAATAGTACAGCATATTCTCCTTATTTCCACTGCTGGAGAGCTCTACTCTATACTAGGTCTTGGAGCAGTCTGCACCCCCTGTGGTCATGTACAGTGGGGGAAAAAAGTATTTAGTCAGCCACTAATTGTGCAAGTTCTCCCACTTAAAAAGATGAGAGAGGCCTGTAATTTTCATCATAGGTACACATCAACTATGACAGACAAATTGAGGAAAAAAAATCCAGACAATCACATTGTATGATTTTTAATGAATTTATTTGCAAATTATGGTGGAAAATAAGTATTTGGTCACCTACAAACAAGCAAGATTTCTGGCTCTCACAGACCTGTAACTTCTTCTTTAATAGGCTCCTCTGTCCTCCACTCATTACCTGTATTAATGGCACCTGTTTGAACTTGTTATCAGTATAAAAGACACCTGTCCACAACCTCAAACAGTCACACTCCAAACTCCACTATGGCCAAGACCAAAGAGCTGTCAAAGGACACCAGAAACAAAATTGTAGACCTGCACCAGGCTGGGAAGACTGAATCTGCAATAGGTAAGCAGCTTGGTTTGAAGAAATCAACTGTGGGAGCAATTATTAGGAAATGGAAGACATACAAGACCACTGATTATCTCCCTCGATCTGGGGCTCCACGCAAGATCTCACCCCGTGGGGTCAAAATGATCACAAGAACGGTGAGCAAAAATCCCAGAACCACACGGGGGGACCTAGTGAATGACCTGCAGAGAGCTGGGACCAAAGTAACAAAGCCTACCATCAGTAACACACTACGCCGCCAGGGACTCAAATCCTGCAGTGCCAGACGTGTCCCCCTGCTTAAGCCAGTACATGTCCAGGCCCGTCTGAAGTTTGCTAGAGTGCATTTGGATGATCCAGAAGAGGATTGGGAGAATGTCATATGGTCAGCTGAAACCAAAATAGAACTTTTTGGTAAAAACTCAACTCATCGTGTTTGGAGGACAAAGAATGCTGAGTTGCATCCAAAGAACACCATACCTACTGTGAAGCATGGGGGTGGAAACATCATGCTTTGGGGCTGTTTTTCTGCAAAGGGACCAGGACGACTGATCCGTGTAAAGGAAAGAATGAATGGGGCCATGTATCATGAGATTTTGAGTGAAAACCTCCTTCCATCAGCAAGGGCATTGAAGATGAAACGTGGCTGGGTCTTTCAGCATGACAATGATCCCAAACACACCGCCCGGGCAACGGAGTGGCTTCGTAAGAAGCATTTCAAGGTCCTGGAGTGGCCTAGCCAGTCTCCAGATCTCAACCCCATAGAAAATCTTTGGAGGGAGTTGAAAGTCTGTGTTGCCCAGCGACAGCCCCAAAACATCACTGCTCTAGAGGAGATCTGCATGGAGGAATGGGCCAAAATACCATCAACAGTGTGTGAAAACCTTGTGAAGACTTACAGAAAACGTTTGACCTGTGTCATTGCCAACAAAGGGTATATAACAAAGTATTGAGAAACTTTTGTTATTGACCAAATACTTATTTTCCACCATAATTTGCAAATAAATTCATTAAAAATCCTACAATGTGATTTTCTGAAAAATAATTTCTCATTTTGTCTGTCATAGTTGACGTGTACCTATGATGAAAATGACAGGCCTCTCTCATCTTTTTAAGTGGGAGAACTTGCACAATTGGTGGCTGACTAAATACTTTTTTCCCCCACTGTATGTTCACATCCTAACCCAGCTAACCTCAGTCCAACCTCCTGCTTCTATCTGTCAGCACATTCCAGCTGAGCCTTGTTACTGGGCTCCATTCTGCAGAGGCAGCCCTTTCTCTCTCCCTGCTCCAGCAACCCTAACACTCATATCCCCCGTGGCCAAACAACACAACCTCAGGGACAGGGAATAGATTTGTTGATAGTTTTTTTTTATCCTGTCTGCTTTTACACTCCATTCACTGGAAAGAGCAGCATCCAACACATTTTAGTAATTTAGCAGAGCGATTTACAGTAGTGACTGCATATATTTTCATACTTTTCCTGCTGGTCCCCCGTGGGAATCAAGCCCACAACCCTGGCGTTGCAAGCGCCATGCTCTACCAACTGAGCCACAAGGGACCACAATAGTCTGCCCTGCCTTGCTGTTAACACATTATACCAGCCAATCATTAACGCTTATCGCCCCTCCTTCATCTGTCCTGCCTGACATCATAACGAGCGTTTCTCATTCCCTTATGGGCCGCCACGTCCCAACTCTGTTATTGAAAGTGAACACGCCCATGACAAATAACATGATCACGTCACTGGTGTTTCTGGGTGATGGATATCCTGCGCTGGTGTGTAGTGGCTCCTGCCTCCCACTGGCTGTCTCTATTAGTCACTCAGCTCCTGCACTGGTCGAAGGTGTGTGTGTGTGCATCCATACAGTTAATGGTGTTTCTTTCTCTCTTGCTGAGTTGAATATGAGTGTCTCCTGTGTGCCAGCTTCTTCCATTTGCCTTTCTCAGTGCAGTCCTTTTTCTATAATACCTCACTGTATGGGTAGAGGCAAACTGTGGGCGAATGCTGCTTTCAGGCTATAGCTACATTTTAAATGCTTCATGGGCAAAGATTTTCAGCCTCTGCAGATTTTGCTAGCGATGAAAAGATGCCTTAGTTCCCTCTGCTACCCATAGGTTTAATTCAGCGTTCGGTGTGCAGTGTGCTGTGCTCCCACTGTGAAATAAGCTCCAGTGAAGTACAGCACAGTTAGATCAAGGTAGCAATTGTGACTGCATTGGCTCTATATAAAAAATGGTATGGCCCATCTGATATATTACCAAATGGCACCCTATTCCCTATATAGTGCACTACTTGCACACAAAAGTAGTGAACTATATAGAAAATAGGGTGCCATTTGAGACATAACCCAGGTATTTTTTCATTGAGTGCCAGGTGAAGTTATGAATGTGTCATTCCATCCTGGTATCAGTCAGGGGGTCAGGACCAGGAGAGGAAGCATAAGAGGAAGCGAGGAGAGTTCTACTCCATCCAGACCTCCCTGATCGTGGCTGCCCTGAAGAAGATGCTGCCCATCGGACTCAACATGTGCACCCCCGGGGACCAGGAGCTAATCTCCCTGGCCAAGACACGCTACCTCCTGGTGAGAGGGCCTGCCTAGCCCACACGGACCCATACTGATTGAGGATCAGGTGTCACTGGCTACACAGTACCTGATGACGGTGTATCTAATTGTTTTCTTGTTTTGCTCAACAGAAAGACACAGATGATGAAGTGAAGGAACATGTGCGGCAAAATTTGCACCTTCAAGAGAAGGTGAGCTGTATATTATGGCATTATTGTCATCCATAAAACTAGAACAGCAACTCTATCAAAAATCATTGATGTTTTCTAACTCCTACACTGTGCTAACCCACCCCCAGTCAGAGGACCCTGCAGTGAGGTGGCAGCTGAACCTGTATAAGGATGTGATGGTGAAGAACGAGGGGCCTCCAGACCCTGAGAGGACAGTGTTCAGAGTCCAGAGCATCTCAGCTGCAGTCTTCCACCTGGAGCAGGTCAGTGGCTGGCTGCACCACGCATCACCCTTACTGCCTACATCCAGTTTTCTACATTCTATATCTGTGCCCCATATCTCCAAATTCTAGATCCTTAAGATGTGTCCTATATGCTGGATGCTTTATGTCCTGCTCTAATCTTTACTCAACATGATATACTCACATTTGTGATCCAAACCATGCACCCTATTTCATATGTTATATTACAACTTACCTATTTTGTCTTCATTTATTCATTGTAGGTGGAGCAGCCATTGAGGTCTAAGAAGTGTGTTTGGCAGAAGCTGCTGTCCAAGCAGAGAAAGCGTGCGGTGGTGGCCTGCTTCCGCATGGCTCCTCTCTACAACCTTCCCAGGTATCACACAACCATCTACATTTTGTGTACTCACATTCCTTTACAAACACAAATATTACAATAGAATAGTCAAATATTTGAATAGAATACCCCAGCTGCTGATGTCAGTACTGAGAGGCAGCAGGCTGTGTAAAGTTTAGTATTGTCTTTCTCATTTCCAAGCCAACCCTACACTATCTCTTTCTCTATGCCTCATGAGTCTCACCCCTCTTTCCTGGGCTCTGACCCTGTATTAATGTGAAGCGTCCTTCCCCTAATCTGTACGACAAATGTCTCGCCTCAGACTGTTATCAAGGAATAGAAAAGGACACTAGCAATTTCATGCCCTGTTGCACTGTAACTCAATCACAGAGACGCAGCAGGAGAGACAGAGGGGAGAAAAACAATTAGGAGCCCAACCTAGGGGCGGCCATCTTTAATGTGTGCTCTGATGTCGCTCCTCGGCACCAAATGACTAATTCCACCTAGTTATTGGTGTTCTTTTGGGAATGTGACCATGCATCACATTGTTGAGTAATCAGTAAGCACTGGCCTTTTGAGTCAGGGTAAATCTAGAAATGTTAAGGACATTTGATGCAATGTCACTTTTCCCTTGCACCTCTAATACTATCACATAACTCTCTCTGTACCCTTTGATTCAGTGGCTTGCCACCCTTTTTACAGTATATCTACTGTCTCTACTACTTCATCCTCTCTCTGTTCTCTCCTGAATGACATCACTATACTGTACCTCCCCTCAGGCACAAAAGTAATAATTACCTCCTGAACGCCTACCGACGCTATTGGCTCGAAAAAATGCATGAGAACTCAGACTATGACAGTCTGCTCTCCATGCTAACGGTAATGTAATGCTTAGACAATGTTTGTGACCTCCTGTTCCTCCCCCCTCCTCCCAGCCATGGTTTGTACTATAACTAGAACTCTCATACAGTGATCCCACTGGCATTCTGACTGGTACGCCTATTATAAAGGCCTGTGAGCTACACTCATCACTAAAATATTAAATCATTCACTCTGACCAAATGTTTTTTCTTCTGAGTTATAGGTTTCTGTACTGATGTTGCTGTAATTTATATACCATATATTCTATTTAGCTTTAATCATTACAGTGTACTGTTGATGTTGCTAGAATAAATAAGTGTGATAATTTTTTAGTGGTGCATACAGTGGGGGAAAAAAGTATTTAGTCAGCCACCAATTGTGCAAGTTCTCCCACTTAAAAAGATGAGAGAGGCCTGTAATTTTCATCATAGGTACACATCAACTATGACAGACAAATTGAGAAAAAAATTTCTCCAGAAAATCACATTGTAGGATTTGTAATGAATTTATTTGCAAATTATGGTGGAAAATAAGTATTTGGTTACCTACAAACAAGCAAGATTTCTGGCTCTCAAAGACCTGTAACTTCTTCTTTAAGAGGCTCCTCTGTCCTCCACTCGTTACCTGTATTAATGGCACCTGTTTGAACTTGTTATCAGTATAAAAGACACCTGTCCACAACCTCAAACAGTCACACTCCAAACTCCACTATGGCCAAGACCAAAGAGCTGTCAAAGGACACCAGAAACAAAATTGTAGACCTGCACCAGGCTGGGAAGACTGAATCTGCAATAGGTAAGCAGCTTGGTTTGAAGAAATCAACTGTGGGAGCAATTATTAGGAAATGGAAGACATACAAGACCACTGATAATCTCCCTCGATCTGGGGCTCCACGCAAGATCTCACCCAGTGGGGTCAAAATGATCACAAGAACGGTGAGCAAAAATCCCAGAACCACACGGGGGGACCTAGTGAATGACCTGCAGAGAGCTGGGACCAAAGTAACAAAGCCTACCATCAGTAACACACTACGCCGCCAGAGACTCAAATCCTGCAGTGCCAGACGTGTCCCCCTGCTTAAGCCAGTACATGTCCATGCCCGTCTGAAGTTTGCTAGAGTGCATTTGGATGATCCAGAAGAGGATTGGGAGAATGTCATATGGTCAGATGAAACCACAATATAACTTTTTGGTAAAAACTCAACTCGTCGTGTTTGGAGGACAAAGAATGCTGAGTTGCTTCCAAAGAACACCATACCTACTGTGAAGCATGGGGGTTGAAACATCATGCTTTGGGGCTGTTTTTCTGCAAAGGGACCAGGACGACTGATCCGTGTAAAGGAAAGAATGAATGGGGCCATGTATCGTGAGATTTTGAGTGAAAACCTCCTTCCATCAGCAAGGGCATTGAAGATGAAACGTGGCTGGGTCTTTCAGCATGACAATGATCCCAAACACACTGCCCGGGAAACGAAGGAGTGGCTTCGTAAGAAGCATTTCAAGGTCCTGGAGGGGCCTAGCCAGTCTCCAGATCTCAACCCCATAGAAAATCTTTGGAGGGAGTTGAAAGTCTGTGTTGCCCAGCGACAGCCCCAAAACATCACTGCTCTAGAGGAGATCTGCATGGAGGAATGGGCCAAAATACCAGCAACAGTGTGTGAAAACCTTGTGAAGACTTACAGAAAACGTTTGACCTGTGTTATTGCCAACAAAGGGTATATAACAAAGTATTGAGAAACGTTTGTTATTGACCAAATACTTATTTTCCACCATAATTTGCAAATAAATTCATAATAAATCCTACAATGTGATTTTCTGGAATTTATTTTCTCATTTTGTCTGTCATAGTTGACGTGTACCTATGATGAAAATTACAGGCCTCTCTCAACTTTTTAAGTGGGAGAACTTGCACAATTGGTGGCTGACTAAATACTTTTTCACCCCACTGTACATGACAGGGTTATGAAATGGGGGGGGGGGGGTACAGTTCAATCTTCCAAGGTGACCAGTTGGATTTGCCAGTGCCCTATATCAGGGTTTCCAAAACTCTATCCAGTTTTTTGTCCTAGCACTACACAGCTGATTAAAATAATCAAAGCTTAATGATGAGTTGGTTATTTGAATCAGCTCTGTGGTCCTTGGGAGGGGGGAGGGGGTTCCAGGACCGAGTTTGGGAAACCCTGTCCTATACTAACAAGTATTAACTGTTTTTAACGTAATCTCCCCCTCCTTTCCTCTTCCTCCTGGTCCACCCTGCTAACCCTCCTAATCTCCCTCTGCCCCCCCCCCCCCCCAGGCATCGCTCTATTAACCTCTTCCTCCTGGGCTATCAGAGAATATGGATAGAAACAGAGACGTACTCTTTTGAAGAGAAGCTAGTGCAGGACCTGGCAGTAAGTACTGTACCTGTCCCCCCAGTGCCCAGCCCTCTCTGTGTGCTCTCTCTGTGGGGCTAGCCTCTTCTCTCCCTCCTCACCTGGCCGTGCTACAACACGAACGCTTCGCCAGCACAATGCCCGCCAAACGCCGCAGGCGTTCTGCCAGTCATCCATGTTCTGCCCCTGGCTCTGTGTAGCTCTGTCCCTTGCCAACTGAAACGCCTACGCGGGCACGCATGACATCACCCTGGATGTCAGTGCCGGCTGGACTGTACTGTAACTGTACCGTTGTCCGTTTCTAGAGCTGTCCCCTTTCCTACAGGGGTAAGAGAGCATCCAACCACGATGCTACGGCTTACTGGTGAAATTTATGGAAGGTGTGGTGTCCTTCATAAATTTTCTGTCACAGCATGGACACAGTATAGTGTCATATTCAGGTCATTTGAAGAATCAAAGAACTCAGATATACTGTCCCTGTAGGGTTGCTTTCTTTACAGCTTTGATTCTAGATGTCTCCGAAATTCTTCAAAAACACCATGCCATCCTGTGTAAGAACCTGCTACATTGATCAAAACATCAATGAAGAAAATGGTTATAAACACTCTATAACACTTTATAAGCCTTTTTATAAATATGGTAGATTTAAAATATAGGGAAAGTGGCTACATCCTAAAAGAGATGTGGAATAGTATTCCCTCTACCACTATTTGTGCCCCATCATTTCCTGGTGGCCTCTCTTCATTAGGAGAGTATCTGTGGTGCTCATAGGGATAAAGTGGTAGACTAGTGTAAAGTATTATAGAGTATGGATCAGGCTAATGGAGAGTCATGCTTAACTTCCATCTTCCTCCTGTATCTCTACTGAACACACACCTTGACACCGCTAACCTTGATACTGCTGTACCATCTAAATGTGCTGTGTGTATGTCCCTGTGTGTGTGCCTGCATGGTCTGCTGATGAGTGGCGTGTCATACCCGTAATGCTTTCAGTCTGTGTGATTCAATGGGCCATCACACTAGTAATGAAGCAACATGGTGAGACAGGGTTTGACTGCACATTCTGCATCTTTAATTTCAATGTGCTTCTGTTGATCAAGTACACCTTGTTGTCTCTAAGGTGATGTACAGAGGAGACTGTTTATATAATGGCAATGGTAACTGCATATGGATGGTAACTTATCCATATTTCTGCTTGATACCTTCCCACTAGGCACAGACGTCAGTTCAACGTCTAGTTTTGATTTACATTTTGTTGAGTTGTCAACTAATGTGAATTCAACGTGCAATCAACAAAAACAATCACCATGTCATTGGATTTAGGTTAAAAGTTGGGTGAAAAAAAGCCCTTACTTTTTGCAAATCCAATCGTTTTCCACGTTGATTCAATGTCATCACATTGATTTTTTGGGTTGAAATTACGTGGAAACAACGTTAATTCAACCAGTTTTTGCCCAGTAGGTTGGCCTTTGTAATCGTTATTTCTGAAGCGAGTTGCAGCGTAATTTGAACAACTTTAACTTTATTTGTTGCAATTTCACTAATTCAAAGTAAAGTTATTGTGATCTTTAAAATGTGTATCAGCTCAGTGTAGGCACATTTTGTCACTTCAGAGGGTAAAGGGCACTGCTGTAATGACAGGGGATTGGGTGTCAGGGTAGGGTGGGACTCTGATGTGTGGCTGGGTGTTTGTGCAGAAGACCCAACTGAAGGTGGAGGAGGAGGAAGAGGAGGAGGCAGAGATGCAGCCAGACCCTCTTCATCAGCTCATATTGCATTTTAGTCACAATGCGCTCACTGAGCGGAGGTAAACAGACACACACACACACACACACACACACACACACACACACTCACACCTGGGCACCTGGCATCGTGCTGCTAGCTCCATCTGTGCTATGTAATATTGCCGGTGTATCCCTTTGTCTTATAAACTGTCGCATTAAACTAAAACACTGCAGCATTTCTCCCCACACAGGGCGATGCCCTCGAGCACAAGTAATTGTGTCACATTTATTCTTAGTCATGCACCTGAGAGATTTGTTTGTTATGGAGTGTATTTGTTTGAGTTATGTAAGGTTAATTCACACATGTTTATCCTGCTTTTCCATTCAGTTCTTTGGAAGACGATCCTTTGTATATTGCATATGCAGACATGATGGCAAAGGTACAAAGCCTATATGAATCTACTTTTGTATACATGTCTTTAGTGTCATGTAGAGGTCAACAGAGATCTGACTACCAAAGCTTTTGTCTTTAGAGTTGTGCAGAAGATGAAGAAGAGGAAGATGAAGAAGGAAAAGAGAAAACATTTGAGGTGTTTTGGATCTCCCATCGAGATATTAGATTTGACTAGTTTCAATGGTTTTGTAAGGAGCTGTGTTTGTTTACATGGTGTTTGTTTACATGGTGTTTGTTGACCTGCTAGGAAAAAGAGATGGAGAAACAGAAGACTCTGTACCAGCAGGCCAGGCTGCATGACAGAGGAGCTGCTGAGATGGTGTTACAGATGATCAGCGCCAGCAAAGGTACACACACACACACTCACAGTCTTGTACAGCTAACCTTGTGGGGACACACAATTCAGTCCCATTCAAATCCTATTTTCCCTAACCCTAAACCTAACCCTAACCTGTACTCTTACCCTTACTCTAACCCTAATCCTAACCTTAACCCAAAACCTAACCTTAACCCTAACCCTAACCCTAAACCTACCCTAGCTCCTAACTCTAAAACTAACCCTAGCTCCTAACCCTAACCCTTAACGTAATCCTAACCCTAACACTAATTCTAACCTTAACCCTAAACCCCCTAGAAATAGCATTTGACCTCGTGGGGACCAACATAATGTCCCCAGTTGGTCAAATCTTTGTTCGTTTACTATTTTTGTGGGTCCACACACACACAATATGATCCCTGATTATCCTCTTTAGGTTCACTTGGGCCCATGGTGACCTTTACCTTGAAACTGGGCATCTCTATACTCAACGGAGGCAACATACTGGTTCAGCAGGTATATCAGAATATTCATGGTCCATATAAATTTTTTCAGTATGTACAGTGACGCTGTACAGCTCAATTTCTTTTGTGTATTTCCTTTTTTGTAGAAAATGCTTGACTATCTGAAGGAAAAAGGAGATGCTGGCTTTTTCAAGAGTTTGTCAGGACTCATGCAGTCTTGCAGGTAAAATGATATCACAACACACTAACGAATCTTTGACGGTTTGACATTCAAACAGAGCAAAACTATACGTGTTCAAAGACATAAACCATGTTGGCTCTCTTTCCTTCAAATTCATTAGTGTCCTGGATTTGAATGCATTCGAAAGGCAAAACAAAGCAGAAGGTCTTGGGATGGTGACTGAGGAAGGATCAAGTAAGTGAGGAGAGAAAGATGAGGAGAAACACTAGACTACCTCAGACAGACATATGCACAGGAACCTCTCTTTCCTGTCAGAAAGGAATGACATTTGAGTTCTGATATATTAAATAAATACGTATCTTAGAATTTCTTTGTGTTATCAACAATTTATTTTCATACTTTTGAGAGTCAAGTCCACTTGGTGCTATTGGCGAATGCTGAACCATGATGCTCCATACAGATTTGTTATAAGTGTCTAAAACCCTAAACAAGTATAAAATATAATATTAAGTAGATAACAAATATAATTCTAAAGGATCCGTGTTGATTTCATCTGACCCCTCCCACTTCCTCCCACCCAGCCACAGGGTCATAAGTCGCCTGTCATCTGATCTCCAACCAGTGAATGCTCCCAGACAAAAGCCTGTCTAAAATTGCATTATTCAACTAATGTGATTTTTGGTGGGTTGCTTTTACTGCTTGTGCTACACCTAGTGGTCAATGTGTTCCTATTAACACCTTGTTGTAAATTCTGAATCGGCCCATAGAGAAACTGAATTCATTAATGGAGACTTACTGGACCTTGTGATGGAGGTAATGTCATGTCAGGATTACATCTGGAGGCTATTCCTTCATATTTATACGCAAACAATAACAGCAGTCCAGAAGGATACACCACCTGTCATTACGATTGGTCAGCCAATGTCCAACCCACCAGCTAATGATTGGCCCATGCCTTTGTTGTGTTAGAAGAAGGCCTGTGATAGGGCTACTACAGATACATGGTGCAGCATTAGCGCGCCACATTCACTCTTATGTTTGTGATGAAAAAGCTCATCTCCATGTCACATATGTCATTGTGTCTGTGTTCATGAACCTGTGCTACTGTATGTTCCAGTCATGTGACGTCTGAGCACTGTCTGTCAACAAGATAAAAAACAGATCTATACACAATAGGTCACCCACAACAGAAGCGGTTGGATCTAATGGAGTGCATACAGTAAATGGCTATGTTCTCATAGATACTCCAGCTCATTCCCACCTCATGTAATCAGGCATAAGTGATGGTGACTGCACTCCTGTAGTGTTTCTCACCCACCGTCCAACACCAGTCCTGCCAAACTGTGCAGCAGAACCTGTAGGTCTACCTACCAGAGACTCTTAACCGCATGTCTACTGTATGTCCAACACCTAAAGTGATGTCGATATATCTCTCTTCTTCTTCCTTACTTCTTATTGAAACTCAATGTCTTCTCCTTTGCTTATGTCTGCTTTTTCTGTTTGTTTGTTTCTTCTTATCATATTTTACCTCATCGGTCGCAGTCAACGTGAGTGAGCGGGGTAAATACATGGTTTAGATTCTACTCATTTCGCAATGCTGCCATCCTGATTGCTCTCCGTCCAGCTCCCACCCCTTCCCCCCCTCCCCTCTGTCTGGAATGTGATAATAACCTACTGATCTGAAGGAACACATGCATGCTCCAATAAGATATTTGGTCAGATTGTTCAATCCATAGAATCAGACCCAAACTGACTCTTATCGCTCTTTCCTCCTATACAAAGTTAGTGCTTGTGGTCTATGTGGAAACTTGTCTGTCTCTTTATGTTGATACTACTAACCAATATTACTTGATAAAGTCAATTAGGAATAAGAATACAATTCCCAAAGCTTTGCTTGTATCTGAAGTACAGAACAACAAAGCTCTGCCATGCAGTTTTATTCCTATTATCCCTCCCTGCATACAGTATGTGCTCTATATTAAGTCAAGGTGATATGAGTGTCTCATAGAGGGAGCATATACTGTCATGACAAAGTCTCCTAGTCTAGGAGCTTGAGGACTAGACAGCAGCTTTCTATTGAAGTGAAGGTTATGCTAGCCATGGTGTAAGCTTGTGTTAGATCAGGCTGAGGGGGTTGTCTGGTTTCTAGCCCCCTCCTAACCAAAGGGGAAAGTTGTCAATCTCATCTCCTGTGTCCAGGTTCCAAAGTACTGCAGAACGATGAGTTCACTAAGGATCTCTTTAGGTTTCTGCAACTGCTCTGTGAGGGACACAACAACGGTACGTCCAAAACTTCTAGAACACCTTACCTCAATACTGGTTAAGGTACTCTAGCTTACCTGTGTATTTAGAAGTGTATTTAGTTCTGAGAGATCCATATTATTTGTGTTTACTGCCCACAATGTACTATGTATAACATTACCTGATCCTCTCTAACCATTCATTGGTATTTTACCCCTTTCTCTTTCTTCAGACTTCCAAAACTTCCTGCGGACTCAAACAGGGAACACGACCACCGTAAATATTATCATCAGCACTGTGGACTACCTGCTCCGTCTGCAGGTAAAATACTATCCCCCAACTTTACTCCCTATATTCTTTGTGTGTAGTGTATGTTTATACTATCATGTGTCACATGTTTATTTATTCAATATTAGGAATCCATCAGTGATTTCTACTGGTACTACTCTGGGAAAGATATCATGGATGAGGCTGGTCAGCGGAACTTCTCCAAAGCCCTGGCTGTGGCCAAGCAGATCTTCAACTCTCTCACTGAGTACATACAGGTAACATAAGACTCTTGGGTTGGAAGAAACTAACCTTCACAGACAGGAATGTGTTGTATGGTTAATCATGGTGATCCAATCATCCTGACTGTAGTGATCTTCTCTTTGTGACCCCAGGGCCCGTGTATTGGGAACCAGCAGAGTCTGGCACACAGCAGGCTATGGGATGCAGTGGTGGGATTCCTGCATGTGTTTGCCAATATGCAGATGAAGCTCTCACAGGTACAACTTAGTACAATTTCCTAATCATCTCACTTTTACTCGGCCAGCCGCTCAATTTTCATTCTATGTCATCAAATATGAAATTGAATAGCATCTAATTTATGTGATGCAACATCAAACTGAATGTGGATAGTGTTCAACAATCTGCTGTGTTGCCACTAGAGGTCTCTCTTAGCTCAGGGATGTACTCTGCAGCATGTCTAGTTGACAGGCTTTTCTCCCTGCCTTAATTTGAAAGGTTCTGAAGGCTGTGATCCATCACTCCCACAGCCTTAGATGTGCTTTGTAGCCAATAAACCAGGTGGGATCAGAATGAAACCTCTCGGACCGTCACACCGTCTTAGCTTATCTCAGGGTTATCCAGAGGGGAAGGGCTGTTTGCAGGCGGCCGGATTGACAGGGCGGCTGGGCGCGTTTTGATTAAGCTAATCAAAGTCCCTCCTCAGAATTATTGCATGCTGGGAGCCATCTCAAAGGAGGCCCAAAGTGAGTCAGCCCCTCCCAGCCATCTGCTTGGGCCCAACAGAATCACATTAGGCTGTGTGCTGATGGATGGCTGGGACCTAGCGGGACCCAGCGCTCGCAGAGGGCCTTGATCTCTCCAAATGCCATGCTGGGATATTAGCAGCTGACTGGCCCCAGACAGAGAGCTGTGCTAACCTTTTTGATGTGGTGAAGGATGTGTCACAAAGTTGCTTTTGTTTCCTCTCCCCCAGGACTCAAGTCAGATTGAGTTATTGAAGGAGCTGCTGGACCTGCAGAAGGACATGATCGTGATGATGCTCTCCCTTCTGGAAGGTTCTATTACACCTTTTCATCTCAGTCGTGACTCATCATGGAACACATTGTGGTCATATCTAGTGGCACTGATAGAACGTTACCCTTATACCTAAAACCCTTTAAACAGATTTCTTTGCTTGAAATGATATTACATGATATCAAACACTTATCCACTCTACTTCGAGAATTCAATTAGCAAATTGTATTATGGTTACTGTGTACTTTCTATTGTATGTTCTAAACCAGGGGTGTCAAACTCAATCAGCACATGGGCCATATTATAAAAACACATCGAATTCGCGGGCCAGACATAGCCTATTATGTTTGTTTTTACAACAACAAAAACGTGCATGCAACTGCGACCCAAACTGGCCATTGTTTTATTTGAAATAATATGGCCCTTTATAATGTCCACTTATGTACATAGGGTGATATATTTAGCATTTTAACATATTAAAACAAGAGATACATACAGTGCATTCGGAAAGTATTCAGACCCCTTCACTTTTTCTACATTTTGTTACGTTACAGCCTTATTCTAAATAAAATAAAAATCCTCATCAATCTACACACAATGCCCCATAATGACAAAGCGAAAACAGGTTTTTAGATGTATTCATTTGTGGATGTCCATCACCCATTTCATATATGTTAGGAATTATAATATGTATTATATGTTACAAAGTTGCAAAACGTACAATATGTTGCAAATTTGCAAAACGTATATGTTAAGAATTCTATCTAGGTGGCTAACGTTAGCTAACTGGCTAACGTTAGCTAGGCTAGGATTTAGAGGTTAGGGTTAAGTTTAGGAGTTAGGTTAAAGGGTGAAGGTTAGGGTTAGCTAAAATGGTTAAGGTTATGGTTAGGGGAAGGGTTAGCTAACATGCTAAGTAGTTGCAAAGTAGCTAAAAAGTAGTAAGTAGGTGAGATAAGATGATAAGTTCGCAACTTTTGGGTTGCTAGATGTAAGCGTTAAACGCCTACCCATCCACCCCGACCAACCACCCTACTTTCGTTTTTAACATAATAAAATAATCTCCATCAAAATCAGTCAGTTTATCAGAATCAGTCAGTTTAAGCTAGAGATCAATGTTTTTTTGCATTGGATGCGTCTAAATCCGCCAATATCGCAGTTAAGCATCTGCGGTGAAAGGTAGCAGAGCTAGAGCAGGTGTTTGTCAGACCATGAGACATCCCGAAAATCGGTCTTCTCACGAAAACGTCTGTAGTGTCCGAACGGTTTGACCTAAAAACTCTATGGAAAGGGGGGATTCTCATGAACACGATGGTGTTCTCCGTTTTGCTCTACAACTCCCGTGACTATTGTGAAGGTAACATGTACAGAAAAAAAAAAAAAAATGGAAGTATGAAGGCATTTTTGTGCCTACCCAAAAAAGCGGTTAAATATGTTTAAAAAAACAAACAAAAAATATTTCCTTGATATAGGACAAACACTTCAAAACACTTGTTTCTTATGATGTATTTTTTGGAGTGTCTTTTTTGCCATTTATGAATGTGTTATTCAATGCGTTTCTCTGGGCTATAGTAGTAAAGGCCAAATTCAATATTTAATCAAATAATTGTTTTATTTTAAATTTTTATACCTAAAATTCAAAATCCAAAGCTAAATAATCCATGGTATGACCATTTGACAACAATTACATATGTCAATTTATGCCACCTTTAGTAATCATCTGTCTTATGTAACCACAACAAACGTAACATATCATACTAATTTGAGTGTCCCGGATTTGCATTTACTATGTCTAGTCTATGACACCAAGCTGCAACAAAATGTCTTGTAGGCCTAGTTGAGTAGCCAGCCTAGGCTACTGCTCACATGTTGCTGTAATGGGCCTACATGTTTTCCTTTGCATGTTTTTTGTTGCAGGTTTAGTTTTTTGGTTATTCATTGTCAAGCTTTAAAAACCGAAGCCATACCTGCAACATGTTAGTAGCCTAGCTAGGACTGTGGCATGTGTCTGTACACTTTCCCTTGCTTTAAACGGGACACACGAAAGCAGCACAATTGATTGTTGAATTCACCGATGTAAGCGCATTAGGCTATAATTTCATAAAGTAGATGACTCAGCTGTTGACTCATTTATACTCGCTTGTGTGTCCTATTGTCCTTTAGTAGTAATTTATACCCACATGTGAATCCTTTATCTTATAACTTTTTGACAACCAAGATGACATTTTCTGTAGGCTACAGCAATGACCCGTTGGAACCAGAACTTGGCATGGACATTTAGCCTACAACACGTTTAAACCTTCGGTCCGGTAGAAGATTTGGTCAGTGCCATTAGTGATGATATGATACAGTGCACTGGCTGGCTTGTGTGTGGGTGTGTGTGGGTCTGGGAGGAGGGGTGTGTGTGTGGCAATGCACTGCCATTTGGCGTGCAGCATGTTGGCAGTGCTTGCTGACTTGTAGTGCAGCACGGGCGGTATATAAGCAGGCCAAAATGAATTGACAACCCAAATCATTGCGCGGGCCAGATAGAAATGTGTCACAGGCCGAATCCCTTGTGTTTGACACGTGTTCTAAACTTGAGTAACCCCCCCCCACAGGTAACGTTGTCAACGGAACCATCGGCAAACAGATGGTGGACACCCTGGTGGAGTCCTCCAGCAATGTGGAGATGATCCTCAAGTTCTTCGACATGTTTCTCAAACTCAAAGACCTTACCACCTCGGACAACTTCAAGGAGTACGACCCGGAGAGCAAGGGAGTGATCTCCAAGAAGGAGTTCCAGAAGTCCATGGAGAACCAAAAGCAGTACTCCCAGTCGGAGATCGAGTTCCTGCTCTCCTGCGCCGAGGCTGACGAGAACGACATGTTCAACTACGAGGAGTTTGTGGAGCGCTTTCATGAGCCGGCCAAGGACATTGGCTTTAACGTGGCGGTCCTGCTCACCAACCTATCAGAACACATGCCTCACGACGCCCGTCTGGCCACCTTCCTGGACCTGGCCGAGAGTGTGATCAACTACTTCGAGCCGTACCTGGGCCGCATAGAGATCATGGGCGGGGCCAAGCGCATCGAAAGGGTCTACTTTGAGATCAGCGAGTCTAGTCGTACACAGTGGGAGAAGCCCCAGGTCAAAGAGTCCAAGAGACAGTTTATCTTTGACGTGGTGAACGAGGGTGGAGAGAGTGAGAAGATGGAGCTGTTTGTCAACTTCTGTGAGGACACCATTTTTGAGATGCAGCTGGCCTCACAGATATCTGAGCCTGATGCAGTGGAGCGTCCCGAGGACTACGACGAGGACAGCCAGAGTGTGACGGAGTTGCCAGAGGAGGAAGAGGAGGACAGCATGATGGAGACTCACTCAGCCTTCACCAACTCCTGTGTTTCCATGAGGAAGAACCTGTCCAGCTTCCGCCAGCTGCTCACCTTCAAAAGCATGAGGCGGCAGTACAGGAGGTTCAGGAAGATGAGTGTGAGGGAGATGGTCCAAGGCTTCTTTTCTTTCTTCTGGATGATTTTCACGGGCCTCTTCCGCTTCCTCTACAACCTGGTGTGGGGCTTCTTCCACATCCTGTGGTCCTCCATGTTTGGCGGGGGCCTGGTGGAGGGGGCCAAGAACATGAAGGTCACAGACATCCTGGGGAACATGCCCGACCCCACACAGTTTGGTATCCATGGTGATGTGCTGGAGGAAGAGAAGATGGAGGCGAGTGAGGCGTCATCTGTGGCAGAGATGGGCCACATGGGCCAGGGGGACAAGGCAGAGGCAGACCTGATGGCTGAGCTGCTTAACATCCAAACCAAGAGCCAGGGGGGAAAGCATGCGGCCGAGCCAGGTCTGGGGGACATGGGTGAGGTGGTGGGGGTTGACGCCCCCTCTTTAGCCAGTGCCGTCAAGCAGAAGAAGGCCAAGGTCGGTATCTGAATCTCCTCAGAAATAACACATATTCAGTCTTATAAAAATAGTAATGGTTATCTGTGTAAGATCAGGCCTCTGTTATGTATATGTCACCTAATGGTAAGGTGTGAAAATTAACTGTAGTTTAACCCATTCTTCTCAAAATGTGCCACAGAACAAATTCTGTTTGGTGTAAATGCATCAAATTTGGTGTCGAGACAGGCCACATTGACAGTGTCAATCAAAGTTGGGATTTTGAGAAAATGTGAAAATCATTAAAATGACTAAAGCATATGTATTTTGAAATACATTTCAGAATTAAATTGTTTAAGACCATATACAGTTGAAGTCGGAAGTTTACATACACCTTAGCCAAATACATTTAAACTCAGTTTTTCACAATTCCTGACATTTAATCCTAGTAAAAATTCCCTGTCTTAGGTCAGTTAGGTTCACCACTTTATTTTAAGAATGTGAAATGTCAGAATAATAGTAAAGAGAATGATTTATTTCAGCTTTTATTTCTTTCATCACATTCCCAGTGGGTCAGAAGTTTACATACACTCAATTAGTATTTGGTAGCATTGCCATTCAATTGTTTAACTTGGGTCAAACGTTTCAGTTAGCCTTCCACAAGCTTCCCACAATAAGTTGGGTGAATTTTGACTCATTCCTCCTGACAGAGCTGGTGTACCTGAGTCAGGTTTGTAGGCCTCCTTGCTCGCACACGCTTTTTCAGTTCTGCCCACAAATGCTCTATAGGATTGAGGTCAGGGCTTTGTGATGGCCACTCCAATACCTTGACTTTGTTGTCCTTAAGCCATTTTGCCACAACTTTGGAAGTATGCTTGGGGTCATTGTCCATTTGGAAGACCCATTTGCGACCAAGCTTGAACTTCCTAAATGATGTCTTGAGATGTTGCTTCAAAATATCCACATCATTTTCCTTCCTCATGATGCCATCTATTTTGTGAAGTGCACCAGTCCCTCCTGCAGCGAAGCACCCCCACAGCATGATGCTGCCACCCCAGTGCTTCACGGTTGGGATGGTGTTCTTCTGCTTGCAAGCTTACCCCTTTTTCCTCCAAACATAACAATCGTCATTATGGCCAAACAGTTCTATTTTTGTTTCATCAGACCAGAGGACATTTCTCCAAAAAGCTTTTTTATGGCAGTTTTGGAGCAGTGGCTTCTTCCTTGCTGAGCGGCCTTTCAGGTTATGTTGATATAGGACTCGTTTTACTGTGGATATAGAAAAAAAAAAATAATATATATATATATATATATATATATATATATATATACAGTGAGGGAAAAAAGTATTTGATCCCCTGCTGATTTTGTACGTTTGCCCACTGACAAAGACATGATCAGTCTATAATTTTAATGGTAGGTTTATTTGAACAGTGAGACACAGACTAACAACAAAAAAATCCAGAAAAATGCATGTCAAAAATGTTATAAATTGATTTGCATTTTAATGAGGGAAATAAGTATTTGACCCCTTTGCAAAACATGACTTAGTACTTGGTGGCAAAACCCTTGTTGGCAATCACGGAGGTCAGACGTTTCTTGTAGTTGGCCACCAGGTTTGCACACATCTCAGGAGGGATTCTGTCCCACTCCTCTTTGCAGATCTTCTCCAAGTCATTAAGGTTTCGAGGCTGACGTTTTGCAACTCGAACCTTCAGCTCCCTCCACAGATTTTCTATGGGATTAAGGTCTGGAGACTGGCTAGGCCACTCCAGGACCTTAATGTGCTTCTTCTTGAGCCACTCCTTTGTTGCCTTGACCGTGTGTTTTGGGTCATTGTCATGCTGGAATACCCATCCACGACCCATTTTCAATGCCCTGGCTGAGGGAAGGAGGTTCTCACCCAAGATTTGACGGTACATGGCCCCATCCATAGTCCCTTTGATGCGGTGAAGTTGTCCTGTCCCCTTAGCAGAAAAACACCCCCAAAGCATAATGTTTCCACCTCCATGTTTGACGGTGGGGATGGTGTTCTTGGGGTCATAGGCAGAATTCCTCCTCCTCCAAACACGGTGGCAGGTAGCTTAGTGGGTAAGAGCGTTGTGCCAGTAACCGAAAGGTCGCTGGTTCTAATCCCCGAGCCGACTAGGTGAAAAATCTGTCGATGTGCCCTTGAGCAAGGCACTTAACCCTAATTGCTCCTGTAAGTCGCTCTGGATAAGAGCGTCTGCTAAATGACAAAAAAAATAAAAAAAAATACCAAAGAGCTCGATTTTGGTCTCATCTGACCACAACACTTTCACACAGCTCTCCTCTGAATCATTCAGATGTTCATTGGCAAACTTCAGACGGGCCGGTATATGTGCTTTCTTGAGCAGGGGGACCTTGTGGGCGCTGCAGAATTTCAGTCCTTCGCGGCGTAGTGTGTTACCAATTGTTTTCTTTGTGACTATGGTCCCAGCTGCCTTGAGATCATTGACAAGATCCTCCCGTGTAGTTCTGGGCTGATTCCTCACCGTTCTCATGATCATTGCAACTACACGAGGTGACATCTTGCATGGAGCCCCAGGCCGAGGGAGATTGACAGTTATTTTGTGTTTCTTCCATTTGCGAATAATCACACCAACTGTTGTCACCTTCTCACCAAGCTGCTTGGCGATGGTCTTGTAGCCCATTCCAGCCTTGTGTAGGTCTACAATCTTGTCCCTGACATCCTTGTAGAGCTCTTTGGTCTTGGCCATGGTGGAGAGTTTGGAATCTGATTGATTGATTGCTTCTGTGGACAGATGTCTTTTATACAGGTATCAAACTGAGATTAGGAGCACTCCCTTTAAGAGTGTGCTTCTAATCTCAGCTCGTTACCTGTATAAAAGACACCTGGGAGCCAGAAATCTTTCTGATTGAGAGGGGGTCAAATACTTATTTCCCTCATTAAAATGCAAATCAATTAATAACATTTTTGACATGCGTTTTTCTGGATTTTTTTGTTGTTATTCTGTCTCTCACTGTTCAAATATACCTACCATTACAATTATAGACTGATCATTTATTTGTCAGTGGGCAAACATACAAAATCAGCAGGGGATCAAATACTTTTTTCCCTCACTGTATATATATATATATATATAGAAAAATAAATTTAAAAAAATGAATTAAAAATAATAATAATTGTAAAGTGGTTGTCCCACTAGCTATCATAAGGTGAATGCACCAATTTGTAAGTCGCTCTGGATAAGAGCGTCTGCTAAATGATGTAAATGTAAATGTAATACTTTTGTACCTGTTTCCTCCAGCATCTTCACAAGGTCCTTTGCTGTTGTTCTGGGATTGATTTGCACTTTTCGCACCAAAGTATGATCATTTCTAGGAGACAGAACGCGTCTCCTTTCTGAGCGGTATGACGGCTGCGTGGTCCCATGGTGTTTATATTTGCGTACTATTGTTTGTACAGATGAACGTGGTACCTTCAGGCGTTTGGAAATTGCTCCCAAGGATGAACCAGACTTGTGGAGGTCTACACATTTTTTTCTGAGGTCTTGGCTGATTTCTTTTGATTTTCCCATGATGTCAAGCAAATAGGCACTGAGTTTGAAGGTAGGCCTTGAAATACATCCACAGGTACACCTCCAATTGACTCAAATTATGTAAATTAGCCTATCAGAAGCTTCTAAAGCCATGACATCATTTTCTGGAATTTTCCAAGCTGTTTAAAGGCACAGTCAACTTAGTGTATGCAAACTTCTGACCCACTGGAATTGTGATACAGTGAATTATAAGTGAAATAATCTGTCTGTAAACAATTGTTGGAAAAATTACTTGTGTCATGCACAAAGTAGATGTCCTAACCGACTTGTCAAAACTATAGTTTGTTAACAAGAAATTTGTGGAGTGGTTGAAAAACTAGTTTTAATGACTCCAAGTGTATGTAAACTTCCGACTTCAACTGTAGTATTGTTATTTGACCTGTTCTAAGCCCAAATATGCCAAATATATGATTCAACTCATTGTCGTTTGTGACATACAGCCGTTTCTGTATCACATTATATTTAGTCTTTGGACACATTGGGTTACAGTTTTTTACACATTTAATTAATCAAGTCATGTGAATACAGGGAGTTCAGGTGGGCCTTCGCGCTTCAGAAAACAAAGGAAAGGAGGGGTCCTCAACAACAATGACAACAATCACGAAAAGGGATTACCAAGAAAAACTTCCAAAAGGTCTAATTCGAGGTAAAAAGGAGTTGGAACACAACACAAAAAGGAGTTCCCACATATGCTTAGCACTTGTTGGCTGCTTTTCCTTCACTCTGCCGTCCGACTCATCCTAAACCATCTCAATTGGGTTAAGGTCGGGGGATTGTGGAGGCCATCTGATGCGGCACTCCATCACTCTCCTTCTTGGTAAAATAGCCCTTACACAGCCTGGAGGTGTGTTGGGTCATTGTCCTGTTGAAAAACAAATGATAGTCCCAATAAGCCCAAACCAGATGGGATGGCGTTCGCTGCAGAATGCTGTGGTACCCATGCTGGTTAAGTGTGCTTTGAATTCTAAATAAATCAGACAGTGTCAACAGCAAAGCACCCCCACACCATAACACCTCCTCCTCCATGCTTTACGGTGGGAACTACACATGCGGAGATCATCCGTTCAACCACACCGCATCTCACAAAGACACGGCGGTTGGAACCAAAAATCTCCAATTTGGACTCCAGACCAAAGGACAAATTTCCACCTGTCTAATGTCCATTGCTCGTGTTTCTTGACTCAAGCAGGTCTCATCTTCTTATTGGTGTCCTTTAGTAGTGGTTTCTTTGCAGCAATTCGACCATGAAGGCCTGATTCACACAGTTCCCTCTGAACAGTTGATGTTGAGATGTGTCTGTGACTTGAATTCTGTGAAGCATTTATTTGGGCTGCAATTTCTGAGGCTGGTAACTCTAATAAACGTATCCTCTGCAGCAGAGGTAACTGTGGGTCTTCCATTCCTGTGGTGGTCCTCATGAGAGCCAGTTTCATCATAGCACTTGATTGTTTTTGCGACTTCACTTGAGGAAACTTTGAAAGTTCTTGAAATGTTCCGTATTGACTGACCTTCATGTCTTAAAGTAATGATGGACTGTCGTTTCTCTTTGCTTATTTGAGCTGTTCTTGCCATAATATGGACTTGGTCTTTTACCAAATAGGGCTGTCTTCTGTATACCCCCCCCCCCCCCCCCCCCCCCAACAAAGGGTGGCTATTTGTTTAACACTTTTTTGGTTACTACATGATTCCATATGTGTTATTTCATAGTTTTGATGTCTTCACTATTATTCTACAATGTAGAAAATAGTAAAAATAAAGAAAAACCCTTGAAGGAGTAGGTGTGTACAAACTTTTGACTGGTACTCTATAAATATACCAAAAATGATTACGTTCTGATCATTTGGAACATGTATTCACATTGCTTGATTCATGAAATGTGCAAAAAACAGTAACCCCCAAAGACAAAATATAGTACAATATCAAACACTCACATTGTAGACAAACGCTTTGGCCGATTTTAAAACATTTCTTCAGATTTGTCCATCAGTATGCTCAGAGAAAAAGTGTACCAAATGATTTATTTTTTCCCGTTATGAACATGAATGGGTTAACCAGGATTCCATGTGTTTCTTGAAGGAGGCTGCGACTAAGGAGCCTGCCAACGGAGACCACAAAGTCGAGCCAGAGAAAGCAGAGTGAGAGGCCTCATACATTCTTGATCCTTGATGTGATGTGATGTGATTGCACCTGATTTGATTCCCAGTGTGAACACAATATTCCCTACCCCATTCAGCCGTAACAGCATTTGTTTTGCTCCTGCTGGGAGCTGAACTGATTTGGTGAGGGTGCTTGTTGTCTGTCGGTCTGTCTGTGCATCACCCTGTTTGATGGTGTATGTTTGTGTCTACAGCCCAGAGGATGGGGAGAAGAAGGACAAGGACAAAGCCAAAGAGGAGACTCCCCCAGAACCCCCACCGGAGGAGAAGAAGGCCCCCAAGAAGAGACCTGGACTGAAGAAAGAGCCCCCAGAGGCCTTCATGGCCAGCTTCTTCTCTGGCCTGGACATCTACCAGACCAAGATGCTGGTGAAACCACACACTGATGTTACACCCATTCACATCCTTTAGCCCTGTCATCAGAATAGCTCATTAGTGTTTGAGGTGTTGCATATGACACATCCTTGTCTAATATATACTTGTATGTGTTTTTCAGAACTATCTGGCCAGAAACTTCTACAACCTGCGTTTCTTGGCATTGTTCGTTGCATTTGCCATAAACTTTATTCTGCTCTTCTACAAAGTAAGTCAAACCCTATATAATCAAATAGAGCACAGAGTTACTATTGGGCTGTCATGAATATAAACTGAGTGTGTATTGTGTCAGGTGACTGGTGATGACGGGGATGACAATGATCCAGATCCCTGGCATGGAGGTGAAGCTACTGATGAAGAGGATGATGAAAGTGGGATGGAGTATTTTGTCCTCCAGGAGAGCACAGGCTACATGGCACCCACACTGCGCTTCCTGGCCATACTACACACAGTCATCTCTTTCCTGTGTGTGGTGGGATACTACTACCTAAAGGTACATTTAGCAAACAGACACACACATACAGATAACTAACTTATATGCACACATACCAACATATTTATAATATTCCTAGATAATGTATTTTTCAACATTATAATGGACTAGTAATAAACACAACACCTGAGTGTGATGATATTATCTCCAGACAGTACCCTATGGGGCTGTGATCTAATGTTCTGTCTGTGTGTCTGTCCGTGTCCCCAAGGTGCCTCTGGTGGTGTTCAAGAGAGAGAAGGAGATCGCCAGGAAGCTGGAGTTTGACGGCCTCTACATCACAGAGCAGCCGTCAGATGATGACATCAAAGGACAGTGGGACCGCCTCGTCATCAATACCCCGTGAGTCATATAGAGCATGGCTATAATCATCACCGCAAACTATAATCATCACCGCAAACTATAATCATCACCGCAAACTTTAATCATCACCGCAAACTATAATCATCACTATTTTGGTATTTGAAAGTAGTATTCCGATTGTGGATTACTTGTTTATACCAAGGTTTTTGTTTGTAACTCCCTGTCATGTAACTTCTTCATGTAATAATGATATTTTCCATCCTCTTTTGTATAGTTCCTTCCCTAATAACTACTGGGACAAGTTTGTGAAACGCAAGGTAAGTAGACAGTTTTTAATTCATTCTTGGTGGAATTTTAATTAATTATTCACCAGATCAATATGACTTGAGCATGCACATACTATTTCTACTACTTACTCTGTTTCTCCTTGTTATCTTGGCCTGCTGCTGTTAGGTGATCAATAAGTATGGAGATCTGTATGGAGCAGAGAGGATAGCAGAGCTTCTGGGGCTGGATAAGAGTGCTCTGGACTTCAACCCCACAGAGGAGACGGTGGTGAAGGAGGCATCGCTGGTGTCCTGGTGAGACCCTGGGAGAGTAGCCTATAATATAGTTATAGGGTTAGCATACACAGAGTGAAGTCACAAACAATACCATTCACATCAATCCACCTCTTTTGACAGGTTGAGCTCTATTGACACCAAGTACCAGTGCTGGAAAATGGGTGTGGTGTTTACAGACAATGTGAGTGTTCCACATTTACAAAGAGCATCATTTGGTATATGATAACACCACATTATTGTTGACATGATCTGACTGATCTGTTTCTATGTTGTGTGTCCCTGCAGTCGTTCCTGTACCTGGTGTGGTACACCACCATGTCCATCCTGGGTCACTACAACAACTTCTTCTTCGCTGCCCATCTGCTGGACATCGCCATGGGCTTCAAGACCCTCCGGACCATTCTGTCCTCGGTCACCCACAATGGCAAACAGGTGGGTGCAGTTTGGCCACCAGGCGGCAGGGTTCAGTGTTGAGTCAGAGCTCTAGTTCTGCCTTGGTATTAACCATAGAGATAAAGTACATCACAGTGGTAGTAACCTGAGGTATTCTCTGTCTCAGCTGGTTCTGACTGTAGGTCTCCTGGCGGTGGTGGTCTATCTGTACACTGTGGTGGCCTTCAACTTCTTCCGCAAGTTCTACAACAAGAGTGAGGATGACAACCAGCCCGACATGAAGTGTGACGACATGATGACTGTGAGTCCTTGGATTTTTCACTAACATTAACATTGAACATTTAAGTCATTTAGCAGACACTCTTATCCAGAGCGACTTACAAATTGGTGCATTCAACTTAGGATAGCCAGTGGGACAACCACATCTTGATCACAGTAAGTACACTTCTTCAAACAAGCAGCTGTGAGCAAAGTCAGTGCAATCAGGGACAACTACATCTCGATCACAATAAGTACATTTCTTTAAACAAGTCAGTGCTAGCAGGTGAAATAAGTCAGGTGTTAGTTTAGACAAAAGACAGTGGTAGTAAAGGGGGGGTAGAAGGATTACTATTATACTATTCCAGGTATTCCTTAAAGAGGTAGGGTTTCAAGTGTCTCCGGGAGGTGGTCAGTGACTCCACTGTCCTGGCGTCGTGGGGGAGCACCATTGGGGTGCCAGAGCAGCGAATAGCTTTGACTGGGCTGAGCGGGAACTGTGCTTCGTTAGAGGTAGGGGGGCTAGCAGGCCAGAGGTGGATGAACGTAGTGCCCTCGTTTGGGTGTAGGTTCTGATCAGAGCCTGAAGGTAAGGAGGTGCCGTTCCCCTCACAGCTCCGTAGGCAAGCACCATGGTTTTGTAGTAGATGCGAGCTTCAACTGGAAGCCAGTGGAGTGTGCGGAGGAGCGGGGTGACGTGAGAGAACTTGGGAAGGTTGAACACCAGACGGGCTGCAGCGTTCTGGATAAGTTGCAGGGGTTTAATGGCACAGGCAGGGAGCCCAGCCAACAGCGAGTTGCAGTAATCCAGACGGGAGATGACAAGTGCCTGGATTAGGACCTGTGCCGCTTTCTGTGTAAGGTAAGGTCGTACTCTGCGAATGTTGTAGAGCATGAACCTGCAGGATCGGGTCACCGCTTTGATGTTAGCAGAGAATGACAGGGTGTTGTCCAGGGTTACGCCATAACATCATAATGTAGAGATAAAAAATTTTATAAATAGATTAAACACCAGCCCAGTTTTCAACAATATTGAAATGAAGGCCTAACCATCCTGTTTGGTGCCTTTTGAGTGGATCTATTCTATATCCATCTAGCCTCTCACTCTCTATCTCACCTTCTCTCTGACTCTCTCTCCTCCATCAGTGCTACCTGTTCCACATGTACGTTGGTGTGAGGGCAGGGGGTGGCATCGGCGATGAGATCGAGGACCCTGCGGGCGACCCGTACGAGCTCTACCGCATCCTCTTCGACATCACCTTCTTCTTCTTCGTCATCGTCATCCTGCTGGCCATCATCCAGGGTACGTACTGTACTGGTCTGGGTCACAGGAGGCAGTATCAGGGACAGCGAGGGGGACCAGGGTGAGACCCAGCAGGGTCAAAGTCACTCTGGCTCCCTGGTGTCAAAGTCACCCTGCTCCCTGTGGGCTGGAAGGGGCCACAGAGAGAGACCCACAGCTCAGTATGTCTGTCTGTCTACACCAGTCTCCACCAGGCCCTGACAGACAGACAGACTCCCTCCTACAGAGTAATGTTTCTCTCACAGTCAGAAAGCCTCAAACTTTCCAATGGTTTTTCCACCTCTCAAACAGAGACAATCAGTCAGCCTCATGTCTCTCCCACAGACACTCAAACTGACTGCTCACCTCACAGTAAGTCCAGAACACATAGACAGATAGAGACACAGATGTAGCCTGTACCCTAAAACAGAGTAATGCTGCTTCCCGTAGTCAGACGCGGTTCAGCCATTAAATATTTTACACTGCAATACAAAAAGCTGGGGGGAAGGAGAATTGTGTTAAATTGCCCTGTCCATAAAGAGACATCCTCACTGTTGGTTGTGTGGCTGCAGGTCTGATCATTGACGCTTTTGGAGAGCTGAGAGACCAACAGGAACAAGTGAAAGAGGATATGGAGGTGAGAGACTTTCGTTTACATTCATCTGTAGTGCAGGTCAACAGAAGACAATGTTTGAATATTTTGTCTTTTTTTCTCCTCAGACCAAATGTTTCATCTGTGGCATCGGTAATGACTACTTTGACACGACGCCTCACGGCTTTGAGACACACACCTTACAAGAGCACAACTTGGCCAACTACCTGTGAGTATCCCTCTGTATCTAGACTGAATGTAACCCAGCACTTAAAAGCTAAACTTTTTTGTCTCTGAAGTATCAATTAGCCGACAGGTCTTTCGTCTTCCTGCATCTTTATACCAACTTGTTTATTATTAAGTCATCTGATTGATGGCTTTTACACAATAGTAGATGGTATCTATGGCCAAGTTAAAAATACCAGTAGTGCCCCGCAGTGCCAGCCTCCTTCCCCCCTCTATAAGCTCAGTGCTCATCTATTGTTTATCTCTGCTGGCTAGCTGGACAATAGGAAGCCATGTGGTCTTAATCTGCCCACTCAGTCAACTGGAGGAGGATATGACGCTAACCTTATTAGCTCATGCTGTTTAGGTTGGTTGGAAAATAGGTGTGTGATATCACCTTATGCATCATACATTTTTATTTATTGTGCAGTGGTACACAGACTCAGTACTCTGATTGTTGTTCTATGGTTGAGGATAAGACACATGTATGATTGATAAGATCATCAAGGACTATAACATTATGCTTGAATGAGACGTTAATTTCCTCCTGCTGTAGCCATTTGTAGTTGTGAAAAGGTCATTTGTAGTTGTGAAAAGGTCAGTTGTAGTTGTGAAATGGTCAGTTGCTCTTTGAGATGTTGAATGATACAAGTGAACCTTGACCATGGATTAAGTGGTCATTTTCATGTCTTGCCAATTTGACTTGACAGGTTTTTCCTGATGTACCTTATCAACAAAGATGAGACAGAACACACTGGTCAGGTATGGAGCTTGTCACCCTTTTGACCCCTTTGTCCTGTGAAAATGTTGTCATTTCAGGAACCAAAGTTTACTGTGACTCACCAGTTTTTAGGCTGGGCTCATTCGCTGCTATAGATTGACCAGTCTTTTTGTCTGTCTACTTCCTCCAGGAGTCATACGTGTGGAAGATGTACCAGGAGAGGCTCTGGGACTTTTTCCCTGCTGGAGACTGTTTCAGAAAGCAGTATGAGGATCAGCTTGGATAGAGCTGACAGACAGGTTGCTGTCATCCTACGGACAGGACTACAGTCCAACAAAGAGATACTCCAGGTACACTCCCATTTCCTCCTAACAGCTAGCTGATGACGGTTGGTAACCATTCACCGCCTATTGCCTCCACTAAATGTGTGAGAGGAGAGGAGAGATGCTATCTTTGGTATGATGGAATAACCATTTTCACATCAACGTCAAATGTACCTGTACATGTTAACTTTGGTACAGTGCCAACCTCCAAGAAAGTGACTATATTACAACCTGCCCAGACAGATTTCAGTTTGAAAAAACTTTTTGGACAATGTGTTGCCTTTTCCTCCACATAACCCCAAACCATTGCACAATTGTTGGTCTTTTTGAGAAACACTGGGTTGTGTGGGGTTATGGGACAATGTGTGAGTCTTGGCACGTCGCAATATGCACAAGAATACTACTTCAATATTTCAAGAATGTTTCAAATGAGACTTATGCCAAAAGATAGGGGGGCAGATTTATACAGAGAGCATATGTGATTTAACAAAGTTTTTAAAATAAATTGTTAGAGTAATGTGCTTTCAGATATGAAGTATTGAATATACAGGACTTGACCAGGGGAAAGGTTGATTATATGATAAAAATGCCTGAATCAAGTACTTGATGAAGTGCCTTATCTACATTACAATGGAGCTATGCAAAACCATGTGTTTTTCTTTCTGCAATGGAAGTGCAGTAGTTTTCCTGGACCAGAAACAAGCAGCTGTTCAGAGTTATTAGTTTGTGGCTTATGTTTTTCATTTGAAAATGGATGAGCATTGTTGAGTTTTTTGCCAACTGCATAATTCTACACTCTTAGAAAAAAAAGGTTCTAGATAGAACCAAAAAGGGTTTTATTGCTTGCTTCATATATGGTACTCCTATAGGTTCTTTATAGAACCCTTTTGCAGGGTTCTTTGATCAGAACCCCAGGGGTTCGTCTTCACTGAACCAAAATTGGTTCCATATAGAACCATTGGGTTCCATATAGGGTTCTATATGCAACCAATTTTGGTTCTATATATAACCTTAAGGGGTGTCATATATGAAGCAAGCATGGAACCCTTTTCGGTTCTATCCAGAACCTTTTTTTCTAAGAGTGTAACTGCAAACGTACATGGAGTATAAATTACACACACGTCTTAGTATATCATATGTCCAAATTTATTAAACACCTTGAAACAAAAACAAAAAAGAAATTGCTATTGTATGTAGTAGCGTTGCTGAACCGTGCATTTCCCTGAAGGAAAAATAAAGAAATCAATTAAATAAATGGAGTCTTCACGCAGTGTTTGTTGTTGGATTTGACTATATATTTTTTTGCTATAGTTAAGGTCAAGGTATGTAGCCTACAGTACAAACTACAGCAAACTTGCGTGTAATACCTCACTGTCCAGTTGGTCCTTTACTGACCCCTAATCACGTCCAGATGTGACTCTGAGTTCATATCAGTGGATTTAGCTTTTTTTTTTGCATTGCGTCACTGAATAGTGTTGGTCAGTCCAGTCCTACCTGGGTGCAGGAGGCATGCAGGACATCAGCAGGCTGGCTCCCTGCCTTGGCCGATGGGAGTTTTATCCCTAGTACCCACAGTGCCACCTGTCAGTTCGTATTATATCCCTCCCACCTCAGTACCACGCTGGGCTGCAGCCTGGCATCCCTCTGAAGCTCACACAGCCATCCCTTTAACCGGTCTTAACCACCTCTGAGGTGGATATCTGATCGTTTTAAAATAATTGTAGGTGAATTGACTAAAGCTTACTTAAAAGTGAATTATCAAATAATTATAACAATTTTCATAATTAGACATAATGAGAGCAGCAGGAAACCACTCTCTGGCTAAGGTAAAATTACGTTGACGCAATTAAAGTACCAGAGACAAATTATACCCATTATATGTAAATTATCTGTTTGTGTTTAATTGTCTCAGTCTGAGGTCCCAGCAGCGGTTTATGTTGTGTGTTTGTGTGTGAAGTGATGGTTGTGAAAACAGGACCGTGGTAGGGGGGCTCATCTCCCTCTCTCTGGTGGAATCATTAGTTCTGTAATGACACACTGCTATTAAGCTGAATCCTCAATTAAACTGAGTTGTCCTGAGAGAGCCATTTAATTAACTGATCCAAAGTGGAGACATTGGAGACATATGACAGGCTGTGTCTTTGCTGTCCACAACAGAAAGTATTCATACCCCTTGACATATTCCAAATGTTGTTGTGTTACAACCTGAATTGAAAATTGATTAAATATTTTAAAAATTCTCACCCATCTACACACAATACCCCATAATGACAAAGTGAACACGTAAAAAAAAATGTAAGTACATTTATTGAAACCTAAATACAGAAATATCTCATTTACATACACTGCATGACCAAAAGTATGTGGACACCTCGTTGAACATCTCATTCCAAAATCATGGTCATTAATATGAAGTTGGTCCCCCCTTTGCTGCTATAACAGCCTCCACTCTTCTGGGAAGGCTTTCCACTAGATGCTGGGACTTGCTTCCATTCAGCCACAAGAGCATTAGTGATGTCGGGGACTGATGTTGGGGGATTAGGCCTTGCTCGCAGTCGGCATTCCAATTCATCCCAAAGGTCTTCGATGGGGTTTAGGTCAGGGCTCTGTGCAGGCCAGTCAAATTCTTCCACACCGATCTCGACAAACCATTTCTGTATGGACCTCACTTTGTGCCCCGGGACATTGTCATGCTGAAACTGGAAAGGGCCTTCCCCAAACTGTTGCCACAAAGTTGGAAGCACAGAATCATCTAGAATGTCATTGTATGCTGTAGCGTAAACATTTCCCTTCACTGGAACTAAGGGACCTAGCCCGAACCATGAAAAACAGCCCCAGAACATTATTCCTCCTCCATCAAACTTTACAGTTGGCACTATGCATTCGGGCAGGTAGCATTCTCTTGGCATCCGCAAAACCCAGATGTTGTTGCTCCTAGACGTTTCCACTTCACAATAACAGCACTTGACCGGTGCAGCTCTAGCAGGGCAGAAATTTGACGAACTGACTTGTTGTAAAGGTGGCCTCCAATGACGGTGCCACGTTGAAAGTCACTGAGCTCTTCAGTAAGGCCATTCTACTGCCAATGTTTGTCTATGGCGATTGCATGGCTGTGTGCTCGATTTTATACACCTGTCAGCAACTGGTGTGTCTGAAATAGCCGAATCCACTAATTTGAAGGGGTGTCCACATACTTTTGTATAAATAGTGTAAGTATTCACACCCCTGAGTCACCTTTGGCAGTGATTACAGCTGTGAGTTGTTCTGGGTAAGTCTCTAAGAGCTTTGCACACCTGGATTGCACAATATTTGCACATTATTCTTTTTTAAATTCTTCAAGCTCTGTCAAGTTGGTTGTTGATCATTGCTAGACAGCCATTTTCAAGTCTTGCCATATATTTTCAAGCCAATTTAAGTTAAAACTGTAACTAGGCCACTCATTCAATGTCATCTTGGTAAGCAACTCCAGTGTATATTTGGCCTTGTGTTTTAGGTTATTGTCCTGCTGAAAGGTGAATTTATCTCCCAGTGTCTGTTGGAAAGCAGACTGAACCAGGTTTTCCTCTAGGATTTTGCCTGTGCTTAACAATATTCCATTTCTTTTTATCCTTAAAAACTCCCTAGTCCTTGCCGATGACAAGCATACCCATAACATGATGCAGCCACAACCATGCTTGAAAATATGAAGAGTGGTACTCAGTGATGTGTTGTGTTGGATTTGCCCCAAACATAACGTTTTGTATTCAGGACATAAAGTTAATTTCTTTGCCACATTTTTTGCAGTTTTACTTTAGTGCCTTATTGTAAACAGGATGCATGTTTTGGAATATTTGTATTCTGTACTCGCGTCCTTCTTTTCACTCTGTCATTTCAGTTAGTATTGTGGAGTAACTACAATGTTGTTGATCCATCCTCAGTTTTTTCCTATCACAGACATCTCTAACTTCTTTAAGTCACCATTGGCCTCATGGTAAAATCCCTGATCGGTTTCTTTCCTCTCTGGCAACTGAGAGGAAGGACGCCTGTATCTTTGTATTGATACACCCAGTGTAATTCATAACTTCATCATGCTCAAAAGGATATTTAATGTCTGCTTTTTTATTTTTACCCATCTACCAATAGGTGCCCTTCTTTGCAAGGCATTGGAAAACCTCCCTGGTCTTTGTGGTTGAATCTGTGTTTGAAATTCACTGCTTGTCTGAGGGACCTTACCGATAATTGTATGTGTTGGGTACAGAGATGAGTTAGTCATTCAAAAATCATGTTAAACACTATTATTGCACACAGAGTGAGTCCATGCAACTTATTATGTGACTTGTTAAGCACATTTCTACTCCTGAACTTATTTAGGCTTGCCATAACAAAGGGGTTGAATACTTATTGACTCAAGACATTTCAGCTTTTCATTTTTAATTAATTTGTAAAGATTATGGGGTATTGTGTGTAGGCCAGTGACACAAAATCTAAATTTAATCCATTTTAAATTCAGGCTGTGACACATCAAAATGTGGAAAAAGTCAAGGGGTGAATACTTTCTGAAGGCACTGTATTGTGTATAACCTTCTCAGGCATGAAACATGGACTGTTTCCCAGAAATCTCACGCCCACATCCAACACCACAACATGACACAGAGAACATGAAGATTCACAGCACCTGCTACACGGCCCATTTCTCAACCTGCAACTAAGAATAGCCTATTGTATGGATGCTACGGCTGGCATGGCTGGGAATTGATCCTGCAGCACTCCGAAACATCGCTGATGGCCTGATCAATGAGCCAGCAGCAGAACACAACCCACAGGAGCTGAGGCCACATCTTTTTACCCCATCTCCTGTGACCTCATCTCACGCACGCTTGACCAACAGGACTCAGAAATGACCATGTCATTATCTCCCTCAGAATGGGAATAGAGAGAGAGGCTATTAACAAGGTCATTATAATGTTTCTTGTCACATCTC